CGTGTGTCTGAAGCTGAGGTTGCCAGGCTTTTTACATCAGACCCTCGTGCGCACACCTGTCTTGGAGTGTGTATGCGCAGGCGTCAGAAGCTGTGCTAATCGTCCATTTTGTTGTGCAAAGACCCTGCGGATACGCGCAGTGCCCCCAGGGCATCGCCGGTTGGCGAAGCCTGTCAATTTTGATTTGGACAGTAGGATAGGATTGTAAAACATTTGCAAGTGAGAAGTGTTACAGTAAAACTTTCTGGAAGTAAGAAGCTATAGATTGCACAGGACTCTTCTAGAGAATCTGACTTCCTGTACTTAGAGAACTCCAGGAAACTATTAGCATATTCTTTACATGTTAGAAGTGTATATGAAATGCTCTGGTCGACAAGAACTAGTTCTAACTAGCTCTGGCCTGGAACTAAGAACCAAGATTCCTCAGAAATGTCCAGCTAAAGACCAAAGCTACAAATCCAATAGTCGTTGCTAAAGTTGGCCCACTACCTGAAATCTTCCCGAAAATACATTTAACATGAGTCAAAATGTAGTAGTTGCTACTGGGGGACCCCAGGCTATCTGAATCCAAAAAGAATCTACTAATTGATAGCAACATGTCCTTATACCTAAAGATTTGCTGGATGCAAAGGCAAAGAATACTACTACAAAAAAAAGGAAAACCAATGTCGCAAGAATGATTCTGGAAGTGCTGAAATTGGATGTGCCTGAAAGAGGAAAAAGAAACCTTAAAAAACCAGCTCACAACCGGCAAGATATGCATACATAGTCCTCTTGACCGTAGACTTTTGAAAGCAATATCGAATTTGCAATTACTTTCTATATGAGGTAAGGTTCCTACATGTCAAGCTTACTGTGCATGTAAAGCTCCTTAGCTATGCGAGTTATCTTGTGATGTGTAAACTGATTGAGCAGAGTCATGAACTCAGAGAGTACTCTCAGCAGTATTGCTCATCTAACCTCTCAAGAGCATGCTGTTGTATTAACTAATATCCTTGCTTCAGTTGTTATAGACAGTGACAACCATCAAGGCTGCTCAGAATGCAAAGAATGCCACAACAAATCAATGGTATTGTTACCTTAACATTGCACCAGCCCTCTGAATGTTTTGATATCTTACTTATGCTCAGAATGCTAATGGATACTGATGAACATGTCCGTATATCGATATCATCAGTAAAGTTTAGATTGCTCAGTTTAGAGAACTCATACCCATACTGATGGCAATGGAGAACACTTAATGTAAGTGCACAGTATAACATAATCCAGTATTTAGCTTCGTAGATGAACAAGACACAAGTAGATATAGCCCTATAGCGAAGACATAGCCCAACAGCTGTGATTTATGGTGTATCTACCGTGCAAAACGAATGATTCTTCCACATATTCAATTCCTTTTGGAATTCTCTAAGTGCAGGAAGTCAGATTCTCTAGAAGAGTCCTGTGCAATGATCTGTTTGGACCACGGACACCATTTCGGGACGCGCCTGAAATCAGAGACACGCAAGGCGGGAACCGTCCGCACCGTGCAAACGCACTCTTGGCGTTGTGTTTTCTGCGTTGGAAGTTCTACGTTGCCATGTCTGAGGATCTGGCTGTTTTTCCATGGGAATACACGCAGAGTTGTGGTTCTGGGGGTTGATATGGACTTCTTATGAATTGCCAATTTGGAAGTAAATAAGTCAAAGACTTGGACAAATCATGGGAATCTGGATGTTATAGAGTATACATGAGTATACTGTTGCACCACATGATGGCTCAAGCCCTCTCCCTATTCTTGCTACCTTTCAGAATGCTTTTTCGAAGGAGAAGAGCGAAAATGGGCCGCACCAGCGATGGTCTCGTCTAGTTACCCAAAGATTGTCACTCATGAACATCCCACACTCTCAGAAGATGAGACAGAAAACATCAACAAATTCAGAACTTGGCAGGTCACTCCTGAAGACACAAAGAGAGCTTCTTTTCTGGTGCCTCCATTCTCTCATTCTCTCATTTTCTCCACGTCTAGAAGGAGCCAGCTTTCTCAAAAAGGAAAACGGAGCCATTTTGTTCGCACCTCGCATCTCGCATCACTCGATTGGTCTGCCGGCATTTGGCAAACAGATCACTTGGAGCCTGTACTCCCAATGCGCGCCGCGTGAATGCGCGCCGCCGAAGAGTTGAATTTGGGGCCTAGGGCCTATGCCTTTGACATCTCAGCTTGAGCAGTTTTTGGGCTTGCCTCCTGGCAGGTCGCCGCGGGATTTGCAGCAACCTCATACAAATTGATGTTGGACTCTAAATGTAGCCAATGGACGTGCAGCAACCTTGTACAAAGAAATGTTTACTGGAATACTGGACTCAAGATGTGTACATCAACCGAATCCAAACCTGGTCCGGCTGGGCTATCTCAGGATTCGTTCACAGCCCAGGTCGTACACAGCTCCGTCGCACTGTCAAACGATTCAAGAAACCTTTATTGCAGACTTGTTGATAGACTCTACACCGAGTGCTCTGAAAGAGGTCCTCTGTGTCATTTGCTGTTCAATTCATCATGTGGGGGAGGCATGATTGAACGAGTTAATGGGGGTTTGTATGGTCTTGTATTTATATTATGTGTATTTCAATATGGAGACCCCAAGCAACCCACCGGTTTCGGTTGAGATTCCTGAAAATCGCAGGGGGGGGGTCTTTGGGAGGTCTCCCTATGTCCAATTGCCTTTTGATGTTATTTAATGACCAGATCACTCATCTAAATTGACTCAGTCTATCTATCCTTTTGGCCTCCAAGAGGTGTTAGACCATGAGCCCCCACGTGGGAGCGTCCAAAAACGTCAAAGGATGCCGCTGCTCGAAAAAAGGCCACATCTAAACCCTGAACGGAAGAGGACACCGACGGAAGAAGCACATCCCCGCAAAGGATATGGGACGGAACCCAACCGAAGATCAACCGTCTGGGTCTGGGAGTCCATGTGGACCTCTGCTGAGAAAGGGGTGTCTACCCGGTCTCCCCATGTCTCCACACCGGCCACACCACATCGGCGGAATGGGTGCGCACCCGAATCTGGGCAAAGTAGGGATGTTGCATAGCCTCTTTTGGCAAAATTCGCTGAGCCTCGGAAGACAAAGGACGGAGCCGTTGACGAAGAGACGGGCAGAAATGGGATGTGGGGACAGGGGACAAACACGGCGCACATGAATGTGAACAAATGTGTGAACCTCCACTCTTCCTCATTGTTAGCCAGTTTTGGGTCACAAGCTTTCCTGAAGTGAGACGTTCGTGCCTTGTTATCAAGATATATCAAGCGACTTGCAGCTTGCTAAGTGCTGAGCATGGTCATAGACCAGCATTCTGTCTATGAGGTCCAGCACATCCAAACTGACAGGGCTTTCCCGGAAAACCGAAAACCCGCAGAAGACCTTTCTCGAATGATTGTAATTGAGAGTTTCCAAAAAGAATAGGAGTATTAGGAGGTTAATCTCCTCTAAATGTTCTCTTGGACACCAATTCTAACACTGCCTGATAGACCAATTCTAACACTGCTGCACATGGTGCCAGACTGTTCATTTGTTCACACCCAGGACGAGTTCTGCGCCTCACCAAGTGCTGATTCTCGGAAGTCACAAATTTCGACCAGGCCTTTCTGGAGTGCCTGCGCAGCCGCGAGCGGTTGCACGTGAGGCTACACGCTGGTGCACGGTCCGGTTGAGGCCACAACAACATGTGCACCTTCAAAGCGAACCGAACAGGCTGAACGAAGCTTAACTGGCTTGGCGGATCAGATCTTAGGCAAAACTTGTGTTGTCATCTTCAAGTATCAACTTCTAAAGACGAACAAAGAAGTCGTTTCCGTGGATGATCAGCTCTGCCCGGACATGACGAGTCGACCATTTGGACGAGCGAAAAACCCAGGAGATGGAAGGGGATCCATCAAATGGCAGTGGGTCATAGCACCCAACGCTAGCCTCGCTTGCCTGGTGACTTCCGACTCGGTCGTTTGGCCCGACATTCGGTTCTTTGCTTTCGGTTCGGAGCCGCCGCGACCCGACCCGGGCTCCGAGGAGATCCGAAACAGTCCGTGACAACGACCAGTCTGGTCATGCAGGGATTTTAGAGATCACCGGTTTGGGAGTTAAACAGCTGGTTTATGCTGGTTTGATGCATTCTATTCTAGACATGTGGGCGATTGTCCTGAGATCATGACCGGAATGTTCCGTTCAGCTCCTGAAACCTTGGGCAGGTCCTCGATAAAGGGCTTCAGGTCGTGACCAAACGTGAGGTTCTTTCAATCTCCAAATAAATCAAAGATACACTGATAGTTCATAGAGCAAGCTACTTGGTAAGCACTGCTGCATCATCGCATGAGTTGAGACACGTTTGGCCTTTGATTGTTTCATATTGTTTCTAATTGGGGGCTTTTGTCCCACACAGTCTGCTGCATGGCTTTGCTTGTTGGTATATGTTCGGGCAAAAAGTGACCACTTCGTTAGAAAGCCAGCAGGTTTCTTGATCATTTTTCGCTCTCATCATCCCCATTTTTTTGACTGCATCCAAAGCAATCTGAGATCATCCGCATTGCAGCATAGCATATCTTTTGGGTTTATCGGATATATCGGTCTATCCAATTATCAGGCTTCGGTGGATGATGATGACGACGACGACGGCGATGATGATGCCGGTGGTGGTGGTTCAGTTGTAGGCCTTTCCATCTCTAGAAATAGTGATTCTTGTGGATCCCAACTCTTACAGGTAAAACCCTGGCTTCCCCAGACCCTCCTGGCGCAGGCCAGCATCTCTAACTTCACCAAACGTCTCTTCAGTGCTCAGAGGCTATCATCCTTGATGCAATTCGTTCCTCCACCCCCCGCCGGAAAAGCGGCTACAGTACCGCTCAGACATGTGTATGCTTGCCCCTGAAATCAGACGAGGTCTGATCAGACGCGGCTGACGCATGAAAATGCATCGCTTTAGCTTTGTTGGTGGGCGAAGCGGTATCCGCGGCGCCTTCCAAGGACATGGTCAAAGTGCGGATCCAATTCTTGGTTGTACTTGTCCAAGTAGGCAAACAAACCATCTGTGCCTCAAAGACGGCAAGGCTAAAGGGTGACATGTTGCACAGCCATTTGACAACAAGACGGCCATGACAAAACGACTCAGCGAACGTCAAAAGTGAGAGAAGAGCAAATTTTTCCCCTAGCCCTTTCTCATGCAACGCAGGTGGTGGAACATGACATTAGTAAACATAGTCAGCAAAGTCACTTTAGGGCCTGTTCAAAAAAAACGAATATATATATATATATATGTATATACATTCAAAATCGTGAGATCATCCTGCTTTCCGCACTAATCCTCCATGAGTTGTCCTTGCTATTTCATCCCCTTACTAACTTTCGCAAGCTGAATGCTTCCGTGCACTTTTGTGGACCAAACCGCCCCACCGCCCCACCGCCCGTGGGTTTCTGAGGTCCCCGAACCCAGCACGCGAGCTATCTTGACCAATTGATCATAGTTGTCTTGGCCGTGGAAGAAGGGCTCTTTTCGAAAAACCTGCACACGATTGCACGGGTTCTAGTCTTTAAAAAAAATCACGTGGGCGAAGGGAATTGAGATGAAAGGAGAAGCACATTGAAGCTCCGAGTTACTTTTTTCCGAATTCAATCTTTTTCCCTGAATTGATTTCTCAAAAGAGACCCCCATGGCTGCCCGATGGAATGTAATGTAGACTCTTTCTGAACCCATTTGAATTGTAAAACATTGTAAAACCTCTTCACCAGCACCACCCGCGCAGTCCTGAACGAAGTCCCCTGTTAGGACGGAGGTCCACGGCACTGCTGACACTCATGGTCAGACAGCACATTATGGGGGATTGAAAAGAGTCAAAGTCAGGGTCCGTCTACGAAAAAATGACACGTTGGTTCTTCTCGGTCGAAACATGTCGTTCGACAGATCGCCCCACCATTCTGGCGCACCATTCCGGCAAGCATACAGCCCAAGCTCCAAATGTCCAAGGAGTAGTCGTAGAGCTGCAAATCTACCTCGCGGAGGTAGTTGGTTGGTCTCAAAATGAGAGCAAAACCACTTCGAGACTGTTCTACTGCCGCTGGCGGCCTAGCAATCAATCTGTCACGAAAGAAGACGATGCATTTCAGGTTTAAGGCAAATTTGACTCTTGGAGAAGGTTTTGCAATGTAGAATACAAACAGGGGTGGGAGGAGCATTTTTGGGGAGGGGCCACCAACCATGTGAATCTTAAGAGTCTTCCAGGACCATTTGATCTACTACACCCACGACTCGACGACTGGAGGGTGGTGGAGTCCACCTGCCGGACTCGAGTCGGACTCGATTTTCCAAGATCAGGTCACAAAAGATATGGACCTTTCTCAGTAACAAGAACGCTACCGCTACGAAACAAGTTGGGGCATCGCGACTCGAACGGAGCAAGGGGCGCCAAAGTTTCGGGGCTCCTGGCCTTACTACTAGGAGCAAGAAAAGCCAAAGTTTCATCATAGTTCATCCATCTTCTGAGGGCAGCACGAGAAGCTCCGGACCTTTGTAGTAGCGGGAGGCCACCTGCGCCGAGAAAGGCAACACCGCTAAATACCGCGGTTTGGAGCTCTCCTTGGTCCTTTTCGGCAAGGCTCCCAGGAAGTTTCGAGCCCTTGTTCCACATCGGTTGCTCAAGATAAGATGCAACAGACGTGTGCCACGCGTTTTTCCGCGGCACACCAGCACAACCTAATCAGTAAGAAAACGTGTGCGCCTCAGCCAGGTTCTTGATTCAACATCACCAAGAACTTCACTCAAACAAGTATCAGCAGCACAGCTCCATACAGCTCTATAATGCTCTATATTGGGTCTATCCTAATACCTGTAACAGTGGATGATGATGGTTAGTAAAGGCCTTGTACAAAAATGACGATAATTGTTTACTGACTGTTACAGGTAATTCCCTAGCTCTATACAAATATATATCAACAGCCTCAACAGCTACCTACCGGCTCGGTCTACCGGCTCAGCTCCAGTGCAGCTCCAATTTCGGTTCGTGCAATGCTCTCTCGGTTGAACCGAGGAGGTTTCCGCTCTGAGGGGCCGAGCCCGAACGTTGTATTCCCGACCAGGGTGATAAAACTCAGCTAGGCCCCAGTCGATGAGTCGCAACTTCCTGGGGGCAGAGAACAAAGTGGAAGGAAGGTTGGAAGGAAGGTGGGCGTGAAAGCAACACCCCCCGTTCCGGTCGAGCCAGAAGAGGTGTGGGATCCAACGACCATGGTTGTTTCGACGTAGTGCGACTGAAGAGATGTGGGCTGAAAGAATCCTGCCAGTCGCAACTGTTGGGGTTAAGGGTTCTGTGGAAAGAACAGGGCACTGGCAGATGGCGGTTTTGGAGTGAATGGCCATTCCGGCCAGGGGGGTCCATTGGTTCCAGCCATTGCACACTTGGTGCATGCAGGTGTGCAAGAAAGCGCAGTCCTGAAACTGGGCATTGTTGCAACATTGTAACACATCCAGAATCACCCGAAGATCCGAAGTGGTCTCTTGGATCCCAACGAGGCAAAATGAAGATTCCACATCATACATAGCACCACATCGTTCCTATGGTCTGTGGTTTTGCATGTTGTATAGGCCAACAATCAAGGCTTGTCACCACCTCCAGTCACCACCTCCACCACCACGTGGCCACACGGGCCCACACGTCCCGCCGCGCCGCTGAGGCAGCGACCGATTCTCGTGGTCGATCATGACCTGATCCCGGCGGAGGTCGGCGCGGATCACATGGTCGGAAGACAGGTGAACCCAACTGGAAGACCAGACTGGGGTCTTCCAGCCCAGTGCTATGAAGCTTCGTTCATCTTCCAGGGCGTAGCAGCAAATTCTCCCCCCCACCCTCAAGTCATTGGAATCTTGTTCGGAGTCCAGAGCCGAACTGAGCCCTTTTCCAGTCCAAAAAAACACCCAGATTCTTAGGGCAGGATGTTTTGCCCCACCCACCTGGCACAAAGGAGAGAACTGAGGCGTTCTGATCCAAGCGACGCAGAGTGCAAAGCGACCCTCGAACACATGCCATGGTATCATGGTTTTGTTCTGCATGCCTTGAAAGACCCCCTGTTTGGCTCGTTCCCAGGCCCTCCAGGAGCCTCCAGATGTGTTCTTTTCTGAGAAGAAAGTGATTACAGTATGGTCACCGCCGTGTGTTTTCACACGGCCGTGCGACGACTCCACCACCGCCCAAACGGCGAGTCCGGCGAGCCGACGACTCACCACCGAGGCGAGGTGCATTGTGCGGCTTCACATCCCGATGCATGATCCCCTGAGAGTGGCAGTAGTCCAGTGCCTGGCCACGAAGAACGTTCGTACCGTTCGTACCGTACCACTAGTAGTGGAGAAAGCGAAAAGACGTGCTTGGAGAAAGCTTTACTTCTGAAGGAGAAGAAGACACAAAGCAAGTATGGGTGGGTGGACTCCGGCAAAAGCCATTGATGTGGTTCGTCATAGCAACACAGGACATTTTACCAATTCGATAGCAGAAATCCTTTGAGTTCGATGCAGAGCTTTCCCTTTCGCCTCAGTTCCCGCGTTGAGATTCCACTCAATTCGCTCAGATCGGCCTTAAGAATCTCAAAGATGTAGTACCGAATGTCGTGGTCGGTGAGGGTTGGGTAGAGTTGCTTGAAGTCGGTGTTGTTGATGTACTCGAAGATCTCAGCGGAATCAAGCGGAATCGAGCAACCACCATCAAACAAATATCAGGGACAGAAGTGAAAGAAGTCCCAGATTTGCTGACAACCCAATTGAAAAGTCAGCTCGATAAAGGATGCTCTCAATCTCATAGTCAAAAGAGCACCTCTGTTCTCAAGTTTCCAACCAGCCAACATGTTTCGGCAAAGCTTCAGCTCAGCTCTTCAACACCAATCCGCTGGGCCGCTGGGTCACCGGGCCAGGCTCGGTGTCTTGGACTGGGGATCACGCACCACGTCCAAAAGCTTCACGATGTTGGGACCACCGTAGAGGTTCTGAAGAATCCTGCGATGTGTCTTGGACTGGCTTTTGGAGACCCACATGGTGCGGAAGAGACCCACATTATGGAGCACGGGGTGTGCTTTCGGTGTGCTTTCGGTGTCTTTTTGTCTTTTTCTGGCAGATGGGTTGGTGATGAGGCTGATGTTGCGGTTGGCTCTCGTGGTCGAGTAACATCAAGAATGAATATGGACATGAATATGGCTGTGGGTCTAAGCGTCTTGTACCCAAAAATGTGATTCTCTCTCTCTCTCTCTCTGGGCTATAGGCCTATAGTTTGACCCACATCAATGCTTATTTCATGTGCTCGATGAACTAGGGAGGTATTGGAAAGTCCTCGGGTTGCTGGGTGTTCTACACAGGACGATTGGGTCCTCAATGCAAGTGGGTTGTGAAGGCAACCAGTGCAAGCTCATGGCCAATCATGCTCTTGGAATTATGATACTCTGCAGTCCATAGTGTTGACAGAGGATTAAGTAACCTCCCCCTATTAATCAAGCCCCAGCTCGAGCCCCCAATACTAAACTAATTTAAACCCTGGTACATCACCCGAATATGTTTCCTAGCAGAAACCTCCAAGCCCAGCTCCCCCAGAAAAATATAGTTATATAGATACAGAATGAATTCTTGATTATCTAATTTCTTTTTGGGCAGTATCCAATATCTTCTGGTCCATGGTCAACATATGTCAACATCATTCTCATCCTCCTTCCGCTTCTCATCCTGCTTGTTGTTCTTCTCATCCTTTCCTGTTATAACACAAAAGACTCACTAGAAAAAAATATTTCGTTGTCCCTTATTAAAGCTCTATCAACATCTTAAGGTGTTCAAGCTCACAAAGGGTACCCCTCACGCAGGCCCTACCTCCCTCTAATAGTGGGGCCCTCCCCCTATTAATCAAGCCCACCCTCTGGCCTCCATCTTGTCTTCAATCTCTTTCATCCTGCAATCCTCTTTCTTTTCCTAATTATCCCAATCAATGAAAGAATCTTGTCTTCCGATCTCTTTCATCTCTTTTCTAACCATCCCACTCCCAATCTTTCCTAATCTTGTCATCATCTCATCATCCATCATCAGCTCATCACCTTTATTAGGGGGATGTGGTCTCCAATCTCTCCAATCCCAAACCTTGTTGACCTAGTTGACCTTGAAGGGGGGGGGGTGCTTGATCCGGTGTCGACATTACAATAAGCAGATCCCCAAGAACCAAGTCTACTACACCAGTAGTATCCAGTAGAATTCTGGTCTGCTCCCTGCTTTTCAGGAATCTGGTCCAGTCCGGGACGGAGAAAACCGTCGCAGCGATCCCGCGTCGCCACCGCTCCCGCTCCCGCAGCTTGACCGGAAGCAGCCGCACAACGGACTCAAGAGGCGGAGACCGGAGACCGGCGGGTCGGAACTTTCCCCGCTCCTAATCTCGCGCTTGATCTTCTTCTTCTTCACTGGCTTCAAAATCCTTGGCACAACGGTACTGACCACGGTTTTGGAGCCAAGGATGATCTTTCGCCGGATGGAAGAACACGACGGTTTCTCGGACGGTTCTTTTTGGCGCCAAACATGGACATGAAGTCATCATGGCGATCCTGGGTGGAGCCTCCAAGGTGGGAAGACCCATTCCGTTGCGTCCATGACAAGGGAACATGGCATCACATCAGGCGAGTTTTCCGGCATCTTCCATCGAAGAACACGTACAGGAAGGGACGTTTCTCAGATCAAAGCTTGATGACGCACTTCTCTTGCGAAGCCATGTGGATGCCTTCAAAGACCTCGAGGCCACATCAACACATCCACACAACGGATGTTCACCCGACGACCGCCCGAAGAAGCGGCGAAGAAGCGGAGCCGCGAAGAAGGGTGCCTCGCTGTATTTGCCTCTGCCCACTTTGCGAAGAACCTCGTAGTCATCTTGGCACCTGGCAGAGAGGTTCTCTTTTCATGAAGACGGCAGGAACATGAAGGAACCGTCTGTGACGACAGTATATAACATTTTTTGGCAAGAATGGATCATGACATTGCATTTTTGCGGGTTCTGACACTTTTGTTCAAGATCCCTATCTGCAACTCAGGTGGCGTCATTGCTGAAATTGCAGGATCATTGTGAAGAAGCTCGGGCATGCTCACCCTATGTGGGCTGACAGCGACTTCAGCGCCCACCATTTGGCTGTGAGTCAAAACCTCCCCACCAAGCCATGGTAGGAATCTGTTCATTTGACCAGGGGTCAACCAGGGGCCGGAGTTTTGACCCACAGCTATTTCCGACTCCAATGAAACCATTGGAAACTCCCCTACTCGGTCATCTTCTTCCATTGTCTTCCCATGTCTTCCACACCATGCACTGCTATGTTTGAATTCGGAGTGTACGGTATTTGGCACATCCGTCTACGGTGTTTGTATTCTCTTCCTTCGTGATTCACACCTATTTTTACCATCTGGATCACATGACTCTAAGCTCTCGACCCCCAATTCACCGACAGGTTCTCATAGTCCCAATACTCCCGCGGTCGATTGACCTTAGACCCAAGCAGTCTGTGCATCTGTTCCGTCTGATTCGAACACAATTCGACACATCTCCTCATCGAACGCACGAACTGAGGAAGCTGCATTCACATCATGATACAGTCGAGGCCTTGGTACAGTCGGAGCTATCGAAGTGCTGAACATAAAGAAAAACAGTGTTTAATATGTGTAAATGTATTAATATACCTATAGAGAAGCAAAACACCAACAATTTGTAGGCTCCTAGGATGAAACCTCGCTTTTTCAGGGGAAGAGATGGGAACATCATCTTGCCTCGAAAGACCTCGTCTTTTGGTAAAGCCACTGAAGAGTCGAGCCCGAAAGCGCCACCAAGAAACACCTGTTCTTCCCCCTGTCTTGCTTGTCTCCCGTGCCTGCCTGTCTCCAAGGGTCTTTATGGATCCATAAGTCAAGTGTCGACCATTCTTCCCATTCGAAACCATCTGCTAGCTGGTCTTTTAAATAGACCGCATACCGGGGCACAAATGGAGGGTGACTTGACCAACAAAGCATCAGGAACACCGGTTTCCTTTCTTTGTATCCCCGCATCACAGCTTGCTCGTACTTAAACCGGTAAAAAAATGAAACATACCGAACCCATATTGTCCATCTTCCCACAAACAACATTGTGTTTTGAGAACCCATATTTATATAACCCGTACGGAACCTGTACTAAACCATACTAACCCGTATACTAAAAATAGTTTTTGTTGCATCCCTGCCGACCAAATGCAAATTGAAAGTTCTTAGATTCACAGCTGCATGTTGAAGGCTCACTTTGGTTCCTGGTGAAAAGTGTTCTTGGTGAGGTCGACTGGTGACTTGTGTCCGAAATTCAGGTGCGTGCTGCCAGATCCAAAAACATACATTTTGGAAAACAGCGTCTTCTCCTGAAAAAGATCGTCTTTCTCTCATGTACTACGGTTTCTTGGTATGTTGATTCCCCAGGTCTAGTCTAATGTAGACGCTTGATTCAAAACGCCCCCCCCCAACAGTTTCTTGGACAGGTCGGGGCTGAGTCGGACGTGGTGCGGACGCCTCCGGTGCCAACGCCGCCAACCTGGGACGCCCGGGCAACTGACTCACTCCTCCTTCAGGTGCTGCTCGCATGGTGACGCGCCGGGGCCCCAACTGGCAGCGTGGCCACGGGGTGGCGGAGAGGAAGAACGGGGCCCCGGGGCGGCCAAGCTCTCCCGAGCCGCAAGGTGTTTTGGGAAGGCGCCCCCCTTTCAAAGGGAAAAGAAAGGGTGGAAGAACCCTCAAAGACTCAGAAACCTCAGAAGCCCTTCAGACTCAGAATGATCAATTTTTTGGGGGGGTTCAAGAGATTAGCACGTCCGAAAGCACCCAGCACATCCCTGGTTCCCCATTTTGTAGAGGAGAATCCTCTTTAAAATCCCCTCAAAGTGGGTTCTGGTGCCTTTGGGAGGCCCAAAAACATCCAAAAAACACAGGTTGCGTGACATGTGTCTTCCGGGAACTCTCGACTCCAGTAATTCTGCAGTCCAAGTCGCCAGTAATTCTGCAGTGGCGACGGCTGCAAGGGTCGCAGTTTTTCTTGACAACCTCAAGCTGAACACCTGCCATCGACCATGACTGTTGTGGTAGACCCCCAGCGGACGGACATCTCTCCTGCTAAGACGGGTCGCAAGGGGAAAATCGCAAAAGACCGTGAAGACCCAACGTTTCAAGGTCGTCTCAATGGCGTTTCCTTTTCATGGAAGACGAAAAAGGAAGCAGATGTGGGTCATGCCTGGCCTAACCAGAAATCCTCGAAATCATGTAGACTCTTCATTTATACTTCCCCCATCCTCCCCCCACAATCGAACGATCCCCCCATTTGAATGTTTCACGACCTCTTCATAGTTGGGGGAAGCTTTCTACTTCTCCAGAGCCTACATGAAACTCTGTAGCCAGACGTCTTGTCTCAACTCCCCACTGCTCAGCGCACTCTTCGGTCCAAAAGCCCTAGGGCATGGCGCATGTACCTCGGCACGTGAACGGCGTGAACGGCGTGAACGGCGTCGGGACTGACAGTGTCCAAGCCGGGAAGTGGGCCCCCACACGTGGTTCAGGTTTTTGAGTGTGCACCCCCCCTCCATTGGAGCGTCCAAGTTCAAGGATTCTGGATTTTTGATGTGTGATGCTTTAAACTGGGCTGTGGATGGCAGTGAATATATTGGTGCAAGCAGTAAGGCTGGCGGTTGGAGAGAAAACAACCTGAAAACCCACCTTTCAGCATAATATGCTCGAGTCGGCTTGCGACTAGCTGTGGCCGTGGCGGTTCAATCATGATCTAAAGATGTGACAAAAAGCCGCTGAGTCCTGGACTCCTCTGACAAGGTCAGCCAAGTCTATAAGGAGCCGAAAGGAGCCGCGGTCGAAGAACCACACCAGCACCCTCCAACGGCCCCAGCCCCAGCCAGATGAAGCCAGACCAGTCGATCGAAAAAAAGGGGGGCCCTCCAAAAAGAGACCACGGGGTCAAAAGGAATGGATTCCTCGTGATTCCTCTATCCCAGACACCCCATGGGACTGTCATAGGACTGCCGATCAGGCCAGGGGTGGTGGTTACTTTGGGGGGTCAATGGGGCGGCAGTCCTATGGCAGTCCCATGGGTCGTCGTGTCTGGGTCTCTTCGACATGACCCAACCCCTTCGGTTTGGAGGTGCAACGACTCGCCATCTCGACCTCCCGGAACGGCCCGGTCCGCCCGCGCGCCGCTTTGGACCCAGACAATGGGTGGCATTCGCGCCAACGAAACTCGAGGTCTGGGTGCCGTTCTCGGCACAATCCATGGTTTGCTCAGTACCCTATAGGCCCGTTGACTGTTCGCTTCTCCAAACTCTCCAATCCACCGGTCCACCGTGGTTTGTGTCGACATCTATTTACAAGCTATTTCTGCGTGCGGCTCAGAGGTGTGCTTCGGCCGCGTGGTGCTTGCCAGCTATGTCCTGTTTGGAAACTCGGAGTGCCCGTTTGGTCTCGCGATGCATGATACATCCGTAAGATCACAAAGAATACGTGCATGTCAAAAGCGGGGAAGAAAAGAACTGCAACTGCCCCTCTTTGTTTTTGTATTACTTTATGTTTCTTTCACTGAAGAAGAAGCTCTTCTTCCGTGTTCTTTGGTGCAAAGCAAAGCATCTCCCAGTGTTGGTCAAACCTCTTGAACATCCTGAAGCTTCTCGACCTCGACCTTTCACATCCTGCGCCTGGCGAGGTGAAAACACGGGAACCCCGCCACGCGTGAACACCTGCAGCCTTTGTGAGTGTGCGAAGCAAGACGTTTGGACCAGTTCCTGTGCTGTTGGACAGGAACTTGTTTTAAGACCGAAAAAGGGTGTGGTGAGTCCCTCCAGGAGGCACCCAACCTCCATGGAACTGGAACTTTTGATGAACGTTCTTTCGGACCGTGTGCATGAGCGAGCATGAGCTTCTGACCAGCTACCCTTGCAAGAGGGTGCCGTTTTTTTTGGCGCCTTTGGTGCCTTTCTCCGTGGCTTTTAGAGGAGGCATTTTCAGTGAAAACGAGACCTCTCCGAGTGACAGCTTGGTGCTTCGCCTTGCCAAACCCCTCGTCCCAAGACCGGAGCCGCTAAAAATAGAGCGAAAACCAGGAGTCACAAGACGGGGGTGCCGAGCTTGGAGGATAGGGGTGCCCAGAACATCCACTCACTGGATGGGACTAACATCTTGTGACTCCTGGAAGAAGCTCTTCCTCAACCCACTGAACTGCCCTTTTTCTGCCCCGATCTGCCCTGCCTGAGAGTCAAGCACGTCGTCCTCAGACAGAAGTTCCCCATCCTCCTCGTTCGTCGAAGACGGTCGCCACTCCTCAAAGATCTCCAGGTCTTCAGCCTCCAAGTGGAAATGCATCGAATCCATCTCTACCTGGCGTTCGTTGGGCAAGTCCCGTTCGCCAGGTAAACACCCGCCCGATTCACCGGAGTCAAAGACCTGAGTGCGGGAACTTCCACACTTCAGTCGGTTCAGACGTTGACGGAGTCCAGGCAAAACATGGGCGAGGCCCCACTCCATGGGCGAGGCCCCACTCCCACCTCCGGAACTACTCCTGTCTCAAGGGATGACTGGTGACCACCCCCAACCCACATCGCCCCCCACCCCTCCGAAGTCCATTCGGCTCCGTTTGGATCCACACGGAAAGGCCACTCAACCACCCAGCCACATGTCCCGGGACCGGCAAAGACCACTCCTTCAATGAATCCGACATGGAGTGGTCTCTGACACCACCTGGACCTTGGTCTTCGGGTGAAAGCCCACGTCCCTTGGTCTTCGCATGCACCCACGACGGCTCAGCTCCCGGGTTGGACGTGCCTCGGGTCCCAACACGGGACGTCGGAATCGCCCCCGGAGCCACGGCTTGGTGCTCGAGCCGACCCGTCCGTCCGAAGACCACGGTCTTCACGTCTCACAGGCCTCCATGAAGACGGGCAAACGGATGGCACGACCTCAAGGACTCAGTGTCTGTTCGCATGAAGCGAAGGACTGGCTAAGGGGACAGCAAACTGGTGCTTGGTTTGTCAAGCTTTTCAGAAGCGGACACGTGTAGTGACTCTTATTGGCCATGGCCATGGATTCAAAGTCTATTGCATGCTCCAATGATCTTCGACAGGGTTCCTTGTTGCTTCCCAGGACCTTCCTCCCTGCTCCCTTGGATCTTGAGACCAAACGCATAACATCGCGTGTTCCCACCGAAATCTGGCTGAATGACCCTCCCAAAATAGCTACACATGGCAACTGACCCTGTCTGTGAGAGGAGAACCATTTTTATAAAAGGGTTCTGGCAGTTGATTCTTGGTTCAACAGAAAGAAAACCCGAGGGGAACTCTCTTTCTACACCGAAGAGAGGAATAGCCCCCAGCTTTTGCACGAAGATTCTTCTTCTGACCAAGACTTCCAGTCAGCGTAGACGGTTGATTCATTCAACCCCCTCGGATGAAGAGGTGTTTCAATCCACAAGGGGAGGTTATTGGTGTTCAAGAGTCCTCCTCGCAGTTCACTGCCAATCCTGCCATCACTGACGTCTTCGTCCGCGGACTCGTTGCACATGTGTCATCAAAAGTCGACTCATTACAGCCGCTTTCTTATTCGACTTGAGTCCCTGTTCTCTTTCGAAACAAAACTCAAGACCCCACGCCACACCAGGTCACTCATCTGCGGATCGTGGATGGGATCGTGATATCTACGGGCTGCGCATGGCTGCGCTCCGCGCCGCTGGAATCGTCCACCAGTTCTCCACCAGTGAGCGGAACGCAGATCAAAGGTGGCCATCACCGCCCTTCCAAGGTGTCCCAACTGTCCGCACTGTCCGCCGTGGTCAAGCCGAGTGAGACGGTCCAGCAAAAAACATCACCTCTTCCCACAGCGCCAGCAGGTTTGAGGAACAACTTGCAGGCTGCTGTGGTTGATGCGTCTGTAAACACATGTTGAAACAAAAAAATCGTGCCTTTGTGTACAGCACTTACTCAGTGATTCAATATCATTCAATCAGGTGTTTGGAACCCATGATCTCCGCTGTAGGCCGCCCTCCCCTCCCAACTAGGTTGACGCCCTTGGCATGTTCAGCTCGGCCAGGCGAACACTGGGCAACCCGGACCAGCGGACTCCACCTCACTGTTTGCTGCCTTTTTGTTCTTCCCCTCAGCCGATCCAAAGCCAGGAGTCAACATCCCACTTTCAGCCGCTCACTTCGTGAAGCCCAGCGGACATCTGGACGGTTTGAAGGAAGTCGCCGTCTGGAGGACAATGTGGACATCACATTTGGAGGACATTACCTAGAACATCCTAGAACCCTTTTGACCTGCTGTTGATAGGAAAAGACCATGTTCTGGCTCGAAAACAGGGGTCAATCAGGTTCTAGGTGCTGTGGTTTCTTGCAAAACCTCGTGACGATCGAGAGCCCGGACCCCCTACATGATCTCCGATCCAAATAGAGGTCACCGGAGGTCACCTTGACGCAGTTGGTTTCAGAATGCCATAGAATGCCCCTGCTTTGCCTCGCCTTCAAAGGCCTCAGCTCTTGCATACATTGCATCGATTTCCATCGATGTCCTCACTCCGCAACCCCGAAACCGTGGCCGCATTCACGCCGCGGCGTGAGCGCGCGCGCGACGGGGCCGCGGCGGAGCTTTTCTTCTTGCCTCAAGTTCTCAAGATGGATCTCAAGATTCTTTTGGGATCCTTGGAGGCTACGAGTACCTTTGTGGGGGTGAGACAAACATGCTGGGAACACATGCTGAAACGTCCCCAGTTCCGGCCCACGCAAGAGACGGAAGAGAGCCAAAGGTCCGGCCGCTGACTCCAAGGGGCTCGTTCGGGCCTCCCGCTTCTCCTCACGGCGGGGCTCGACCGGACCGGACGTGTGGAGCCTCTGTGGGCAGGACCTCCATATATGGGACGTTTTTTTGGTGATGATTAAGTCATGATGTGTAGTGACCTACTTACATTTGGGGTGTGAAAAGGGTCCCAAGGAACAGGATATGCTATGGCGAAACCCTGAAACGAACTGAACCCGCTTCATCCCGCTACCAGACCTTGCAGTTCCCCAACCACCAGACCTTCGGTTCCCCAACCACCAGACCTTCGATTCGCCTCGGAGAGGCCTCCGGTCTTGGGCGCTTGGGACTTCACACGTTCCGCTCCACCCAAGGCTTGGCCACGTGCGGTCGACGCCCCAGTCGGGCGTTGGGAGCATGTAACTTGGACCTCCAAAGGTCGGGGCACTCATGGTATCCTTGGAATCCTTGGCCCCTTCCAAGAGACCAGCCAGGCATGTGGATCCAAAGCGAGGGTTGGTCTCGAAAACGAAGGAAACAGGGGGCTGACGTGCTGCACGCGATGCATCGAACCGAGGTCACACCTTCTCGAGCTCAGTGGTGCTGCGGCTTGGGCCTGGACAGGGCCAGAAAATAATCTCCACATGCAAAACTGGCAAGGGACCTGGGTGCCCATGGTACAATATGGCATACAATGTGCAGTTTCCCTTTCCATTCTCTTCAATTGCTCTTGACATCCCGGGCCGGCCCGGGCCGACATACACAGCATCTGTACCAACTGCGATGGTGGGGCTGGAATGCATCAAAGTCCTCCAGCTACTTGTAACCCCCACACACGTCATGCGCAGAAGAATCTCTGGAATGCCACTGAACTTGTAGAACTTATGTTGCTTCTTTGCTTGTAGCCATCTTCTGCTTGCACATTGCTCATGCCGAATTCCGACTCGTCCCCAGCACCTATACTATATAATGTTCCATGAAGTCCTTCGATCAGGGCTTCTCTCCCGGTTTTACCCGGTTTCAGGGGGAAAGTTTGGTCCATGACCGACAATCCTACTCTCGGCCCAAAAACGCTCCCCAAGTCTTTGCCCTTGGTCACATCCAACCAAACAAAAAAAGTCAGAAAAAAGATTCGAGGAGAAGAAGTAGGAACTAAGGAAGAAGAAGACGACGACGACGAAGAGGAAGAAGAAAAAGAAGAAGAAGGAGAAGAAGACCAAGACGAAGACGAAGACGAAGAAAAGGAAGAAGGAGAAGAAGAAGAGGAAGAAGAAGAAGAAGAGGATTTAGGCTTTGGAAGACACAGAAGCAGAAGAGGAAGAAGAAAAAGAAGAAGAGGAAGAAGAGGAAGGTGGAAAAAGAGACCTTGAACTCCAGGCCAGAACTCTCCAGGAATGCGGTCCTCCCGTCCGAGCCCTGACTCCGTACGGAAAAAAGGCCTTGCTTGCTGGCCGTGCCGCGCGAGCTGCCTGCGGCCTGACCAGGCACCCCACAGTCCCCACAGTAAGCAAGTCCATTGGTCACACAAGGTCCAGACACCCAAATACTACCCAGGTTGTGGGCTCAGGACTTCTTCAATTAAACGTACCAATCGTTATAATCGTTGGAACACACAAGTGGCAAGGTGTTTTTGAATGAGCAAGGCTACACCAGGCCATCATTGCTGATCCAATCATCTACATCAATCTCAAAAATCTCAACCTGTTGCAAATCATTGGATGAAACAACTCCAACTTAGCTTGAAAAGTAAGAATGAAGATCTCAGTTCTTAGCTTCACTTTTTTTCAGACGTCCGGATCCTTGGTTGGAGCTTGCCCACTGCTCCCCAGAAAAAAAGAATAGTTCATTAGTATATTGTTTAAGGCTGCGATCTAAGCTGCGAATGTTTTCCCGAGCAAGCTTTGTTCCACAATCCCTAAAAACCTTTCTAGCAAAATTATTTCATTTTCCCTTATTAAAACTCTATCTAAATCTTAACGTTTTGAAGCTCACAAAGGGTACCTACCCCTCACGCAGGCCTCAGTGTTCACACTTAATCCTATCCACCATCATCCATCATCAGGTCACCACCTTTACTAAGGGGATGTGGTCTGAAATTCCCTCCAATCTCAAACCTTGTTGACCTTGAAGGGGGGAGGTTGATGAATCCGGTGTGTGCATTTAGAAAGCTCCAGGCTCCCCCCCCCCATTTGAAAAAGGGGGTGCATTCAACGTGTTGCCGGTGTTGCCGGTGTTTGGAACTCCGAGTTGGACCAAAAGACCTCCGGCCGCCCCGTCCGCCACGTCCGGACGGACTTCCCCGTCCGCCCCTGCCGGTCCACCCCATCCGCATGGCTTCGACGCTCGGGCGCCTTGGAAGCGTTTCCAAGCCTCACGGCGGGAGCGATCTGCGGATCGGATCTGCTGGCTCGGCAACGGAATGAGAGTGGGGCTGCAGTGAATCCAGTGATATACCTGATGTCTTTGGAGTTGTTTCATGAGTTGTTTCAGAAGGTGTGAGGCATGAATGGCATCCAAAAAGACATGTGCGAGCTTAGAGCAAATGATGAACAACTGAGAAGGAGAACGAGACCGATCACATCCAAAACTACTAAGAGCAACCACCACGCAACCACCACAGCAGCAACCGCCAACCAATACGCTCTCTGCCAGGGTTCCCGGGCCACTTTGCTGACTTCTCCTCGGTTTGGTTGAGCCTTCGGCTGCCTGGCGAAAGCTTCCTCTGGGAGCGCTTTCCGGACGACTGCTGAAGCCATTTGGAGGCGTTTTCATGCTTGTTCCAACCTCGAGATCTGCATTAAGACTTCAGATGTCAAGTGAGTGCTATAAATCAAAACTCGGGTGTATACAGCGTATACAGCGTGACTGTATCGATCGTTTATACTATACAGTATGTTTCGTCTCCAGAGTCTCAGCTCTTTTTCCGAGATGAAAGACTCCCCCAAAACGACGCGATCACCCTACAGAGGCAGGGAAGAGTAAAAACCCGATCACCCTGCTGATCAAGAACCCAAGCAGTAGCGGCCACATGATCTCCTGAAGGCGTCCACATGATCTCCCAAGAATGATCTCCAACCCTACGACTGGCGATAGCCTCCAACCCTACCAGCTACGACCGGCGATGGCCCCGGGACCCTAGTAACCATGTTGGTCCCACCCGTCAAGAGTAGGTCAGCTGCGGCATTTTGGTTTGGAAATCCGCTCGGCACCGGGAACACCTCGGCCGAGACGACCCAATGACGGGCCTTGACGACGGGTCGTCCGGGGTCCGCAGGACGTGCGAAAAGGCATGGATCTTGGGGTCCCCCAAACTAGGAACCAAGGGCATCGCTACGGACGGAGCAAGAAGCTACTAGGAGCAAAGGGCATCGCTACTAGTAAGCCCTTTCTTACTAGTAGCGATGCCCGATGCCCTTGTTCCTAGAAGCTTCATGTTAATGCTATTTCCTTCTGATGGATCTTGGGGTCCCAAACAAGCACAGCTGGAAGATTCTATCCCATCACTTACCCGATTCTACCCTCCTCCTTCAGAATCTGAAACAATTGTGTTTTCTTGGGCAGAACTGAGCCATGCGACGTGTTCGAAGGGAAGGAACATATAGGAAAATTCTGAGACTGTGAAAACGAACGAAAACTCCAAAAGAAACTCTCAGACCTGGTGTTCAACGTTCAGCGCATTGGATGGCTTCCTTGATCTGACCTTCGATTTAGAGCCCACGCCTGTGGCAGCATCATGCGGATCAGGAGATTATGCTCATCCAGGCCATTTTGAAGCAAGCTGGGTGGCCTCTCAAGCGGCTCATCCAAGGCGATGTCTCAACAGATAAGGAAAAAACGCTGGTGGTTGGAATGTCAAAAAAGTGGAAGCAAAAGAGCAATTCGACCCAAGTCTTCATAGTTCTACAATTGCAGAATCAACAACCTTCAACATCATTGGTCACAAGTCATGTGCCAGCTTGAACCAGAAGAGACAGCTTGTAGGACCAGAGACGCAAAAGGGCTCCCAGGCATGTCCTCAAACCAATCGAAACAAAACCTTTGCGGGACATGTCTTCAGTAGGTCCACAGTAGGTGGAGCATCCTGAGGCATCTTCACCACCGTTCATTCTCAGAACCCCTGCCATAGCAGAACGACTTGTTGCTTGTGCAACCTGAGGCGCAGCGTCGATCAACAGAGCATGCAAGGTCCAAATGGTATGAAGGGTCTATCCTATTCCCTGTAACAGCGGATGATGATGGTCAGTTAAGGCCTTTCTCTAAAATTCTAAAAATGTGATAATTCTTTACCAACTGCTACAAACAAGTGACAAGTTCGGACAGCTCAAATGCTCTATTTTTCTACTGCGTCCATTGCCACCAAGGAGCATGATCGGATTAAACAAAAGGCGCTCCTGCAAGCCGACGAGCACGTCAAGGCGTCGCAATCAAATGTGGAAGGACGTCGATCCAAGGCTGAAGAAATCCCCAGGCTGTCCTCTTTCTTGAGCTCCTCTTCCTGGCACTGTAGCTGGGCTGCGAATGCTGCTCATGCTGCTCATCCCTTGGAACATCTCCCATCCTCTTGGGTCAAGGCGGCATTTTTGGCCTGCTCCCAGTGGCTCCCAGGTTTCATTACGTAGCCCCCTTCTCGATGATTCTCGTTATTGTTTCTTAAAGACCCCCCAAATAGATAGAAGTTCGTAGATCCCCACAGAAGTTTGTAGACCCCCACTTGGAACATCGATTGGACACCGGTGCAATCCCTATCTATTTGGGGACCACTGCTGGTTATACAGGTCCGGTGTTCCCCAAGTCAGGCCTTGTGGCTTTGCCTCTGTGAGATGTGGATTGAAAGCCACATCCTCGGCACTGCGGATCGTTCGGGACCGCCCCAGGGCCGCCGGAGCGGCGCCGGGTCGGACGACCGAGAGGACCGGTGGGGGAGCAGATGCCTCGCGTGGTCGGTGGGGCCGCGACGGTGTTTCCCGCGGGACGCAAACCACGTGTTGGTCGTCTTGGCCGTCTTGGGGGGTCCAAATGGGCAAGTTGGAAATGGAGGGGAGTGGACACCCCATCCTTCGAAGTAGCTGGAGGAAGGGAAACGTCTAGGAATCGCCATCCCCGACGTTGATACACAGCCATCACTTCTACATACTTCTACCATAAACAGTTTGGGCCAGCTTAAGACATCCAGGGACACTTCACCATGACTTGACCTGAAGTAGGAAAACTATACCAGCTGCTTTCAAGGAGTCACCAATGCATATCTCCACACTACTTACAGGTCTCCATTGGGCACCCCTTGCAAGCGCTAGGTAGAATCCTCGGAAGTGGTGTATGGAAATTTCGGAGGTGGCCCCTTCTTTGGACCAAAAGCATGTCTTCAAAGGTGAGGGCTTGGACCGACCCGACCAGTTCGCGCCAGGCCGGACATGCTGACCCGACCGGGACCTGGCGCCAGGCCAGCCGGTCGAACCGGGCTCGTTGTTGTTCTTTTGAGCCAAGTGTCTCTGAGGCGACATCATGATCATCGAGTTCCGACCTCAGAGAATGCCCTCAATGGAGTCCAAGACGACTTACACAAATATACAAAAATTTTGCATATTAGATGACCCAAAAAGGACTTTCGTACACACTTCAGTGAAAAAAAAAACGTCAAACTTTGTCAGACGTCGTGGCAGGCGCAGCATTTGGTAAACTTCTATATAGCTCCATTTTTCGTGGCAGGTGCTGCACTTGGTGAACCTCTGTTTCCATTTTTCGTGGCAGGCGCAAGGAATTTGAAGCTCCAGGTGGCCAAACGTGTGGCGAATTGCTTAATCGTAACGTTGGAATCCAACGTTATGCTCGTTTTACGTGGCAGGCGTGGGACAAGAAATCGTAACGTTGGAAGCGTTTTAAAAATAGACTATGTGACTTAAAAAAAGAACGCGTCCAACGTTATGATTTTCACTTTTTTGTGAAACTGTCGCCAAAAACGGATCGTAACGTTGGATTCCAACGTTATGATTTGCACCGCTGCATTTGAAGTTGTCATTTTTCGTGGTATGCGCAGCATTTGGTGAACCTGTAGTTTCATTTTCGTGGCAGGCGCAGTATTTTGTGAATCTATGTGTTCACTTTTCATGGCATGCGCAGCGTTTGGTAAACCTTTGCTGTCATTTTTCGTGGCAGGCGCAACATTTGGTGAACCTCAAATGTCCTTTTTTTGCACTTTTCATGGCGTGCACAGCATTTGATAAACCTTTGCTTTCATTTTTCGTGGCAGGCGCAACATTTGGTGACCTCAAATGTCTTCTTTTGCGGCTGCGCAAGATTTGGCGCACTTTTCATTCTTCACTCAACCTGTGGTTCCTGCAGTCCCGCAAAGGGAAAAAAAACGTTGCTTGCGGATATCCAAGGGAGGGGTTGCAAGACAACAGGGCCATCAAAGCAGGTCCTGCCAATTCTCAAAAGAACGCCTCCTTTGAATGGGTGTTTGCAACGTTTTGTTTTTGCAATTTGTCCAAAAATGAAACCACAATTCGGCTTGCAGATCAGCTTCCAACTGGTGGGCCCTGATTGTATTTAAATACACACCCATCTGTAAGATCCTGGTGCGAAACGAACCGAGCCTAAGTCAGCCCCTAAGTCCGATATCAATGCAGCATGTCTGCAGATGTCCTATACCCTATACCATTTCTATCCTTTTCCCCTTCCAAACATTCCCCTTTTTCCATCTGGATTCCTGGATTCTTCCATGAGTATCGGATGCCCTCCGTTGACCGGTCTGGGGGTGGACTCTGCGAGAGCGGGCTGTCAAATCAAAACAGGGCAACCAACCAATAGTTAATGGAACAAAGCAATCAAAAAAGGTCTATGACTATGAACTGGAGGCGAATTCTCAGGGTGGTCTATATTTGCATCAGAAACATTAATAAACTCTCCAAAAAAGAAACGTTGAATCCATTGATTCGCAGAATGTGTGATGTTGTTCCATTGAGCTTTGAGCCTTGAAAACACCCCAGAAGCTGCTCGGTGGGACATGCAATGTCCCACGGAAAAATCGCCGGAAAAGGAAGAAAAGCAATGGAAAAAATCACAGGGGTGTCCACCCCCATATGTTTTTCTTTTCAGATTGGGTTCTATCAGGTGGTTGTTCATGTGTTCTTTTCGTATGGTTCTTCCGTGTTTTGTTTGTTGGAAAGGCATCGACTCTGCGTCTCCCGAACGGCCGTTCCAACGGCTCGTCTCTTTTTGGGCGCCGGTGCAGGAATTGCTCCAAAGCCCGGTGCCCAAACCTGGCCGCGAAAATGGCCCATGGCCCGAAAACAGGACTTGGATGGACTTGGGATGGAGGTCTTTGATGCTGGTCGTTCTATTTGATGCTGATTTGGATGTCTGATGAGTTCGGATTCACATGGACCCCGGAAAAGAAGATTCACCCGGGAACGAACCACTATCGTTCCTTTACACACCCAGGCTGACCGGTTTGACGAGATCGGACTCAATGCCAGGTCGAGAGCAAGCTGGAGGTGGAGGTGGAGCAAATGCTTCGCCTATAGATGGAGGATCGTGGAGGATGAAACCAACCCAGCAGACCCGTCAGCTGAACTGTTGATTGGCGGAAGATAGTGAATGGGCTGCGTGAGTTCAAAACCTCACCATCTGAGGCCACAAGTGATGTTCGTTGGTCCACCTGTGCCGTGGCTTTAAGAAACCCAAACACGGCCCATCCAACCAGGCTCACAACTGCATCAGTGGCATCCCTTAGAGGCACCAAACAGTTTCCTTCACTTATTCCAAGAAATCATGTCTGCCTTGACAAAAAGAAACACGAACCGTACCAGCAGAGAAGAAAAGTCCATCCCAAACAAATCCAAAAAAATCGGCCTTTCACCCCACCATCACCTTGTTTCATGGTCTTTCATGACTTCGATTTCGCATCACCTGACTTACTTCGGGCCCAAGTCCGGTTTCGGACACTCGCTGGCGCCTGTACAAGATGGACCCTGTGGGCTCCTTTAAGGCCGAAAGGATACAGCACCTCGGCGTGGTGCCCCCTTCCGTGCCGACCTCGCCCGGTCTCGGTGGTCCCGGCTCGAAGGGGGGCGACTGATGGTGTGACGACCGACCTGAAGCCGAAGCTGCTCAGGCTGCGGCAAGGCCTTTTGCAAGGGTTCGCCATGTGGAATCAACTCCCAGCCTCAGAGGTCGCGCACATTTGGTCTTTCGTCGAAGGATTCGTGCTGCGAACATTCGGTCGGGTCGCGACCTTTTCTGCTCGTTCTGACTTCATGGCGGTGAGTATATCGAGTGCTAGATGAGACCAGATGAGACCAGTACCGAGTCTGATGATCAAATGGTGGGTCTGATCATGGGTCCTTTCCCCACCCTCTGTTGACCATGGCCGAAGAAGAAATCCGCCTGTTCCCTTTCAGCCTACCTTTCAGAGCGGAGCTGCCGCCCGGGCGTCCGTGCGGATGAGTTGGCCTAAGAGCTCGCCGACCATCAGAAGCCTCACTGATGAGGCAGTGTTGGAACGGTGTTGTGAATCTGACTAGGAGAAAAAACGACCAACAACAACACGACCCTAGTGATTCAACAAGACAATACAACATGATACAACATCTTCTTAGCACTTTGTGATCGCTTTGGGCTGGTCCTCCCAAGGCACTAATTAGCTTCGACACACCCCAGAGGCCACCTCCGGTCACCGGTGCCGCGCACCATCCGCACCGGCCCGACGGAACGTCGCTGCGTCGAACACCGGGTGCCCGAAGCGCCGGCGCCGCACCATCCGCACCGCGCACACCGTGCGTCGCGTCGGGTCGTGTTGCGTTCGTCAGCCAGCACCGAGGGGCTCCTTTTCGGGCCAGTAGGGCAAGCGTTGAAAATCGTCCAGGAGGATCCCAACGACGACTTCGTGGATCCGCCGCCTCGAGTGAGGCGGATCTCGGGCCCTCTGGGACCGGCACGCGAAAAGAAGCACCCCCCCCCAACAAAACATGAGGCCCTAACATCTGATTGGCCTTCTATTGTTTGTGGTTCTTTTTTGTGAATGAAAAATATTGATCAGCTGTTAGAGATGTCAGAGAGGTTCGTTGAATAGACCAGCGCCGGATTCCATCAGTCAAAGAAGAGCTGTATAGCATGTGGAGGGCCGGGTGATTGAAGGAGGACAGCACTATGTCAGGACATGACAAGCACCGTGCGACGGGTAGTGTCGAACAAATGAAGCCCCGAGAAGATGGTTTTACAGCTTGTAGGTGACGTTCTGCTGTCTGAAAAAAGAACGATTGCAACAATTACACCTGGATTCACGAACGGAACGCTTCGTCGATATCTCATTCCCGGTGCCTTTCCCAGGAATTCATGGCTTGGCTTTCTCACCCACAGCGAGTTCCACCGGGTGCTCGGTGACTCAAATGGTTTCGGTCAGGTTTCAGATGGAGATGTGTTTGTTCCAGTTGATTGCGAGCTGGCTCTGCGCTATTTTGTTTCTCACGTGTCCACTCAGGAGGGGTCTGTCTCCTGTCTGACTTTAAAGCACAAGACCCTAAGCTCCAAGCTCACAGCAGTCAAATCTAGGCCCGAAGCATCGTCTTGTCAATGGCTTTTAACCGCATCAGGCCCACAAATTCCTGTGCAGAACTGTGCTTGTGGACTGCCCTGCTGACCATGAAAAACCTTGAAAACACCTGGTGAACTGCTTGTAGCTGATCCAACAAATCTCACACCCTACTTCCGTGGCTTCTGGCTTAAGAAACAACCCTACTATGGAGATGCACTTGCGCTTGCCATCGTATATTCACCCTTGAATACATCACAGACTGTTTGAACGGAACTCGGCCTGCGTATCAAGGCCCTGAGAGAAGAATCTTCGGAACAATTGTTCCGGAATGCCCTCCACCTGCCACGAACGTAGATGTCTGGTTCGATGTCAGTGTTGGGACTTGTGACTCTGCGCAGTCTTGGGTGTCCTCTTCAGAAGCGAGGCCCCAAAATAATTCAACAAGATTGGAAAGTGAGCAACCGGAGAAAACCAAATGACACTTGGCATGGGTCAGGAATCAAAAGCCCTTTTATGAAGGACAAAATGCCAAAAGCAGAACGTTGGATTTCACGGACTCGTCCATCTTCTTCCAAATCCAAGTGGGTGCGGTTTTTCAATGTTTCTTGATTTTTGTCAAAATCGTTGGGGCTTCAGTTCGCTGCTATTTGCAGCAGTTTGGGCATCCTTGACGAGGACTGCGGGCGCAATCCGCCGTGGCTGACCTTTACCCAGAACGACTTCGGCAGCAGAGCTGACGCTTAAGATACACAGCTGTTGTTGCAGGCAAAGTAGTGCAGATTTTGTATCGCTTGTGGTGCAGCGCAGTGTGGTCTTAAGAATTTCCGTTTTTCGTGGCAGGCGCTGCAGATTTCGCAGCGCTGAAGGAGGGTTGGGGGGGGAGAGCGCAGCGCGCCCCGCGAACCAAGAACATCAAAATACCATAGAAATCCATAGTGTGGCTGGTAGCCTGAAGAAGTTCCAAGGGACAGGCTTGCTCCGATGGCAACAAAGCAATAAACACAGGGCAAAAAGGCCAGAAAAAAGAGAAGCAAAAGCAAACCCAAAAGCCAAAACCAACAAAAACAAAAGCAACAAAAATCACATCTGAAAAAACAACTCCCACAAAACAACTCCCACAAAAGATGACCATCCAATTCAAGTTGACCATCCGGTCTTTCACAGGTCGTGTGCTCCAAACTTCTGGCAGAAACGAGGGCCGCTCCGCCTGGCAGGCATCCACCTGGCGACAGCCCAGGGAAGTGAAGCACACAAACGCGTCAAAGTGGTATGATGCCAGCCTATATTCGATCCGAAAAAAAAACGATGTCTTCCAAAACGAGTTTTCTGGTGGTGAAACCACTCCGACGTCTCACATGCCGGTGTAAGAAAAGAACACATCCAGCCAGCTCGAGTTGCCCGTGAACCTGCTTGTCACCACGACGCTCTTACCACCACGTCGGGTATGGAAGTGGTTTGAAAAGGGTCCGTGAATTTTGCCGCATCTCTGTGGAGGTCAGCTCAACCATCAGATCATCAGCTCTTGTTGGAAGCACCCTCAGCAAATCATCAGCGAAGTCGCTGTCTGTTCACGCCACCCTATAATTGGACCAGGTAGGTCGGCTTGACTGTTTCGAATCACTCAAACGAGTCCCATAGAATTCCACTCTACCAAACCCCACCTTGAAATCCAAAAAATCCAAAAACACACCTACATGCCCGACAGCAGCCACGCAGTTGCGGAAAGAAAAACCTCTGGGGCTGAGCCCTGGAGCGTTGGGTGCTGTTGTGCTGGAATCCTTGCTTAGAGCCGTGAGCTCCCATATGCGCTGCCATATGTCACCCTCGAACCTTGGAACCCTGAATGCTGGTGCTGGAAGAGGAATGCCTCGAATGTTGAAAGTTTAGGTGCTGCCACCTTGGAAGAGTCTCTGTTCGGAATGCTGCCTTGGGTCACCTTCAATCCTTGGGTCACGCGGGCGCAATAACGCGGTGTCAGGCGGAAGCCTGTGGGCGCTATATGCGGTATGCGGATGTATGCGGTGCCGTGGATGCGGTGCCGGCTTCCATCGGGTGTCCGCCTCAAGTGCTGATAGCGGACTTCCACAGCTTGGAAGCCTGGGGGCCTGGTGCCGTGATCCGGACTTTCAGCTTGGAACCTTGGAACCTTGTTTTCGGTGCTGCGGGATTGGACTTCCAGCTTCGAAAACTGGTCATTGGGAGTTGTCATCGGACTGAACACCTTGCGTTGAGTGCGGTGATCCGACTGCCAAAGCCCGATCGGTGCTGGTGTCAGGTGCTGTGATCGGCGGCCCTCGATGGACGGGGTGAGTAGTGGAACCATTGTTTTGGCACCACCCAAACGTGTGCAATTTCAACCATGTAAAACACGCACCCCTGTTGCAAGAGCCAAGAGCATCCAAGAGCATCTACCCATCAGCACAGCGCCACAGGCTTTTTCTCAGGCACGGACCTCGACTAGACACGCCGGGCAACAGCTTTTGTACTTGTTTTGGCCACTATAGTAGTTTGTGTCTCCGTTGCGCAGCATTCTCTGAACGCAGTTTTTTTCCCGAATGCATAGCGAAGGGTTCCCGTTTATAGTTGGGGGTCTGGGGGTTGGAGCTGTGTTTGCATGGCTTGCGTCGTGTCGTCGTCTGTCGTCGTCTCTCGTCGTCTCTCGTCGTCTCTCGTCGTCGTCGCGTCTCAAATTTGCTGCCATTGGGGGAAGCTTTTGCAAGTGACTTTGCATGGATGTGTCACGTGTCAGTTTGCGCCGCTATTTCATTGTGATTTGCGTGACACGGACATGTCGCGCAAGAAACGTGATGCACTTCGCTGCACAGGCGCAGCGTTTTGTGAGATCCGCAGATTACGGCGCAGTTCCATCGGGATTAGCGCTTGGAGAGTCGTGTTTTTGGGGTGTTGGATGTGGCCGTGCCATTGGGATTTGCGTTTCAGGGTGTGGCATCGAAGCTCTGTTTTCGTGACAAGTCTCAGCTGAAATGGCGATTTTGATGGATGGGAGTGTGCTCTGAACGGGTCGAAATCATTCCAAACGTGTGGTGTGGTGCAAATTTTGTTGAAGCTCACATGCGATGATATTGTCACTTTTCGTGGCAGGCGCAGGACTTCCTGCGGGCTTTGAAGTGTGGAAGTGCAATTCTCGTGGCAGGCGCAGGGAATCGTGAGGTTGCGAGGTGTGAGGGAGGTGACATTTCGTGGCAGGCGCAGTACTTTGTGCGCGTTAGACGTGTGGATGGGGAAAGATTCGTGGCAGGCGCAGGGAATCGTGAGGTTGTGAGTTGTGGTAGAGGTGAATGTCGCTGTCCCATTGGGATTGGCGCGCGAGCGGATGTTGTTTGGAGGGGCTGGAATCGCGAAACTGCTTGGCAGGGCTGCGTGATGTGTGTGCTCCGATGGGTGTTTCCGCTTGACTTTTGGAGGAAGTCTCGTACGAAACGCTCGTTTTGCAGACTTTGACGCGCGAGTTTTTGAGGAAGTCTCGTACGAAACGCTCGTTTTGGAGACTTGACGCGCAACCCTCTGCGGAGATCGTGCGTGTCGAGTGCACTAAATGCAGGCGAGAGTGCGATTTGTCCCCTGCGCACGCAACCCTCTGCGGAGATCGTGCGTGTCGAGTGCGCGAAATGCAGGCGAGAGTGCGATTTGTCCCATGCGCGCGCAACCCTCTGCGGAGATCGTGCGTGTTGAGTGCGCGAAATGCAGGCGAGAGTGCGATTTGTCCGGTGAAGCTGGAAGCTGAGAACTGGCGACCTTGTAGTACAACTGTAGTACGTGGAGTATCTGGGGAGCTGGAAGCTGAGAACTGGCGACCTTGTAGTACAACTTTAGTACGCGGAGTATCTGGGGAGCTGGAAGAGAGTCCCACAAGAGTGTCCCGCAACAGTGTCCCACTAGAGTGTCTCAAAAGAGTGTCCCTTAAGAGCGTCCTACAGGAGTATCCCACAACAGTGTCCTACAAGAGTGTCCCACAAGAGTGTCCCACAAGAGTGTCCTACAAGACTGTCCCACAAGAGTATCCTACAAGAGTGTCCCACAAGGAGTTCCACAAGAGTGTCCCACAGAGTGTCCCACAAGACTGTCCCACAAGAGTGTCCTACAAGAGTGACCCACAAGAGTGTCCTACAAGAGTGTCCTATAAGAGTGTCCCACAAGAGTGTCCCACAAGAGTGTCCCACAAGAGTTTCCCACAAGAGTGTTCTACAAGAGTGTCTCACAAGAGTGTGCCACAAGAGTGTCCCACAAGAGTGTCCCGCAACAGTGTCGCTCAAGAGTGTCCCTTAAGAGTGTCCCTTAAGAGTGTCCCACAAGAGTATCCTACAAGAGTGTCCCACAAGAGTGTCCCACAAGAGTGTCCTAGAAGAGTGTCCCACAAGAGTTTCCTAAGAGTGTCCCACAAGAGTGTCCTGCAAGTGACCCACAAGAGTGTCCCACAAGAGTGTCTCACAAGAGTGTCCCACAAGAGTGTCCTACAAGAGTGTCCTACAAGAGTGTCCCACAAGAGTGTTCCACAAGAGTGTCCTATAAGAGTGTCCCACAAGAGTGTCCCACAAGAGTGTCCTACAAGAGTGTCCCACAGGAGTTTCCTACAAGAGTGACCCACAAGAGTTTCCTACAAGAGTGTCCTACAAGAGTGTCCCAGAAGAGTGTCCCACAAGAGTGTCCTACAAGAGTGCCCCACAAGAGTGTCCTACAAGAGTGTCCTACAAGAGTGTCCCAGAAGAGTGTCCCACAAGAGTGTCTTACAAGAGTGTCCCACAAGAGTGTCGTACAAGACTGTCCCACAACAGTGTCCCACTAGAGCGTCTCACAAGAGTGTCCCTTAAGAGTGTTCTACACGAGTATCCCACAAGAGTGTCCTACAAGAGTGTCCCACAAGAGTCTCCCACAAGAGTGTCCCACAAGAGTGTCCTACAAGAGTGTCCCACAAGAGTGTCCCACAAGAGTGTCCCACAGAGTGTCCCACAAGAGTGTCCTACAAGAGTGTCCCACAAGAGTTTCCTACAAGAGTGACCCACAAGAGTGTCCTACAAGAGTGTCCTGCAAGAGTGTGCCACAAGAGTGTCCCACAAGAGTGTCCTATAAGAGTGTCCCACAAGAGTGTCTCAAAAGAGTGTCCCAAAAGAGTTTCCTACACGAGTGTCCTACAAGAGTGTCCCACAAGAGTGTCCTACAAGAGTGTCGTGTAAGAGTGTCCCAGAAGAGTGTCCTGCAAGTGACCCACACAAGTGTTCTACAAGAGTGTCTCACAAGAGTGTCCCACAAGAGTGTCCCACAAGAGTGTCCCACAAGAGTGTCCCACAAGAGTGTCCTACAAGAGTGTCCCACAAGAGTGTCCCACAGCGCCCCACAAGAGTGTCCTACAGGAGTATCCCACAAGAGTGTCCTACAAGAGTGTCCCACAAGAGTGTCCTAGAAGAGTGTCCCACAAGAGTGTCCCACAAGAGTGTCCCGCAGAGTGTCCCACAAGAGAGTCCTACAAGAGTGTCGTACAGGAGTGTCCTACAAGAGTGTCCCACAAGAGTGTCCCACAAGAGTGTCCTATAAGAGTGTCCCACAAGAGTGTCCCACAAGAGTGTCCCACAAGAGTTTCCGACAAGAGTGTCCTACAAGAGTGTCCTACAAGAGTGTCCCACCAGAGTGTCCTACAAGAGTGTCGTGTAAGAGTGTCCCACAAGAGTGTCCTGCAAGTGACCCACAAGAGTGTTCTACAAGAGTGTCTCACAAGAGTGTCCCACAAGAGTGTCCTACAAGAGTGTCCCACAAAAGTGTCCCACAAGAGTGTCCCACAAGAGTGTCCCACAAGAGTGTCCTAAAAGAGTGTCCCACAAGAGTGTCCTACAAGAGTGTCCCACAAGAGTTTCCTACAAGAGTGGCCCACAAGAGTGTCCTACAGAGTGTCCCGCAAGAGTGTCCTACAAGAGTGTCCTTTGGACATATTAGTTTTTCGATCGTGTTTGCATTCGGGTTCGTGGGTTCCATCTTTTTTACACTAACAAGGCCACAGGCAAATGCACATACCTAGCCCGACGTTTCTGTGCTGTTGAACTTGTGGCTTGCCTAGTGTTTCCGCTAATTAGCAGTCTTTCTGGGCAGAAATATTTATCTCGCTGGTGCTCTGGAAGGAGCCATGAGCCCGGGCGTATCCATATTTTGCAGTCAAGAGGGAGCCAAGAAGCGACAGGGAGTTCTTCAACCCGCTGCTAGTTAGGGTCAACAGTATGGAAGGTGTTTGTTTGTCCGAGCAACACGCTCCCGTGCATGGGAGCCTTAGCAACACACAAAAAAAATCGAGTGATTGAATCGAACAGTCCAAGCGAATTTCGTTGCTACCTGCTGTTGGGTTGCAAATCTGGCCGGAAAATGAAAAAGACATCTCCTCTCCCTTCAGCCCGTGTACCACCACAAAATATGTCTGCGTGCCTCGTGCGCGAGCCCGGACTCCACGGTCCCCGTCGTCGACGCACCTGCTCGCTTCGGCTCGGTTGGGTCCAGGTCCGTCGTTGTTGGGAAGAAAGGCGCATAGACCTAGCGCTTCCTGTCAGGGTGCCCTGTCGGAGACCTGTTTACGTAGTGTGGAGATATCCAGCCGACCCCGAACGGAAGCAGCTGGTATATATATATATATATATACTTGAGGCCAAGGGGGGGGGGCGAAAGCTAGCGCTCCAGAATGGGAAAGTGGAGGGCAGCGAGGTAGGAAAAAACACGGCGCTCTTTTTGGAGGCAGGGGTGAAGAGTCCTTTATATGTGGCTCTTTGCCCGGATCCTCCTGCGAGAGAAGAGAGAGAAGAGAGACGGAAAGACGAGAGACAGAGAGGAGAGAGAGAGAGAGGAGAGAGAGATGAGAGAGATGAGAAAGAGATGAGAGAGATGAGAGAGATGAGAGAGAGAGAGAGACAGTGAGACAGTGAGACAGTGAGACAGTGAGACAGTGAGACAGTGAGAGTGAGCGAGTGCGGCCGCAAGATACGCCGACCTGAAAAATCAGGGGTTAGGATTTGCACCCGGTCGAAAGAAACCTTGCTATCGCAAGAGTAACTCCAGCTAGCTTCGCTAGCTTTCGTGATATACCTATATAGCGCTTCCTGTCTGGGTGTCCTGTCTGGAGACCTTTTATAGAAGTGTGTATACAAGTGCAGGGTTGCCCAGCCAGGTGACCCGTTGGAAACAGCTTGTAGATAGCAGTATATTATCGAGGAATGTAAGTATATATACGAGTATATATATTGACTGGCGGTTTGAGGATGATCAAGGATGCCAGGTGTTGGGAAGCTCCTAGTTCAGTTCATAAAAGGATTTGGGCCCACAGTCAGATGGCCCACTGGAAGTGTCTTTTTCAAACACATGCACTTCCATGTCCTTCCAAAGGTGGAACGTACCTATAGGCAACTTTGCTTTTTCACACGCCGTTAGAACTGGTGCTTTCTTGATCAGGTGGTGCAGGTCTGGATCACTCTGGATCACTTCTGCACTGCGAACTCCATGAAACACGAGTTCGATCCGGCCTCGTGCCACAGTGCGAGGCCGGGGCGCCCGCAATGAGAGGAAATTAGAGACCCGCTGACCAGCTGACCATGCACTTTTTCCCAATGATTTTGAAGCCTTTTCGCTATCCCAAACGTCTCAAATCGACTGAAAGACAAGCAATGTCTCGACATGGAGGTCTTGTCGCGGTAAATCCGAACGCCAGGCACACCTTCGCACCGGGTCCATTCTACTGGAATGAGTTGAAGTGAGGCATCAGTGACTGGGTTTCGGTCCACTCAGGTCCCCACAGCACCGGCCCCATGGACCCTCAGGGACTCCCACCAAAAAGGGAACCACCGAACTACCGAAGCACCGATGGTCATGGGACTGGACCTCCCACCTTCCTTCGTGGCACTGCACGTGGCCCGCGTGGCCCGCGTGGCCCGCGGCCCTGCCGCACTCATCGGCCTCGAACGAACGCGGAGCCATCGCCCAATGGGATCTACCTATGAAAATACACGCCCACTATGTCACTATGACAGGATGGACTCATGGCTGCACCCTGCTCTCTACTATAGTACATGATAGTACATGTGTTTTTTCCCACAAATAAACGACTCGAGTTACTACTCCAGTGCTCGTGGTACTCCATCGTCCGCACCACTGAGCTGAGCACAACGGTTCCTTTGAAGCGGCTGGTCCCTGACGGCGACCGCGGCCAGCGGCGCGAACGTAGTGCGGGTGCGCAGACGCGCGCACCAGAGGAGCTATGACATGATGACCAGCCAGTGATGACCAAATATGCAGAACAATAGGTTGGAGAAGGATGCGAAACATTCATCACGGAAACGTGTTCAATCTGGTTATGATGATCACCCGTGCCCCCTTTTTTTGGGCGCTGGCACCTTCTTGACCACGGGCCGTCCTGGAGGCGCGCCCGCTGCAAGGAAAAGACCGTGTCATGCCATGTTCGTTCCCCATCATCATGTTTGGGTGCGTTGCCGAGCAAGGAAAAACCACAGACGCTGCTTTTGAAGAGGGGCTTTTCTCGTGACCTCCAACGTGCCGAACACGGAAAGCTGACGCCGACACGTCGTCTGTATACATGTGGCACACCCTGTCCGACTCATGGTTCACCTCCAAGCACGGGACAGCTAAATTCGCTGCAAAAAACCATACGAAAGGGACTGACTTGAGGCATTTGAAGCTTTGTCATCGGTGGAAAGCGATTCGATGACAGATATATTATAGCTTTCACTCTAAATCTTGTACGTTCAACAATGATCAAGTTCTAGGAATGTCCATGCACATAACAGCACAAACCCTAAACATCCCTAAACCATCGAAGGGTGAACCATGCATCGCACGTGTGGTAACCTCCAGGAACCACGCATCCCCAAACCGCGCGGTCCCGGCCCTCGCGAACGGCGTCTGCGGCTCCTCCTCCCCTTCGACGTCCGTTCTTCCCAAGTTTGGGTGGCGCCAAAGCCACCTCTGGCGTCTCAGGTGGCACCTTGGCAGGTGTCTCCTGGGCGACTGAAGAAAGATGTCATGTGCCATGACTCCGAGCGGCGACTGGAGAGGACCCTACACCTCACCTACAACAAAGAGCAATGGATAGCCATGGATAGATATGGCCAGCATGGCTGAGAGAATTACCTCAAACAAAACGATCTGTCGGTGGTCTCCGTTCACGGGGTTCATCTTTGGTCCTCCCTTGTGACCACCGTGTCAGTTCTCCAGCGAGTGAACGGAAGAAATGAAAAGAGTGAGAAGAGCCATATTAAGGAAGTACCAAACGTCTTGAAGACAGAAACCCCCTTCTGACCATGAAAGCATATGAAAGCCATTTGGACCTCCTATGCCTGGCTGAAACTCTGCGTTGAGAGATTTGCCAATGGCCTTGAAAAAGGTGGGGAACTCGCCTACCTACCATTGATGGATCCATTCGTTTACCACTCATCATACATGGAAAAACGGGAAACCGCAAACGTCCCACCGCAGTCAAGGACTAAACATCCGACTCGATGGAAGGTGTGTCTTCTATCTGCTTTTAGGTTTCGTTTGCTGGTGCAAGATCTGTTTAATGTGTCTTCAAAAACAGACTTGTCTTTTGGCCGGACAGCTGAAACCGCCTCTTTCGCGGCGTAACAGCGTCGACTCCCCGCTTTAGCAACGCCAAGTTCAGCTTCGTTCGATGTCGACGTCAGCGACTCCCCGCGGTGTCGTTCGTTCGGCGCTTGGACCGCCTTGACGGTATTGGTGGGTGGATGTTTCCCCTTTCTTCGTAGCTGCTTTGGCTCGGATTCCTGCGAGCGTGGGCACGGCGTGGAGGGAAGCACACAGCGGCGCACGCAGCGGCGCATTGTTTTCGAGCCGGACCGGGGTGGAGGAGTTGAAGGGGACTGCGAGGAGCGAAGCACCGGGGCGGGAAAGAGGGAGGGAAGCACCAGGATTTATTTTGGCTTGGGTTTCTGGGCCACTCCGAGGACGTCCAAGAATCTGCGAAAAAAGCGACAAGTCTGGACGTCCTACAGCAGCCAGAGCACCGTTCCACATGGAGGTGTGAACCTGGGCCCTAGAAGGCTCGTCTTCCTTTTCCACATGCGAACCAGGACACTGCGGCTTTGAGCCGCAGAATGGCCCAAATGTGTATATAGATTAGACTTGAACTCAAAACCGCACAAAACTGCTGGTCCCCAGATCCATCATTCATGATAAATCCCAGGACAGTTGAGACAGGAGGACTGGAAAACCCCAAGCATCAAACCCACTGTAGCCTGTAGGGCATGCGGGCAGGAGAGGTCTACTAACCTTGCAACGACTCGTCAGGGAATTCTGCCCAAGTTGGATGTGCTTGACAACCTCTCGAGACAAGCGTGCAACTCGGGCCTTGTTGGCCTCCTCTGGAGGTGTGCAAGAAACTGGATTCCACTTTTTCTTAGTCGTCTCCGTCTTCTCCTTGGATTCGCCTGCCAGCACACCAATTGTAGCTCTGAAAACTTGGGCACTGCCAGTTCTGCTCAATCTGCTGCTCAGCGGCAATCTTTGCTTGCATCTTTGGGCGGCATAGGCCCCCCTGTGAGCTAAACAAATTCATTTTAACTGCATGAGCCAGGTGGGGCCGGCGCATGACGACTCGACCGGTCACCAGACCTCGAGACCAGACGTCGAGATGTCTGGGGAGTCTCCACAGATGTGGATGGGGGTGGGGGCCCTTCAAAGGAGTTGGCATGAGAGTATATGAGAGTCATGTCGAAGAATAACAACCTGGGCAACCTCCCTGATAAGTCTTCCACTTCCAGGATGATCACAGTCTTCCAAGATGATCACTCTTAGATTGAAACGGCTCAAAGAAACTCACCCCCGTCCTTTTTTCGCCGAACACGGTTCGCGTCGTTGACTCAGTGGCCCGTGGGCGTCGCGTCGTGTGGAAGCACGGCTTTTCACCACGTTGGAATCGGATTGATGAAAATGTGAGACTCTTGGGTTCGCACCCAGTGATAGAACCTGAGTGGCCGCGGTTCGAAAAGAGTCTCCCAGCTCCTTTCAGTGGGAAAAAACAACAAACAAAGACAACAGCATAGACCCCAACTGGTTTGAGCAGCATCATTTTTGGGGCGGTCAACTGTTTGGGCAAAACCCTCCAAATGTCCCGCGCTGCACGACGACTTGACCGATGCCGATTCCGGCTGTGTGGTCTCTCGGGGAGCCCGAACTGAGCAATGACGCTGGTGGAGATGCCGCGAGGAACAGAGAGGAAGAGCTGATAGTCCGCGGCCATGGACACATAGAAGCACCTGACGAGTCATCACCTTTCACATACCTTTCTCTCTCTCTCTCTCTCTCTCTCTCTTCTAAGATACTGTTGATGGACAAAATCCTGCACCACTTTGCGCACACATTTCTTGCTGCCCTCGTTCTCCCTTGTTAACATTGGGGCCACCACAGTGAGAAAACCAAAACAAGTTGAAGCTCCAAAATCCTGCACCACCTCCTCAAAGGGGTCGCGCCGACATTGAATGAGGGGGCGCGGGGGTTGCTATGCGACTCTTCCAGGGTAAAGTGGTGAGGTGGTGCAGGATTTTGTCCATCAACAATAGTGACATGTAAGGCTCCTGCCTCCCAGTTGGCTTCAAGTTTTGGTTGGTACCCTGGCACCATCTTATTTTCTTCATGCAGGAAGACCTCATGTGTCTGGCACCCTCTAGGAAAATCTGAGGTACCCTGTTTGTTCAGGGTCACCCCCAAAAGACTTTAGACTGAGACTGAGACATAGTGATTGCGAATGGTTCACACTCATTTACGGTGGTTTCAGAGTAGATGGCTTTTCGGCACCCCACATGTCTTGGTTCTGGGATGGTGGGTGAAGTTTGCACCGTTAGTTACTTGGGGGACTGCATTGGCGCCATCGAACCTCGGGCATTCCCACCCTTCTTCGGCGAATGGAGGGATGCTCTCGGTGTAGCATGGAGGCTTCCCCAACCCCACTGGAGTGGATCTGCCCGTCTCGCTGGGTCGCTGGACTCATGGTTCGTGGCCACGCAGGTCTGACACGGCACCTCCGTGCCCGTGGAAGAGGTGTTCACCGACGCAGACTCAGTAAGAACCAGAAACAGTTCTGGTTATTCCAATATGGCGCCAGCTTGCGATCATGAAAAACAGTGGCTGGGACTGGACAAGAATGGACCAGGAAGAAAAAGCAGATCTGTCATGTTGGTCTTTTAATTCTTTTTGTGAGTCTGAGACTGGATTTCGGTTTCGTCTCACCAACACCTCACATCGAAATCAGGTGGGTCCACAGAGATTCCATAGACTTGGTTGATCCTCCTGACCTATTGGGATATATCGGGCTGCCTGTTGCACCTTATAGGAAAAAATGCTATAATAATTGATATATAATTGGTTGATATATATATATATATTATATATATATATAATGAATATTGGTTGTACACTTGAGGGAACTTGAGGGTATTCCCTCTATTAGTCAACCAACCGAGAGTAAAAAGAAAGGCCTATATACTTATATTTGGAAGTCACTGTCTCGATTGGGGTCCGACTCACTGGACTTGGAGCTCGTTCGGCCGGGTCAAGGAAAGTCTTCCCCAAAAGGGGAGTCACTTTAAAACCATCCACTTCCACTTCCAGAGTGAGTCAGAGAGGCCCACTTGAAGGATTCCGTTGGATTCAAGGCTCATCGAACCCTCACCAGGCAGCTGTTCCCCCGAAGCCCCAAAGACCCGACGCGACGAAGAAACCCGCCCACCTTCGCGGTACGCATCAACTGCCGACATCGCCCGTAGTTCCGGAAGAGCATCTTCACGCGCTGTCGAGAGCGGTAGGGCCTGAAGGAAAGAAGAGAACACGTGACTTCGGCCAGGTATAGCACCGGAAACATCAGCAGAAGAATTGCTAGTACAGCAAGGAAACATCCTAAGCTGATGTTGACGTCTGATGCTCCAAGAAAAGAGCTGGATGGGGTCGATCCTTCATATCCGTTCACTACAAGTATAGGGCTAGAATGGGCGCCCGGATGGTGTTTTGATCATCAAGAGTCTCAACAACTTTGGCAGGAGACAGACTGCAGTCTAGGATTCCGGCTCTGCGATCTGTGATGAAAAATATTGCTGGAGCGTTGGCACATAGTACCTGTGGACGCCACAACTCACTCGCTCGCTGCATACCTCCACGCGTCTCAACACCCCACCCCACGGCACCATCCGGTCCATCGTTTCTGCAGCACATGTCAAACGGTCCATCCGTGGTTTCACCTGGATCCGTGCAGCTTCTCCATCTTCTCCAAGGACAGCGTCCCAATTCCCAGGTCCACGACCCATGGGACTGTCATAGGACTGCCGATCAGGCCAGGGGTGGTGGTTACTTTGGGGGGTCAATGGGGCGGCAGTCCTATGGCAGTCCCATGTGTCGTGCCTGGGATTGAGTTCATGCTTTTTCTGGGTCTGTCCAGTACGAACATCTCCCGTCTGACCCTGTCACAACTATCTGCAAGTGAGTGACGCAGCATGAATGATCCCATCGAGTAGCCTGGCAGTGAAGTCTCTGCGGGCAGACTCGGCCGGGGCCAGCCGATCCGGCGACTGGTGTGGATGGAGACGAGACAAGCGACATAGCGGTATGGCACAAGCATCAAACAGACCGGACCTGATGTTCCTTTGCAACGCAAACATGGGCAGAAGTAAGGGTTTTGAGGGCCACTGGTACCACGGCAGAAGCAAATGATGATCAACATGATCTTACTCACTCAGCTCCTGTCTTCGGATGGTGTTTTTTCACTGTTTCTGCTGCATAAGCTTGGAAGATCGTGAACGAGGTCATACGAAGTCACATCAAGCTTATGCATCAGGACCCACTGCCGGACACAAGTCCTTTGTCTTGCAAACTCGCCGAGCCAGACGGCCACTGTCCCACAGAACCAGGCACCTGAGTCGCCCATCTGCGGTGATGAAAGTCGCCGGTGATGTCAGAGCTAAGGAAAAACCTTGCTCAGCATCATGCTTATAGTCAGCTCTTGCAGGGTATTCACACAAATGACACCAGCCTCGCCCCAAAATTCTCAGGATCATTTCTATACCCATCGTCAACCTATGAGAATCCCCTCCAAGCGGATGGGTCATGGGGAGACTTGCTCCCAAATTCGGCCTTGCCAAGACATTCGGCCTTGACCTTCAAGTGCCCCGTGAGGCCCTGCGAGCCAGTTCTTGTTCTGTCCGAAGCCACCCATCCAAACTCCAAAAAAAAAGAACGCCTAACCCATCAAGAAGCCCAAGAAATGGCGAACGAAGAAAGCTTCAGACAACGACGTCCTTCCTCTTACGAACGAAGAAGACATCCCGGACCGGCGCCAAGTCGCCAGCAGCGCCGCTCGACGTCCTCCACGGCTCTCGGGACTGGCCGCGAGCGGGGACTCCGCGGCCTGGGGACCGAGCCGCGGCGGTCCGCGACCGCCCGGTGGGACGTGAACTGGCATGAACTCGCCCTGCTGCCAGGTGAAATGAACACATCCAAGTGATTCCAAGCTACCAGGAGAAAATCAGAGGTGGATCTAGATGATCTAGTGCTGCCCAACGTGGGACACTCGTATTCAAACAGCCTGACCCAAGAACCCGAAAGAAACACGCTAACCGAGCGGTCACAGTGAGCGGTGTTCAGTCGGGCATTCATCGAAATGGGTCGAGTCATGTGCCAGGCTAGGCTAGGCTCATTTGTCATCACAAGGATAAACCAACCTGGATCTTCCCTATACAAAAGTTATGCCGACCTGGCCGTTTTGTATGGATGAAGATACAGATTTCTGTTGCACAGATTGGAAGATCCACGTATACATACGTATACAGATGTATACAGTAGCACTTGAACCCCGCCCGTTCCCCACCAATCAACCCGAGTCGAGTCACGAGTCCCCTCACGAGCCGAAGCAAGCGCTTAGTATCCTAAATGGATCAAAAAGGAAAGCAATTCCAAAGTCTTGGAAACTTTTCCCTGTCGCCGTTCCAGACTGTCGCTTTGCGCCCATCCACTCACCAACCCTGGGCGGCACCACCGTGCTCATGGACAAATCGATGGGGCCTGGCACCGCCGCGAGACGTCTCGCTGCTGGTTGCTTGACTCCGTGAAGGCCGGGCCCCCGGAGGGCGCGTCGAAAGAAATCCAACAGACCGGACACCCCCTGAAGGCCAGAAGCAGCCAGGGCGGCAGAAGGGCGGGGTCCAGTCCAACTCCGGATTTGGTGGATCGACGGGGAAATCCTGAGCTGCTCTCACCTCCAAATAGCGTGGGTAAGAGCAAAAGAAAAACCAAACGGGCTGGGTCGGTATGGTCCACGTGATCATTTTGTTGAACCAGGGCGGTTCAAGAAAGTGGACCGTGACGTTAGCCTACGGAGTCTAGCCAGGACTGAAAAAAAGACCGATTCACAGGAGTCCAGCCTGAATCTCAAGCCAACAAAAGTTCTTTGGGTGATTCGGAGAGTTCGGGGGAAAACAACAAACGAAAATGAATCTGGCCAGCAGAGCTCTTTGCAATCGCTTCTTGGATATATTCCATGCAACCACGCCTCAGTGGATGGATCCGGATGGTACCATAGCAAGGCACGCTTCATACGCGCCAAACATGCGCGAAGAACACCACATTCACTGCCTACCCCCAACGCTTCGGCGTCTTATTTTGGACACTCTCTCCCCAATCTGCTCTGTGCGGAAAAAAAAAATGAAAAAAAAAAACACAAAATTCCAGGCGTCCCAGGCGTCCCCCACGTCGCTGAAAGCGGGTGGGGAAACGATCCCATTCCATCCCATTCATCCGGAATTGACACACCGACCAATGGAATTCCCGACCAAATGACCTTGATGGACCCCCGAAGGGTCCCCGAAGGGTTTGGGTCCACGACGAGGTCATACCCACGACGGTAAAACACCACTACTTGGAGTCATCAACCATGCTCCGAGCGGGGGATCTGGGGGGGATCTGAAGGACAACTCCTTCAAGCGGAGTTCGACTCCGAAATAGGAGTCGAAAAAGGCATACCTGCGTCTCAGAAGTCGCCTCCGTCTTGGAAGTCGCCTCCCTGAGCAATAGATTGGCTTCGTTGGGGGGGGCGGCTTCATTGGCGATCCATCCCACCCAGCAGTCAGGCTCCCCCAGCTGCTGCAAGGTCTCCTTGACCTGGCTTGTGGCTTGTGGCTTGGGATGGGAGTGTTGGTTTGAAAAATGGGCGCCCAACTTGGTAAGCATAGATTGCTAGAGACTTGATCAAGATTCCATCCTGTTTAAGACTCATTGTGATTGTGTGTTTGGCAAACCATGTCAGCGTTGCAGCAGCTGCTTGCTGCGATATGGCATAGAACTGCTCACCATCCGATGCCGTGGAAAGGAACACGACTCCGATTTCAGATCCTGACAGTGACTCCGTTTGTACGTTTGGGTCTTCTGGGGGAATTGGTGCAAGCACATCATAGTCCGACGATAGTCCAAATGTCCGATCCATTTCGACATACAGCTCTCCTTTCCAAAAAATGAAGTCATTCATTGCGCACAGCAACTGTATCTAAGATGAAAGGTGTGTGACCGGCGCTCATGCAGTCGAGATCACGTTTGCCTTCGATGAAGGAAATGTAGGCATAGGCGAAGCCCTCAAATAGCAGTTGGGTTGGTCGAAGCCGTCATGACATGAGCACAGTAAGACTAAAATTATGAGTCTTCAAATGAGGATCTATTCACAGGAAGATCCGATCCCCATGTGGGAAAGAACCAAACAGAACGATCTTACCAGGCTTTCAAAGGTTAGCTGAAAAGAAATGGTCGAAGTTTCTCAGAGTCTTCTGCATTCAGTACCCAGTACCCTCCTCCGAGAATCATATATCATATAGACTGTTGGTTCATAAACCCCCCGCTACCAAAAATGGTGGTACATCTCCAGCCTTGAGGGGCTTGCTTCTTGATCAATCGTCGAAGTATCTGACTTCCGTACCGAGTACCTCCGGCATTCCAGCAGACCAGCGAGTACCTCCGGCCGCCGCCTTGTCGTTGTAGCGGCTCAGGCAGACCGGGATCCAGGACTCGCCCGTTCGCAAGGATGCTGAGGACATGATGATGTTCACCACCATCCCTCGAGCGTCCGGGTTCTTCAAAGAGCGGGTCGCGCGCAAGCGCGCGGTGGCCACCGACCAAGCCGCTCGGTTGCTTGGGTCTTCTCAGGTTTTTGGAGGCTCACTGTGTGCTTGTGTGCTTTTGGTTCATGTGTCTTTTTGGGTAATGACTTGGATATTGAAAGATGAAACGCCTCAGGTCGCCATGTAATCAAAACATCTGAACTTTCAGCTTTCAGGAGAAAATGACCAGGTCGTCAAGTGAGACATGTGGCCCATGTGGCCCATAATGTGGTCAAGCCAATTTGGTCAGGACACTCAATGAAACCCCGCATCCATCAGGACCCGCGGTGTTTATCGGCAGCCTAAGTTCAGCGAGCTCATCTGGAATTGCCTCACGCAGGCAACGAAAAAGGGCTGTGCTTGCCATGAATCTGCCTGAGTCTGGTCAAAACTGGGTGGTAAACAGAAACCGAAAAGCACACCGGAAGCTTGATGGTTCAAAGCCTCTGTTCATGGTTCATACCCTCTATCATGTTCGCTGGAGCCACACACGCCGTCTGCGGGTCCCAAGACCCACCGGTGCAGACCGCCCCTCCTGTTGGAGACCGCCGCCAGCAGACGCTGTCCTGCCTCAAGGCGCCGTTTAAAACGCCGCCAGACCCGATTGAACATCCCAACCACAGGAACAGAGACGAAGAGTGGGCAGGGTGAAGCACTAAGTCTAAGTGAGTGAGATCTCCTTTTCCCGGAAAAATGCTGTGAGCTGTTCTCTGGACAGCTCTCTGGACCCAGTATTATTCCGACATATTCTGACATGCCGTTACATGCCCCTGTGTCGACCCCTATGCCCAAAAGTGGCAAGGGTCCCATTTGCGACACAAAATCTGACTCATTTGTGACACCAAACTGGACCTAGATTGGACTCATGTGCGACACCAAATCTGACGCATTGGCGACACAGCATGGGTTTAGGGTTTAGGGTTTTAGGGTTTAGGGTCACCTACTCTATGGGAACGTGCGTGATGAAGAGATACGCGTCACAACCGAGCAACCGCATCATCCGAGAAAAACGGTCCGTGCTGTGTTACATCTGAGTCCGATGGAAACCGCGTCACCACCGAGACCCATTCCCCCAAAAGTTCTATATAATGCCAGCTCTTCTCCGGATCCAGCCCAACAGGAAACCCAGTCCTATCAGGTGCGCTTGCAACCTGCTGAGCTCCCCTGCCATTAAGAATGCGAAGAGGACATTTGGCAGTCGAGCAGATTTCAGGGCCTGCCGTGATCAAAAGGGCATCAAAGGGCACCTCCAACCCACACACCCCCATGGGGTCTCTTCAGCCAGAAGCGAGAGATCGGGATGATTGGGTGAGTTCGAATGAGGCACATCCAGTATATGATGAGCACTCGCATCCAGAAAAGCATGCGAGTGATGTGATCTTTAGGAAGGGCTATCAGTTGAGCTTCACCCTGAGTTGGGGGTTCCCTTCCTATTTTGTTCAATCACCCCCAAGTCTCTTCAATGTACCGAATGCCTCCGCCGCGATGGCGCGAATGCTCGGAGGCAAAGGCAGTGGCTCGACGCCCTCGCATTGCAAGAGCATGTCCTGGGGTGGCTCGACGCCTTTGGACCGTCCACCGGGTGGTCACATCATCGTTCCAGTGTGGATCCCTAACAGGGTGGATGGCATGACCACTGGAACGATGATGTTCCTCAATACAAAAAAGGGGGCCATGGATCCATATGGATCCATGTTTCTCGGAGGGAGAGTACAGCATGACACGTTGGCCAACGAGCTTTCATCGAACGTCACATGACCAGCGACGTTGTCTTATTGCGATGACACGTTGATAAGACTTGAAGAGGAAGTCCATGGCTGCTTGAGGGATCCAGCGAACTGGGTCGACCGACTTCCGCGAGGCGGCAGCATTCGGAGACCTACACTGCTTCGGACAAAGAAAAGAACAAAAAAACAACAGCTGGCTATGAGTCGAAGGCCTATTTGGTGAACATCAACAAAAAAGAACACCATTCCATTCAACCTTCTACCTGGAATGTGGTTGCTTTGAGATACTTTGCCTCCAAAGGGTCTGAATTTGGTTCCAAACGGTGTCCAGCCAGTCGCGAGTCGCCCTGCCCAGTCACGAGGAGTCGACGTCACCAGTGTCCAAACAGTTCAAGGACGCCCTGCTGACTTATGAATTTGCTTGATGGAACTGGGCAAAAAATACCAAACATATTCCCAGTTCTGAGGATTTTTTGGTATAGATCAATGACCATCCGGTCAAGCGGTTCGTGGGGGTTTCTCACCACACACCAAGCTTGGGTCCAGCCACTTCGTTCCTTCCTTGGTATGCGTTCGTGCGTTCGCGGCCAGTCACCGAACATCTCACACTCAGCTCCTGTGCGCACCATCGAATGATATTGTTCACCACTTGTTCAGTACCTGCGCGACTTCTCATGGCATGCCATGAGCCACTTACTGAGGCTTCTCTTCATTCCCACTGTCCACCACTTGAGTCCATCATTGCTTTGACCCCAGCTCACCGGGAGAAGAGAAACACCTCACGCCTCCGACCCCTCCACGTCTCCCCGCGAAACTCCCCGCGTCACCCTCGCGTCGCCAACGTCACCGCTCTCCGCTCTCGGTTCTGGCGCGGAGCGCGCCTCCGAGCAAACCTCGCATGTCGTAGTTGGGCCGGTTCACCAAGGTCTTCTCCTCACCGGTCGCTCCCGGACATCTTCTCCGGACCGGTCGCGGAGGAGTCGCGGTCCGCGGTCCGCGTCGCACACGGGCGGACCGGTCGGGGCACCAGAGGGGCGGCCCTAGTCCCAATGGGTGGAGATGTCTGCCGAGCAGGTTGGATGAGGCTGAGCAGGTTGCCACAAACGAGGGTGAAAGATGTGGTGGTAACACAGAAGAAACAACAACAGCAAAGGCCACAAAAGCTGCACAAACAGGGAGAAAATGCGTGCCATTCTGCTTTCATTCAGCTATCCTTGGGATCCCTGACAAATCTAGACCTGCTCGCGGTGGGTTTCGGCGTGAAACTCGACCTGCTGCCCAAGGAACAATGCCCGCCGTCAGGATGGTGATGATTTGCATATGCACACGCCTCGAGAGCTCAGCCCCTCCAAAATGTGAGTCCAAACAACGAAAAAAAAAAACACCGAACGACATCCGACCGTCCGCACCGCAGATCGACGCGTCTCCGCCGTACGACCATACGGCGGCTCCTGGACACGGGTCTTGGCGTGCCGAGGGCCGTGCATGGAGGATCACCCAAAAGGCTCGTTCACTGGCCAGTATGTTTGGGTGGGTATTGGATGGTAGACTTGGGAAGTGGACCCTTCAATCCCTTTGGTTCTTTTGGGCTGTTGGATCAGGGGTCAAGGTTGGCTTGGAGTCCCCCTCCACATCATGTTGGGCATCCCCTCTTCAGGAAACCCAGGTCAGAAGAAGTGCTGATCCACTCCTCTGGCCGAGTCGCTCAAGAAGGCCCACCAAGTCAGCATAGAGGTCCCCGGTGCAGGAAATGCACACTAACCTTGTGCCGCCCGTTGGCGAGGACAGGTGAGTGAGCGAAGGTCGGGTGACAACACGGCGCCGGCGCGCAGTTCCAAACGCGGTGCCAGGTCAACCAGTGAACGGAGGAAGGGACTTTGGTCGGAAGTTGTTGCTACTTTTGCGTCAACCTATCTGGGGCGCTTGCACCAACCACCGTCATGCCGGCGTGGGCCAAATGGGCAGGTCCAAGATCGAAGCAAAGTGCTTGACTGGGTACAAACCAAACAAATAGATTATGTCTATACCAACCAAACAGACAGGGAAAATATCGTTATGCCCATGGATGTTGAAATGAGTTTCTGCAAAGACCTACGGTTCCCATAGCACTTTGGCCCAGGCTGGTAGCCTCACATGAGGTCATCTGTTAGTGGCGGAGGAGGGGACTGGACTGGCATGTCTCTCATCTCAACTGGCAAGTGACCACAATGGGCCCTTCTCCAAGAAGGCAAAGACGTGATCGCCAGCCAACATATACCTCACGCGACGTGGACCGTCCGACGTGATGCCGCTCATGTTCGTGCACACATGTGAAGCGCAGATCAGCATCAGCTGAAGTGGGACAAAGGTTTGAGGTGCAATATTGTGCAGGGTCGGGGCACCAAGACATCTGAGCAAACGTGTGAGCAAACATCTTGAAAGCTCTGTGTCAAACATCTTGACAGGAGTTCTGTTTCAAGAATATTGACATGTGACAGCTCTAAGCAGTTGATTGAAACACATAATCCCGAGCCTGCTTGAGTGTGCCCAAGTCAGACAGACTGACAAGCAAGCAGACGGACGGACAGACGGACATACAGAGACAGATAGAGACTAAGACAGACACAGACAGATACAAACAGATATAGACAGACACAAATAGATACAAACAGATATAGACAGACACAGACAAACAAAGAGAGAGAGAGAGAGAGCACATCAACAGCGGCCTATGGCGGCCTATTGTCTTCTTTGAGAGCATGTTTAAACATATACTGTGTCTGGTGTGTCCACTTCTTGAAGATCCATCACATATGTACAAGTTGTGAATTTGTCCAACTTTAATGCACTATTCAGAGCTGTTCATCAAGTGCGGCAACTGCGGCATGTTCCTTTGCAGCTCATCAACCTAATTATACATTAGTCAATTAGTGACCAGCAGACTAGACCAAAAGCGAAGACCACCCTACTGTTACTACACTACACTCAAATGATATGCGCCCTTTTTCGTGCATGAGATATCCATCTTTCATCCCTTTGTTGCATTCTGTTGCTGTGTCCACCATAAACAAGTATAGATCGTATTGACACACGGACTCGCTCACACGGACTCGCTCACACGGACTCGCTCACTCGGACTCGCTCGTCCTCCCTCGTTCCCACGGAGCTGTCGGTCCAGCGACCGAGCTGGACCGGTCCGGTCACCTCAAGCAGTCGCTGGAAGAGGTGCCGTTGAAGAAGAACTTCGCCATCTTGGACCTGGAAGGATCGGCGCCACCGCGCAGCCGCGCGCCCGATGGCGAGTATGCGCGAGTCGGTTGTCGGTTCGCAAGACTGGCGTTGGGTGGGCGGATAAAGGTGGGTTGAAAGCCGGCCTGGCCTCAGTAAGCTGGAGCTGTGACTGTCACAGGATGGCAACACGCTTTCTTCAAGGAAGCGGTTTCTTCAAGGAAGCGGTTGCACATTCGAGAAGAAACCAGCTGCATGACTCGTTTTTAGAGGCCTTCGTGGAACATCGATTTCACCGTGAGAAGGGCCATCCCTAAAATTTTTACGGGGGAGACTTTGAAAGCAGATTCCAAAAGAAGATGCTGTTTGGTGCTATCATCCGGTGGATTGAAAAGGGTTTTGTACATGAGCTGGTTCTTCTTCCGAGTTACTATCTAGCTGGTTCGGAAAAAATCTGCAAAGGGTTCTTGAAGGCATGGGTGCCTTCAGGCGAGCAATCCACGTGCCGGCTGGGTCACATCAATCTTGCCCTCCTGTTCTCCCGGTCTCCAATTGAGCAAAAGCCAACCAAAGGGTATATGTGGGTCAAAACCAGGGCACGTGGTTGACCCTTGAAATGAAAAAAAGAACTAAAATCAAGGGATGTCACACTGTCAACCTCACAGGCATATATTGTTGTTAGCTACCGAAATCGGAGTTCGACTTTGAACTGTCATTCACTCACAACACCACATATTCCATGGCTTCATGGCTTCGGATGTTCGTCTCTCAACCTGTTTTGCAGAGAAGACACTGACGGCATCTTGTTTCAAGACAAAACCGCCAGAATCAACACCAGAATAAACACCGATATCAACCGATACTGAATGGCCTTTTTGGCATGAAAACATAGCTCTCAAAACCTCCGGGTGAAGCCCAGGGATCGAGAGCAGAACACCCCGTTTCAACGGCCACACGCACGGTGCTCCGCTCCGGCTCGGTCTGGGCGCCCCGGGCACGATCGCCGACAAGGCCCCAGTGGTGCCACTGAGACCGTCCTGGTGAGGACCGGCTGACCGTTGGAGGAAAGAAAGCTGGCAGACCCTACAATGTCTAAAGGGTCTTGCAAGACCACGGGGGTCTTGCAAGACATGGGGACGAGCCCCATGGATGGTGTGAAAAAAAGATTATGATGCAATATGATGCAATGGAAATGATGTACAGTCCATCTCCGTGCCATTTCTCAAGAAGTATGAAAGAATCCTGGCTCTGCAGCTGGATGTACGTGTTTTTGTTGCTTTTGCTAAGGAAGGGGTGAGGAAGGGTGAGGACACCTACAAAACCATTTCTGCTTGGCCCAAAAACTGCTCAAAACCGCTGTCCGTCCCTGTCCTCCTCTCCGTATCGGGAATAGACCGGCTTCCCACTGTAGGTGAAGACCTTGTGACGCCAGGAGGTCCCAGCGTGGGAAGCCCGGGGTGCTTTGCACGAAATGGACTGATGACTGGCACTGGACTGATGGCACTGGTCCTTGGGAAGGTCTTACGGACCTCATTTGACTGGGTTCAGTCATGCAAAACCAGTACTCAATGAAGCAAAGCACCAGGTATAAACGTGGTCCTTGCAGTAGGGGAAGCTTCATTTCAATGAACCTCTTGGACTCTGCGCCATCTATCTACCGAAGTCGCTTTGTTTTCGTCAAAGCCCGCTCCTCTTCACTGACCCGGTACGGTGCCGTCTCCTCCGTCGCACGCACGGTTTGCCGCGCAGACTGCTGGTCACGGTCTCCGCGATCCGCGGATCAGGTGCCCTGCCAGGACGTGGCGTTTGTGCAGATACCTGCGACGGTGACGTCTGGACCGACTCCGAAGGGGATCGAGCTCAAGCTGCGTTGGTCCAAAGAGGTCAAAAACGGATGCCAAATGTATCGAAATGGGAGAAACTCGGACGAAAGGCCTTTGGTTGAGATGATTCTGGACCTGAACCTTCAACATTTGTCCAATGGAGGTCCCTTAGTAGTGTTGGGGGGCTTGCATCGGTGACCCCATGGTGCCCAAGCCTTCAGACGAGTCACCATGAAAGACGAGTGTTCAAGCATTTGGCCAAAAAATCATGCCTTCTCTTCCTAGGAAAAAGACTCTTGACCCTCGCAATTCTTCAAATTCCCAAACCACTGGCAACACTCCGGAGACGTCATGTGGGTACATATATTTTAACAGGGAGACCTCCCAAAGACCCCCTGGAAGAAGGAAACTAGACCAAACGCCCATTGGTTGGGGATGGTCGGGGATCTCCATTGTTAAAATACACGCCTCATGCGATCCTCAGCAGCAGCATCACTGCGCTGCTGCAAAAAACATCAGAAACACGGCCGCCCAGGGGCACCACTCTTTCGTCTCGTCCGTCTCTTCCCGGCACTTCCGATGGGGCTTCCGCCAGATGCGATGGCTCCTCACCCGAGCGCGCTTGCGAGCACGTTGCGAGGCTGCAGAAAGTGGTATGAAGAGGCTCCGACAAGGAGACTGAATGAAAAGAGTGCCTCCGTTGAACAGTTAAAAGGTATGTTCAGCATTGTTCAGCCATGACGTGGAAAAGATCGTGTCGATGCTACCCTTTGGCTTTGGGATATCTCTCTTTCCTGTTTTCTGTGGACGAAGCAGCAAACCAGTCTCACGGAAGTCCAAAAGTGGCCATTTCAACCCAGTTCACACACCTACGGAAGCTCTGTGACTCTCTCTCTCTCTCTCAGCTCCAAATTCCCAAATTCCTCACAATTCCTCACAGCTTCCTTGCCTGTGAAGTCAATCCTCCCTCCAAAAAGCCCCAAATTCCCCACTTTCTTCGCCCCCGACACGGGGAGCCGCACGACACCCGACCGACACGGGGAGCCGCACGCATCACTGGCGGAGGCGAGCGAGGGCAAGAGCGGCCGCGAAGGACCAGGGTCCGGAGACCTCGTGGCGAAGCCGTTCATTTTGGGGAACCTGGCCTTACTAGGAACAAGAAGCTACTAGGGAGGGCAGAAGTGATGTGTCAAAGTGGCCAAAGGATCACTTCTGCATAGAGAAGCCCCGAATTGAAGTGGAGCCCTGAAGTGCGAGGTGCTCCAGATTTCGGACCAGCCCGATCTGATTTGGGATACCTTGAAGATCTTCATCTGCAGATCAAGATCAAAACCCCAAGAGCCCAAGATCAGGAGTGTCTGCTACCAAACCCCCAAGAGCTGTGCTGCACTGCCACTCTGCGAGAAGAGGGACACCACCACACCACAGCTGGGAAGCGTGCTCTCCGGGCACCGGCACCGTCTCAGCCTCGACAGCCTCGACCGCCAAGCAGATTGAACTTCGACAGCCAAGTGTGGAGAGGCGAATGATTACAAAAAAGGATATATATATATAATATATATATATAATATATATATATATAAACACAAGTGGCAACAACCTGTGAAGTGAAGTGGAGAATCAATCAAAACGTGCTTCTGCCCTTAAACGCCTGTTTGTGTGGCAGCCTTTTTGGTAGGTCACAAAGCAATTTGAAATGTGCCCACTGCGCCTCGGTGGCCTCGGTGGCCTCGGTGGCCTCGGTGGCCTCGGTGGCCTGGGCGTCCTCAGGGTGGCTGCGGGGGAATTCAACCGACCCAACGGGTTTGGGTTCGTTCCAAGGGGTGTTTGGCTGCTCCCCTCACCAGCCCAGAAAAGAAGAAAAGCGAAGTTGGAAGTCGGACTCACGTGGAGAAGGGAGGAACTCCCAAAAAAGAAAGATTAGATGCCACAAAGATGGTTGAAACATGTTGAAAATGAAACCGACGCTGCCAGAAGAAAAGACAAAAAAAGCAGGCACCTCATGCTCTGAGGCACAGTCTTGCCATTCCTGTCGAGGCAAAAAAAATCGGTGAACTCATGTGAACTTCAGGGATGCACCAGGGGCATCTGTCTATTTTCTTGTGTGATCCCCAAATAGATGACACTCACGGTGTCCCAGACATGTTCTACGTGGGGATCTACTGGCCAAACCCATCACCGTTCCGCGCCCACAGCCTGCCCAACCTTCGCTCGCTTGGTGGACGGACGGGACTTCATCGGAGGAGAAGGAATGGTCAAAGAAGAAAGGAAGGCCATGCGTTGAAAGGACCATTCTTTCTTGTTTGGGACGAGGCCATGCCTTCGGACTCAAAGGAAACCAAATTTCCTCCAAATCAGAGACCCCTTTTGGACATCTCAAAATGCGAAAACATTTTTCCTGGTTGATCATCCCCAACAGAACTCACGCGGAAACCCAACGCGAGAACCCAGGTCACTGGTTTCCTAGATCTCTTCTTGTTCTACAGGCTTTCGATGTCTGATACCACGCATAAAAAAGACTCAGTCGCTCCCGGCACCTCAGTGCGTTCGTGTGATCCTGGCCATAGAACACGCGCCGAGTACGTGTTTTCACATCGCTTCGCCAGAAAGAAGGTGGCTCGCTCGAGGCTCTTTCGGCTCTGCCACGGGCATTTCATCTCCAGGCACAACCTTTTTGGTGTGATATCGATGGTGCCCAGTCTTCCGGTCATCGCCCTGTTCAACTCTCTGGACCGTTCGCTTCGTCAGGGGGTTCGTGTACCCGCCCGAAAGAAGGCGGAAAGGCGAGCGTACCATGGTGCAATAGGGTAATGGGCAAAGCGTTAGAAGTGAACTCTATCCCAAAAGTCCAGCTTGGTCCGCTTGGTGATACAAACAAGGCAATTGGAGGAGATGTTCAGTGGTCACGGTTCCTAACATGTTGCCAGCCTTTTCCACCATTGGTTCAAATGGGTATCTGATACAGTAATGCGCGTATCTCTGGATTTCCTAACCCAAGAGCTCCATTCAGAGAGTCCCCAGGCTGAGATGGTTGCGGCGTTGGTCTTCTCATGTCCCCTCTTCGTAGACCAGCCACTGGCAGTCGCCTGGCCCCACCCACAATAAATACTCAGATACTTATTTGGACAGCCCAAACATCCACGTTCGCATCCAGAAATCCTGGAGATGGAAGACCCAAACGACCCAGTTGTCGGAAGTGACGACCCAACGAACCCGGACGACCCCCGACCCCAACGAGCCGTTCGCCCCCGCGCCTGTGGGTCCTGTGGCCGTGGCCGCCCCCTCCTCTTGCTCCTGGCACTGCTGCGACTCACCGCATGTTGACATGTCATTCCATGGTCATGGTTGTTCCTTTTGTGGAGTTGCTCGTGGATCAGAAGCATCAGTTCATTGCACCAATACCCAGACACGACCCATGGGACTGCCATAGGACTGCCGATCAGGCCAGGGGTGGTAGTTGACTGGGGGGGTCAATGGGGCGGCAGTCCTATGGCAGTCCCATGGGCCATGTCTGGGATACGGTTGCTAATGGAAACATCAACCACTTGAAGCGCTCCCTTCTCTCGTGGCCGGGACCTTGGTCGGAACTGACCGACTGGGGACCCTCGGTGTCCGGTTCCATCTGAGTTCATCCATCCATTGGGGAAAAGGAATGCCCCCCAAAGATGGTCAAACCTGAGAATTCCATATGACAACCAAGAGAGGTCAAGTGACCGTAAATGGTACCCTACTGGGGTACCTATGGGATGGTCTATAGGGTCCTTCAACCTCTGTTAGGCCTTTGCTTAGTTCATCTTGGGAGCTTAAAATCGCCTTGCTCACCTGGACGCTGCACGGACTTCCAGGTGCAGTCGCTGTCGCCCCTTCCGCACCGTGTCCAGATCGTCACTGAAAGGGGTCCGGACGTCCTCCTCTTTGGGTTCGGAGTCTGCAGCCGATCCTCAAAGCGGGTTCTCGTAGACGTGCCAGGGAAAGCAGAGGGAAGCTTGCACTGCTTCCAGACCGGAAGACAAAAAAGCATATCAAACAATAAACAAAAGAAACAAAAAAACTAGAAGGAAAACACCCAAAGACAATGGCTCGTCCTCAATGGCCAGTGTTCCTTCGTTCCTTGTGCTTCTCGAAACCGGTGGCCTTTTCGGACTCCCGGTGACGGTGGACTGAAGAACCGTGGACGTGCTCGGAGCGCGTTTGTTCGTTCGTTCAGACGGAGATGAGAAGCATCTCGGTCTCATGGGATGGTGGTTTTCAAGCCCCTAGATGGACTGGACTAGTTACATGGAGGGGGTCCCATCCCGTGAGTGTCTTTTCTCCGAAGACCAAGGTCCAGGTGGTGAACTCACTCACTCACCCACCCACTCACTCACTCCACGGTTCTGATGATGACTTCAGGGAGTGTAGCGAAGGTTTGGGAGAGGATGCGTTCCTCTTCCCTTGTTCCTGCCAAGCGTCCCTCCATCGGTCCGGCAGCTCCATCCAAGCAAAGATGGAGCTGAGGATCAATCAGTTCGAATGGATTTGAAATCATGTACAGGAGAGTCTAGTGAATTCAAGAGATTGAAGCTTCTCACCTGGGCCTAGCCCTCAGTTTATGGAAAGTTTCATGTACTGTAAACAAACCCCGCCAATATGCATTCGCCTACTGCCCCACAGTTCTTCGTGCTGGCTATCAACCTGCCCTGCTATGCTGCAGGTCCTGCAAATGAGCACCAGAGATGTGCCTCCCCCACCTCTAGGTGTGTCACAATGTGTGTGTGCAAAACCATCCGTCTCACTTGTCTCACTTGTGGACTAGCCTGTTCATCATCTTCATCTAGCCGCCAGCTAGCCTTTATATATACCACACCTCATTCCCAAAAGAATGTGACATTGACGCTTGGAAGCTCCACCCTGTCGACGGGTCACGGGCCACGGCCTTGAGGCAAACTCTGCGGTCGGTCCCCCGGTGGGAACCAATGAGAACTACTGGTGGTTTGCTTCGGATCTAGAATCAGCTCAAACGGATCGTTTGGTGTGAGGAAACCAGCGCAAAAAAACGGCACTTGACTGACTGGTGCTTAGGAATGAGGAAATCAGCCTCCAAGGATCCATTCCCATCCATTCCCTCATTGCCTTCCAAGCACCAGTCACTTGAGACTGAAACGACTGAGTGGTTACACCTTCCTTTTTGCGCGTTGGCCTGCAATGTGAGGGCATGTACCACGCATGTTCCCACTCAGTAGCGATGGTCTGCATTGAGCTTCGGTGCCTCGAGCTGGCGAGCTGGCGTTTGTCATCTTCGATTGCTGACTCACTCCGCAGACGGCCCTTTTTCGGAAAAAAAAGAACGTTCAATTCCAGACCTCTCAAATAGAGAGGAAACACCCTGCAAAAAATGGCCGAGGCCCCGAGTGGGACCAACCTGGGACCAAATGAAAAAGCGCGCCGTTCCGAGTGCCGTGTGCCTTCCAATTCAATGGATGCGTCTCGGGAGTGGCATTCGGATCCTGCGCAGGAAGCCCCCGGGATCCAACGGTGTCCACCCGGATCGTTTCCTTGAGGCCTGCCGTGGTGTGGGGCGCCCGGATCGTTTGGTGTCTGCTGTGGGTCATGGCACCAGACCGACCCTTTGACCTACCCGGCTACGGTCGGACGACTGGCGGCACCATGGTGGACGTCGGTGCAGCTCCGTGTTTTGACTGGCCCAAACGTTAAGCCCGCAAGTCACCAGTCGATCGATCGATTAAGGCCCATGGTCACCACTTAGGTTCTAATTCTCCCCAGCTCTGACAAAGAAGATGTCATGATGCACACCCTTCTGCTTTTAGCGCCGGGTGGAAAGACCGAAAAGCCAAAGCCACATGCCCCGTTCCACATCAACGGCTCGATGTCATCATAGCGATGAAAGACATTCAGCATGATCTTCGCTCGGGCCTCTCGGTAGATCTTCACCGTTTTGTCACACTCTGCTGTGATCAAGCGGCTTCCACTCTGGTCAAGCCTAGGGTCTTCACGAGGCGGTATCTTGTGCGAGGTGAACTCGGATGCTTTCTTTCAAGAGAGGTCAACTCACGACTTCTTTTGTCAGCTCAGTTCCTAGCGCCATGTCAAAGATTGCATTCTCGGCGCCTCAAGACCACAGAGAATCTTCCCACTGCGAAGTGTTCGAAGTGATAAACCTCACATGTCCCGTGTCAACCTCACCTTGATCAAAGCCTTGCCCATTTAACCAGCAATGGATGATGCTCAAACTTCCCAAGAAAAAGAAGACAGGGACATTCAATCGGGCCAGACTGACTTGAAGAAGCAACTTGTAAAAAGCCCGGGTCTAAGGTCTCGGCTCATGCTACCAGGCTGGGGAATGGCCTGGCTTCGTCGATGTCACACGGCTCAAGGATGAAAAACCCAAGTCATCCGAGGAATGTTTGTGTTTTTCTGGCTGGTTCGGGAATGCGTGCGGAGCAAGGAGTGACTGGGATGTGTGAAGTGCATGGAAAAAACATATTGTCTACATATGTGTTCAGAAGTGTTCATTATCATTTGTATACCTAGAACCTGAGTGACCTCTATTTTTGATGGCATCTCCCCCCAACGACAAGGATCGAACTCCTGGCCGGATGAAAGTGGAAGAGCCGACTTCTCCGACCGTGACTGGCCGGTGTCTGCCAGTTTCGTAACATTTCAAAGGATCATCTCTTCCCAAATCGTGGACGAAAATGCTGACGGAGCCTCCAAGCTCTGAAACTTGTGGCCACTTCTCCAATCCTGCGCCCGGTCGCGCCGCAACGCTGAAAAGGCCCAGATTGCGAGATGCTACACGGGGAAAGCGCGATAACCACGTGGTTTTTGTCCATTTCGTCCCATATGATCCCACAAACATCCACATTATATGATATGCTTCGTTTGACGTGGTGTTGAATGGACCGTGTGTAAACCTCCCGTTCCGTCCCTGCGTCCACCCCCACGGAATTCCACCGAAGTCTTTCGGTCGGTCCCAAAAATGCAAATAGCCATTGTCTGTGCCCGCGATGAGCTGAGACGATCCCTGCTGCCCTTCTCGGATCGCGCAACCTCAGTCGACCGACGCCGGCGGGCTGGCTTTGTCCGACATCCGGACCACTATGGATCAACTCAAAGCCATGTGTCCAGGGGGGACCTCAAAAGCCACTGATCGGTTCAGTCTGGTCTGTAACTCGCCTGTTTCAACCTCCTCATTCTCCATGTCAGGTCCAGATATGGCTGTGGGATGCTGTGGGTCCACCAAAAAAAACCACAGAATGGACGACCAACAGGAGGTCAACCGACCGGGGTCTTCGTTCCGGGCTCCAGGTGCCAACCCACAGCCATATATATGATCCCTGTCGAGTTGCAGTTCACGATGGCGTTGTGGCCCTGAATGTTCCGCTCGAAAGCTCCTTTGGGGCACTTCCACACCTGACGTCACCCGCTGACGGTGACTTCCGCACGGCCCGTTGGCCAGGCCACGACACGGACTCTCTGTCGCAGAATAAAAAAGAAACAGCCGTCTGTTCAGGTGGACTCTCCAACGGCTGTCTCACAGAGACAGAGACAGAGAGAGAGAGAGAGAGAAAAAAAAAAAAGAAACAATCTTTCCGGCACTCCAACCATTATTTTTGACCATCCCGTGCCCATGATTTGCTCACCCGTATACAAGCACATCATGACCAAGCGAGTCGGGGAATTCTTGTAGTCCCTACTAAAACTAGTGATATATCATTATAGTATATCTTAGTAAATTATATAACTAATTACTAATTAGTGAGAATAAGCCCCTACTCAACTAGTCTAGGGAGGTTTGAGCAGGCTTTGGACTTTCTGTGCTAGCAGAATCTTTGAGTGAGCCTTTGATATAGCGCCGCAGTGAGCATGTGTCAATGAAACACTTCATCAGCTTTCCTGATGTTTGATTTCCGTTTAACGGCTATGGCTTTGGTCAACTCAAGCGAAGCTTGTTGCCAGATGTTGCTAGTAATTTCAACACAAGTTGCAGCCAAATCAGCAAGTGTGAAAACCCTGCGCCTTGTTGTTGTCTGAAGAGCAGGAGACAAAGGTATACTCGAGCGGATGGATGCCCAAAGCCCTCACACTTTTCCTCGGGCTAAGCACGCTCGCACGCACTTTCAGCGAGAAGCCGCCCCCCCTTCTGCGCGAGAAGCCGCCGAAAATGAGGTTGCCACAAGTGGACGGTCGGAGGTGCTTGTTCGAACAGTCCTCTAAGGCCGCGGCTTGTGATTGGTTAGGGTTACCTCAGGAGGTGGTTATCGAATGCCCAAATGGGTTGAACCGAGACCACCCTGGTGTGAAGTATTCATCTTCTCTTCTACTTGGGGATGTTCCAAGAGTTGGAGACCCTTTCCACTAGGCCTTCAGTGTCGAGAGAATCTTCAGATGCTGCTCTGCAGGCACAACATGCAGAAGGCACCATGTGTTTGAGCAGCAAACCGGACACCTTCAACGATTGACGAATCCGGGCCTTCTGCACCCGGATTCGGCGACTAAGTTCATGGCCGCACACTTGCCTGCTGCCAGATCCCACAGCCGGACCTTGGGCGAAGGGGGCGTTCGCCGTTGCTGGGGCGAAAATGCACCCAGCAGCTCCGAGTCAAGTGTCAAAATAGTCAACCTTCATCTCTCCTAGTTGCTAGGCTTGGCACAAAGAAGATCAATTTCAAAGTCCCCCCAAAGCCACCTCAAAAAAAAACGAAAACCTTAAACAACAAAAAGAAAACATAAGACAACACCCTGACACTTCGGCCTCCGAAGAAAAAAAACCATGATCATAACATATCACAACCACCACCACCACCACCCAATATCGGCTCCCTGACGAACTGACCCTGCGGCTCCTCAAGTCCCCTAACTCTCCTCTCCTCGGCTCATTCCCCAACCGCTGTCCTCCCCCTCTCGCGGTCCCCGGGCCATGCGATCCATTGAGCCGCTCAGGAACTGCGGCTCCGATGCCTGGCTCGGTCGAGCGGCGAACGGGAACGGGAACAGGAGAAGGCGTCGTAGAGTAGAGCTTAGCGAGGTGCAGGAAGCTCGCTTCCGGTGTCTGGGTTTTTTGGGTGAATGGTTGATCGTTCACTGCAATGCATCATTTCCAGGTTCTCACTTGGAGAACTCAAAATGTCTCGATCTGCTAGTTCTGCTGCATTTCTTCGGGCTCCACCACTGAAGTTCCCGCTCTCACACGTTGAAGTTCCCGCTCCAACGCCCAGAAACTCCCGCCTGTGAGGCCAGAGAGCAGATCGCATTGGTGTGACCGGTGAACACAAAAATCCCGGTCTTCGTCCGCATGTCCCAGATGCGTACCGAGCCATCGCGGCCGCCTGAAGCCGAAACGCTCCGGTCCGGTCCGGACGTGGGGGTGGCCTGGGGTCCGGGGGGGGGGACCGGCACCTGGTCGCGGAGGCCGTGCAAAAGGGATGAAAAGGGTGATGTCAACTGAGAGATTGGTTCACCCCAAAGCGAATTCTGTTGGCACACATAGTCACCCACATGGTCACCCACATAGTTCCACCAGAACAGATGGTGTATGTCACCCTCGTTGTTGGATGTTCTTGGTGGGTCATGTCACCACCCTCACCCGTACCGATGCACCTGGAACCATGAGCAAGCAAGCGGATAGGGTATGAAGTAAACACACCTGGGTGTTACCCTCATCTTGACCCACACCCACACCAAAATCAAAGTGTTTGATGCCGGACATGGGCCGAAAAAAAAGAATTGCTCTGCTCGCCCCTTGTTCAGGTTCACTGAGCCATCCTGCAGCCGACAACCCTCTCTCTCTCACTGTAAAATAGAACTAACATGGATGTGGAAAATGGGAAGACCATGTGTCTCGACAAACAGGGGTTTGTCCACTTCCATGCTACTTCCAGGGAGAGAGTGCGTATATATATATATATATTACATTCATTGGTATAACATTATATATTACAATCTAATAACTAATTATACATATGTATATATATATATATATATTTTTTTAAATTGCCCATCATATCCCATCATGGCCCATTCCAGCCACCCATTTCAGCTCCTGTAGCCAGGATGTTGAGCGTGGGGTGCAAGACCAAGGTGTAAACGCCACTGAGATGGCCATGGTAATTCCGGATCACCTGGCTCAGCGGTCGTGAAATGGAAACCCAGAAAACTTCCCAAGAAAGAGGGTGAAATGATGTGAAATGACTCAAAATTTGACGCCCACCATCATCAAGTCATCATCCACTGCCAGTCCGGAGTAAAATGAGTCATGACTTCCTGGACTCTCAGGGAAAGGAGAGAACTCTGAGAACCTCATCATCGCGGCGGGTCTTCCAGACTCCCGCAGCATGTGTGAGGTTAGAACGGGAAGGACCAACCAAAAGGAAGACGCCGGTTCCGGGCGGGGTCAGAACAGGGCGGGTCGGCCATGTTCTGCTCCAAATCCCAACACTTCACCTCGCAGTCTTCTGAAGCGCTGAAGAGGTACGGGTGCCTCGCCGCTCCACGGCGGCGCGATAACGCGCGCGCTTCCGGCTTCGGCGGAGGAGTTTCGACCGGCTTCGGCGGAGATCGGAGATGAAGCATGTAGGCGCTTGGATCTATATACCATGGCCGTTATATGCTTTTATTCATCAAGAGTCAAGAGTCTACATCACTTGGACGAATGAAAAGAAATTGAACTTCTACCGACTCAAGAGGCCTGTGAAGACTCCAAATTGCGGGCTGAACAAGACGAAGAGGGATGAAGAAAAAATCGATAGAGCATTGTGGGATGCGCTCATGTCAAAAATCATATCATATCCAATATACTTAGTCATGTTTCCTTGCTTATTATTTGTAGGCATATTCTTCTTCCCTTTGAAACAGCCTCAAGACTCCGGAACCACATCATTTGAACAGACCCCAGAGCCACGCAAGAATACACAAGCCAGCTCGCCTGTCAGAGATAGCCACTGCACGAACGGTGCTCACATGTCCGGTCAATGACAATTTCAGCCTCAACGAGCCCGTCGCGAGCCCGTTGACCCACCAAAGAGGTCAACGGAATGGACGACCAAAGAGGTCAACAAGACTGCCTGAACATCTCAGATGTTCCAAAGCAGTCTGAGATGTTCCAAAATGGCTTGAGGTCCAGATTTTGGAACATCTCAGAACATCTTGGAGCCCTCAGAACATCTCAGAGCCGAACAACTCAGCAAATCAGACTTCTATACCAGCTACACGTCACCGGTCGCAATTCTTTGTCACTTAAAGATTGGGATTTTGAGGGACTCGAGACCTGTCAGAGTCGGATGCAAACAGAAGCGAATGTGTCAACCTCCAAAGTACCGCTGAAGTTCCGTGACAGTGACATCCATCCAGAATTGGCTTAAGGGAAAAGCTGCAGGAAACGCGTGGTTTCCATCATGTGGAGGTGACAAACCATGGTTTTTTCCTGTAGATCTTACAAATGTTCCCTTCAAGCAATTCATTGAATCCGCCATGGTTGAAACCACCCATGGTCCTTAAAAGGTCCCGCTCGGGTCGTTCCCAAAATGCTCGTTTGGCCGCTCGGGTCGACTCGGGCCCCGGACACGCCACTGGCCAGGTCCCAGATCTTGATGAGACGATCATTGCCCGAGGACGCAAACCTTCGGTCTCGAACCGGTGGTGGTTCTTCGAACCGAACGGTGGATAGAAACCGAACGCGACCCCGCAGGAAGGATTGATAACCGCGTCGCAGTTGAAACAGAGGTGGCCGTTGATTGCCACATCCCTTGACAGCTTAGTTGGAAGAGGTTTGGAGCCTTGGAAACCTTCATAAATCTTCTTTGCCTCTTCTTTTCCCCAAAAAACTCTTCGAGTCTGAAAATATCCAACGGAACAAACACCTCCTCGCTGTTGAACAAACTACGCCGAACGACTTTCTTCGTTTCTTCGCCCAGCACGTGCTTTCGCCGTGCGTTCTCAGAAGGATGGACGCGTCCGGACCCATGTGTGGGACTTCGGGGGATGGATTTCAGGACCCCTTTGCGAAGCCCTGCAGCCGATGAAAAATGGGAAAAACGGGGGCGTACCCGGAAACCCGGAAACCCGGTGGTGGGACCCGGGTGCCACCGACGAAAAAACACCGTCGTCAGCGACATGTGCAGGAAGTATTTAAACGAAATGACAGTAAAACACACCATCAAACCTGTCACAGATCAGCCAGAGCCACAACAACACAACTGAAGGAGGTTGAAGAAAAAAAAGTCTATCCACTCACGGATCCAAAACACCGCGGAAAACCCACGGTACGCGGATCCCAAGGGTCGCGGGACCCACGGACCACCGGGATCCCGGTGGAGCAAGTCGGGGTTTGATGCTTACGTAAAACCATGGTTTCTGGGTGAAGGTGGAAGGTGGATAGCCTGGCCTGTGAAACTGCTGGTGGGAATCCAGGGAGCTGTGGTCTGATCTTTGAAGCATCGTATAGGTATAGGTCCTCCTATAGTCCTATGTGTCTTGGGTGAAGAAAAACCTGTTTTCTCCCGGTGCGTTGCCCCTTCTTGTTGAGTCGTCCCCAATCCCCAGAGTCTGTGGAGCTAAGCTCCCTTCGTCCACCTCTTTGGTGTCCCCACCCCAGAGGTGGAACTCGGATCTTCCCACCGACCGCTCACCACTTGGATCAATGTAGATTCTGTCTTGATTATGTTCACACTGTTCACACCCCCCCCATTTGGATTGAAAAACCTCTATGGTGGAGAGGTGAAAGACGATCAGTGGAGTCGTCCATGAGTGGTGCCGCTGCGAGGAAGGTTTCACTGTGGCACCCGCGCCACTCATTGGTTGGGTCCACTGCAACGGTGCGAACCCAGCCCTCATGGCCAGACCTGATGGTGCGAGCAAAGAATTCATATCTGTTCAAGACTGTCCTACTTTCGAGTCGAAGATTCTAGAATTGGCTTTCAGGGATCTTAAGTTACTGCAGGAGTTCCGGCTTTGGAGGTGCAAACCATGGGGTTTTCTTGCCGACTTTCCCTTAAATCTATTCATAGGGGAGATGACAAGGGTACAGGAGGACGTGGTCCAACAGCCTTCAGATTGGCCAAGGTAGAACACCTGGCCAAAACTGCCAATCTGCCTGCCTTTCACTGTGCCATGCGAACCCAATATGTGTGTAAACCTTCTAAAGGAGCAAGCAAATGGCAGAACAGCAATGTCATTCAATCCCATGTTTGTATTTTCTTCCAAGACCCACTGTGAACAAAGAAAGCCAAAACCATCCTCAAAAGCAAAACAAAAAAAAAGCCTCCACCCACGACCCACCGCCCACGACTTGACTGAGCATCCCTGCATAATCCTCATGAGCTTCCAGGGTGGATGCCAAATGGGCTTGGGGATCTCCGGCCGCTCACGCAACGGGCGAACCTGGATCTCCGTGGAGGGATCGGAGACCTTGGGCACCAGCGGCACCACCTGGCAGTGGGCGAGGCGCAGAGGCGCGGTGCGAAGCTCGCGGTGCGAGCGAGCTCTCGGGTGCGCTGGGGCGTTCTGCTCGCGCAGCCGCGGGGCGAAGCTCGGTGCGGAGAGGTGGGTGGGTTTCAGTGACTGGACGCATTTCTTTGACGTCTATACCCCCACCTGGAACTCTGAATCCTCGCAGGTTTGACCGGGGGGGGTCGAATGCATGGCGGACTGGGCAGGGCGAACCGTGAGTCGAACCATGGTACTCATAAGAATACTGTGCCGAACGAATTAGAAATAGCATCGAAACCCACGGACATTTCACAATACACTATAGGATATAATGAACATAGTTCATGATAGATTTCAGTAAGGGTCCAAGGCCACCCATGCCGCTGTGGCGAATCGGAGCCATCATGAAGGACCCAACTTATGGGCGGCATCGAGAGGGCGCCGTGCCACGCGGCGGGGGCGGTGTTCATATGATATATATATATATATATAACTTTAGTAAAGAAGTTATAACACACGTTTTGCGACTGAGCTATCCTTTGCTTCTCCCGAAAAGGGAAAAAAAAGAACGCAACAGCCCAAGACGAGCGAAACGAAACCCAGCAACCCCACAAGCAGGCCATGTGCCACTGGTCCCACCGCAGGACCCGAGGTCTTCTGACCCGTCTCGCCATCCTGAGCCGAAGGACATGAGAAGAGCCGCGTTGGTCGGGAGATGTTTTGTTTGTCGGAATCACTGGCTGCAATCTAAGACGAAAAAGATTAAAAAAAAAAAAAAAACACACACACACACAATCTCTCCAAGAGTGCCCTTTTATGCATCCAAGAAGTTCTTGGATGCTGAAATGAGATGAGTGTCCATACCTCTGCCTACCAACTTCAGGTTTTGATGGTGCTCACATCTCTGGCAAACATGCTGGCTGCGCTGTTAGCATCTGAGTAATAGCTGATGGCAAGGCCTCACAAATCAAGCAGCATGGTTGGGCTGTGCTGGACATGGCTGTCAACGCAGCTGGCTGTACGAATGCAACCATGGCTGTGTGTTTAGCCTCCTGGCCGAGGCGAAGATAGTGCCTCACTCAAAGTGCTTGCTGGGTACTGGAAGTATGTAGTTTCAACAGGGAGACCATGGGAGACCCCCGGCTCCGGGGGCCCTAGCCAGGTCTGTGTTTATTCGGCACGCCTGGGATTCTCCTCCCGAGCCTCGTCACACGAACATCGCAGGTTCTTCCCCCAAGCCTCGCGAGTGGCGTCATCCGCCGGCGCACTACGGAGGAAGGGCAACCTCAGAGCGGTAGGAGCAGCCAGCAGAGCCTCACCATTTACGCTTCTGTCCAGCTGGGTCTGCTGGGGCTTCGTCAAGAAGGTTTACCCAAACTGGGTGACCCAAACTGTCTGCAACCATTTGATCAAAATGAATCTCTCAACTGGGTCTGGAAAAAGCACCCCGGGTCGGTCTTTCGGGCCCCCCCCACGCGGCATTCTCATCTGTGACCTGGTCAGGCACATTCCTGATGTGCTCATACCTGCCCGTGGTGCCGGCGGCGGTCCGTTTCAGGGTCTCTCGTGGACAAAAATAGGCGTTGACCCATCAGTGTGGCCTCACAACTGGCTCCAGCAGAAACGAACCCCGTGTTCTGGTGCCAGAATGGTTTTTTCCCCCTCTTTTGGTTGCACAAGAATGAAAAGGGACTTAAAGGACCCACACGGCGCACTCATCGTGCATCTTCATCCTGACCAAGGTTTCAGTACCTTTCCCATCCTGCACATCGGATGGCCGGATGAAGAAAGGCGACAAAAAGGATCGGATGTCCAGACTGGAACGATCGGATGGCCAAACATGGCTTCATGATGAGCTATCCTCAGACGAAAGCCCAGTGCTCGAGGACACCGCTCCTCCACTCGCTTTAACTCTTCGTTCCCCACGAAGAGGTCATGGGTTCGCTTCAAGGACTTCCTGCAGGACACCGTCAGCTCGCTTCGCTTGGAGGCTTCCCCCTTAGGTCGGTCCGTCCGCAAGCAGAGAGAGAACCGGACCGGACCTGTTTTTGCACAGACGCCGGGTGTGGTTACATACGAGTGTCTCAAGAGTCGTTAGCTAAATGGTCCAAATCCTCATCAGAATGAGGGTCTCCTCCCAAAGGATCTGGATGTGGTTCTTTTCGGTCGAAGTGGATGGAAGCCATGGCACTCTCCGGAGCACGAAAAGCAGAACTCGAGGTACTCCAAAAAGAACATGAGTTGGACCCCACCCCCAAAGCAAAGCCACAAACAACACGTAGCTTGCTGGAGTTGGACTTTCATCGAAGCTGCGGCGCCTTTTTCTTTGTCCAGCTATCAAAGCCCTCTGCAGCCAAGGTGTCATCCACCCAAAACTAAACGAAGTACTTTCACACAAGCATACTTGCAACCCCATGCGCCCTCCCACTTCCCCGTTGGGGGTTGCGGATATATATATATATAGCATACTCGCAACCTTGTGGTTGCTTACATTTAAAAAATATTTGAAAAAAGGACTAAAATGGCACACTGCTGAAGTCCCAGTTATAACACCTGAAGAAGAAAAAATTTCTCACCATTCCTGAACTCGCCTCAGGACTCGCCAAAAACCGTGCTCCCCAACCGGTCCAAAAGGACTCGTCTCTTCGACCCGAACGCGTCCCTCGCGCGGAGCCCGCGTCCCGTGCTCCTGACGGCCAGGGTCACTGGCGTTCGCTCGCGCGGGCCCAACCTGGGCGAACTCGCTCGGCGGAACACGGCCGAGGGACACTCCACGCTGCCAGGGTCAGGGGTCCGGCCGAGTTGCCTTCTGTTTCGAGGTGGCAAGGGGATCACGGTGGCCGTTTTAGATGGTGCGCAAGCTCGTGGGAAATCACGACGAGCACCTGTATATACAGTGGTTTCAGAGTAGATGGCACAATCCCTAAGTTAAGTTATATGTGTGGTTTATATGGACTCCCATGTCAAAAAGAATGTGCCATCCACTCTGAAACCATTGTATACGTGACCTTGTTTGATGTCTGCACCTTCACAGGAGGTGGAAGGGCCTGAAAACTGACCCATCAGTTTCCCTGGAAAGTGGAGGTTCTTGGTTGAGTGGGGGACACCCCGGACCGGGGACACCCGATGTGTCGCCTATTCACGGTGCTTTCACCCACCCACCCGCAGGTGATCCACTCAGACGGTTGGGGTCCGAAAGAAGGGAAACCCGATGGAACCCGAGGCGACTCCTCGGGGGCGCCCTCAGAGGCGCGGCGAGGACCGAGGACCGCGCCGACGTCACACCGTGACGAGGAAAAGAAACATGTTCGGAGTCATAGACCTCGGATCCTGTTCTTCTCTCGGATCCTTCATGCCGTTGGTTTTTTCCCTCAGAAGCCGGCAGCACATCGCCCCCCTCTTCCCCGCTGAGCTGGCAGCACATCTGCCTGAGGTGCGCCGAATCGGCGCGCTTCGCGCGCTTTCGGTGCGGCGAATCGCCGCTCGGAGTCCCATGGGGGAAGAAGGTCAACATCCTGCACCAACGTCATGTAGACTTGCATGTAGATTCATAAACAAAACAAAACAAGCCAATATGAAGAGGTTTTTGTTCAATCCAAAGGAAGGGCGAGTTCTATTTATCAAGAGCCTGCATTCCCAATCATTACCGCATGGTCAAACCTCTAGCAAAAATGTCTGCTGTGTTCGGGTGTTCCGAGTTGGGGCCTGTCACTTCTCCTGTCACTTCTGTCACTTTCGGCCGATCAACAGTGGTTTGATTTTGGTGGTGCATGGGCTCCCCCCCGCAGTCCCTGCCTCAGCGACTGCTGCAGTCATCTCTCTTCCATTGAAGGCCACTGATGCCAATTAGATCCGTTCTCTGCACAAATGATTATGATCTGAAATCACCATAGCCATAGAAGTTTGAAATGTATGTTGAGGAGAGATACTGCATCTGTTAAATTGCAAGTGTTACATCTCCAGTATGTATATAGTATCCTAGCTTGAAAACACATTCATCTCATTCTCATCCCAGCTTCATCTTGTTTCTAACCACCGAGCTGCAACTTCTTCAATTGCAACGAGGCAAAATGGCCGACAAGCAACAGACTGATCACCAGAGTGCGAATCTGGAAACTGCTGGTGGTCTTTCCCGCCCGAATCATTGCCTCTCACCCAAAGTTCCTAGATCATGGTGCATTGGGATGTTCTCCATCAGCAGCTCATGCGCATCAAAACGTTCTCGATTCGCCATGTCGCTTTTTTGCGTCGGGCACACAGACTGGCGTCTCCTCATGCCAATCTGGTGGGAATCAATCGATGAACCGCACCTGGCCGGTCTAGTCGGATCGAAACGCAAGGGGCAGGACGCCAGGACGTCTCTTCACTATCAGGTCTGCGTGGTGCGCATGTGCGATGTCCCCATCCTTGGCCAATGGCATGAGAGGCTGCACGATGGCAGGATGCAAATTCACGGGCTTTGGGGGTTGGACCTGGAGAAGTCTTGGAGCACCGCAGGCAGAGGTCTGGACAGCATCTATACACCCTCTTAAGCACTATGCTCCGCCAGCTAGAGCCATAACACCCAGCTTCACCACCGATTTCAAATTTTCGGTGGCCCAAAGAACACACTCTGACCGGTCTCCGACAGGCCCGAGCAGTCAACAGGCCGGGAGTGCCAGCACCCACCTCCTGATATTCTTGTCTGGAAATCCAGAATTTGGAGTTGGCCTTCGCCGAGTCCGCCGAGATCCGGCCAAACAACCATCCCCAATCGCTCCATGGGACTGCCATAGGACTGCCGATCAGGCCAGGGGTGGTGCCACTGGGTCAATGGGGCGGCATATATTCCATACAGTTCAGTGTTTGGGAATATAAGACCTTGTTCACAAGGTAGCGGCTTTCACGTATACCTAGACGTGAGGTGAGTCTTCATCGCACCCAAAGGGTGTGGCTTTGACCTTTCCCTTTCTGTTCTATGCATACTAATTACTTTTGGAGTCCAACATATGATGTTATCCTATCAAAAAAGAGTTCACACCGTGTGTATATGCTTCTTGCACGCGGCAGTCGCAGGCGAGAATAGCATGCCTGGTGTTCACAGGCATCAGCCATGATGGAAGCTCCAAGGAACACCATATGTTGCCGATGTGGAGGATCCTTGGTCAGTCCATTCAGTCCACAGGACTTCATTCCCGTCTCAGACAACGAACACGTCGTACGGCAGAGTACGGCCGGAAACAGTATGTACTTCTTTTGGAAACACGACTGAAGTATCTTGACACTTAGCATCACTTAGCTTCATCTGGTTGCCAACGAAGCCAACGAATCCGACGGATCCGTCGTTCGTTCCGGACTTGTGACAACTGCACACGTCCACGTCCACGTGGGCCTTGCCTCCACGTGAACCCTGAATTTGCTGGCACGGGAGGAATCCCCTTGGAGGACGTTCTGCAAATAGAGAGCCTTGAGATCCTGCGCTGCGAAAGTTGGTGCGACTGGCGACACCTGGCAACACCTGAGATTCACGTCTCTTGTTCGGCCGAACAGGACGGAGTTCTACGTCGCCTTGACATGAAAAAGAACTAACACCCCCAGGTTCTGACACAACCTCATCCAGAATCCAGATCAGGCTGATTCAATTCACCAACCTTATTCGGTAAAAATCAAAGAACGATGAGCAAAGACATCAAATCAATATTCACCGACCCCGAATACAATTAATTCCCCCCATGTCCACAAGCAAACGAAGGATGGTCCAAATTCTCTTCGACCATCCTTAGGACGTGCATGCTTCTTTTGGCGACAAGAAAACGACCAAACACTGAAACACCCTGGGTGTCCGCAACATGCTCCGTTACCCATGGTCCGCCGCTTCGGCGGCAAAGAAATGTTCAGCCATGCCGGTGTCCCAGACAAATTCCTACGTGGGTGTGTATTTGAATAGCGAGCCCAATGGGTAGACTGGTCTATTTTCCATCTTCCAGGAGGTTCCATATGGGAGAGCCCCCTTGCCCTGGCTGGGTAGACTGGTCTACTTCCCGAACGTTCGAAAAACGAGATGATGTCCCCAATTGTCATACACCCATCTCTTCGACACGATGGCTTACTCGTCTCTTCCGTCCTTTTCAAGCCTTGAGGACATTCCCGGAAACATCGTCGTGCCACCCGAGAGCAGGATTTGTTTGAAATAATCCTGCAGGCAATGCTGTCAGGCAATGCTGGCAATACGGGAAATCCAAATTAAGTAGAGGGAACCATAGGAACTCTTCTTCTTGCAGGAAGAAGACAGTGATGATTCCACCAAAACTGGCTGAGGTGCGGGTTTCTGGTACTGTTGCAAAAGAAACAACGATGACTGCCCTACTTCTTCACGATCAAATGTTAAAAAGTGCGCAATGGTCCTTCTGCACGTGGATATCAGATCGCCTGATGGTGTTAAACACCTCGACACACGCAGCTCTGCAGGAACAAAATTGGCCAAAACCATTTGGCGTTGCTTTAACATGCCGGACTTCTGTAATCCCAAACAAAAAGACATCTGACTTGTTCGATCCATTGCAAGTACATAAGAGTGAGCTCGCATAGGGGTTCTCTCCTCTGGTCCTTGATGTAGAATCTTGATTGATAAAACCCCCCTACTTGAATGCACTCACTTGCGGGCAGGTCGCAACCACCCCCCTACTTGAATTGTAAACCCTCTTCTATCTCCCTCATTCCGAATCCGCACGCAGCCCCGGCAGATCAGAATGCTGTGGACACTCAGGTCACAACCCTCTTCATATGAGAAATTGATGAAAGAAACCCCATATGTGTAGTAAACCCTCTTCATATGAGGGTGATTCATCAAGATTCTACATTGTACATTAATCAGTGGTCCCACATCGCTCATCGTCGACCTCCTGAGGCCCTTCACCAAATCGGCCAATCCATCGGTGTCGCCGTGCCCAGCCAAAGCTGGCTTGAACCTGAGCTTCTCCCGTCAACCAGAATTGGTCCGTAGACCCCAACATTCCAACGACGCTTGGTTTTAATGGGTCTTCAGGTCTTCACAAAAAAACGTGGTTGTAGGATTGTTTTAGGATACAAAATCAGGTCTGAAGGCAAGGGACCAGCTTGGTGTTGTGTTGGGCTGGATGGTGGCTTTCCTGAGTCAGGTTCATGTATCGAATCCATCCTAAACGGCGCCTGGCACAACTTTGACATCACTGGCGGTTGAACCCGTTGAACCCGTTGAATCACAGTTGAACTCGTCGAGAGCTCCATCAGGGGCGAGCAGAAATGTGCAGCAAAACTGTAGAGTTAGAGTCTTAGAGGTTGCTTGTTGAGTTCATACTTCCAGAGGTTGTTGAGTTCATACCTCTAGTTGTTCTTAGAGGTTGTCGTGTTAGAGTTCATACTTCCAGACTTTTCCAGGAGTTGAGAGACTTGCCCCCTGGCCCGAAATTGAAAAAAGGAGAGAGAGGAGAGAGAGCAAGAAGAGAGCGAGCGACAGGCTCATCAAGAGTCCATGTAACCGCCACTTCCGACAGAGCCCAGAGCGATCTTGAGAGTTCGCTCCCTCCCTGGACCTCCCTGGACCTCCGCCGAGGGACAAGATCTCCGGCGCCAGAAACCGTTCGGCTCCCACCCGCATGGTTCGGCTGTCCGGAAGCACGTACCTGGCGCGCCCAAGCGCCAAGGAGTCCATCCATCCGAAAAAACGGTGGGAGTCGTCCCACCAAAAGAAAGGACACCTCCCAAACCCCTCTGGAATAAAAGAAACTTTTTTTTTTGGGATGGGTCCACTTAGTTCCGCGTTCGGGTCCGGGTCGCGTGGGGGCCGAATGGCAACGGTGCCGGGGTGCTTGGCAGGTACCCCTGGTGAAGGCTTCAGGGCTGGTTGCTGGTGCAGTTGATCAGCGCTGCTTCACAGCTTTCAAGTCCCGCCGGGTTCGTGGTGTTTGTTTTGGGAGGCGGTCGGTTTCCCAAAAGAGGAAAGCTTATCATTTTGGAGGGTTCACCGACCCAAACAAAGAGGATTTGGCCCAAAGCCATTGAAAAGTGACCGGGGCCCGGTCAGCGTCATGGTCAGGGCACTGACGGTCGACCAAGGTGGTCTCCCTGGCCTAAGTGGCTGGGAACCGCCCGCTCGTTGGATGGGGGCCTCTCCAAATGTGCATTCAAAAGACTCCAATTGCTGGCTGTTGGTTCATGAAAATAATCTACTTGGAGTGATCTCCGAAGCATTTCATTTTGATGCCACTGTGGATGCAAGGATGAAACAAGTCAGCATTGATTAGATGCCATCTGTTGGATTTGCCATGTTGTTCGAACGCGCTCGCTGTGATCATCCGCAGCTCACGGTGGTGACTGCAATCTGGCACTCGCGGTTTTTCGATCCGGTGGTACCCACTGCGATCTGGTATTTGTGGAGGAGGAGGCGGAGGAGGAGGAGGAGGAGGAGCAGAGGACATCTCTGATACAGTAAAATCTAATGGACAAACTGTTCATTGATTGAGATTCATGGAGTTGAAGAATAGGAAATATACAAAATCAATAATAGCCCCACAGGACTGGAGATGTAAAAAAGACCCATTCTGGTAGAGTGATTTTTATTCGGCAGCTTCATGACCAGTGGACATTGCTCCCACGATGTCCGATGCAAGTGAGCTACGACCATAGCACAACACAGCGATGGATGGTGACCAGTGGGGAGTGCGATAGATTACAACCTTCCAACTATGCATTTGTTGTCTACCGAACATGCCTATGTTGTATGGATGAGCCCGATTAGTGATGGCTCTTCAGAGCCACCGGAAGAGGGCCGGTTTCGACCACGTCCGGAGAGGGATTGAGTGTATCTGAGTCCCACTCACGGTTTGTATGTTGACCTTTCTTACAGCTTGGGTCTATCCTAGTACCAGTAACAGTGGATGATGATGGTTAGTAAAGGCCTTGTTCAAACACAGTGATAATTATTTACTGACTGTTACAGGGAATAGGGCAGACCCAACTCACACTTACCAACCCTAAGAGCTGTGGAACTTCATCGTTACTGTTCCTTGCTCCTTCCCTGGATCGGGAGGGTCCTATGTAAGTCACACGCACATCACGTCACATGGCTAGGGGCCCTGCAAGCTTCTTTTCCGCTTCCGGGTCGTAGGCCACATAGCATAGCTTCTGCTTGACCTAGTGGCAAGTTGGCAGCGCAACTTTTTCGGTCTGGCAGCGCTCTGCGCGTCCTCTTGGCGTCACCTTCTGCAACCAGAAAGATCAAACACCCGGAGCGGAGCAGCGGTCCGCGGCCCTCCTGTCTCGGTGCCTTTTTACGGAGGTCATACGCCCACGGAGCGTCCCGCCTCACGGACGGTCTCAAAGTCAGTGGTCGAGTTCAACGGATGCCCTTGACCTGACGTTGAACGCCACGAAAGACGGACGTGTGATCTCGCAGGTCAGGTCTGCCCGCAGGACAAAGAACACCGCGGACGTCCGCGGAAACGGATGGTCTGAGGATCAGGATCTGATCGTGAATGCTTGTGAACTGCATCAAAATTGCACTGAGTGGCTGCCTAGCAACACTTCCCCTCTGCGCGCTTGCATACTATCGATGCATTCATGACATGATATATAACCTCAGGCAACACCAGTGATTGGGGACCAGCTTGCCAAACCACCCTCCCTGCTTGATGGGCCCCTGCTCCAAATCCCACCACTCTTGGCCTACCAGGAGCTTCATCAGCTGCTCAGTGACATGTCTGCCAGCCAAATTGACCTCAGCCGCTTCACGGCCGCGGTGGTCTCAGCCCCGTTTTCGCTTGGCTGTTGCATCGGGTCCAATTGGCGGATATTGGCGGCCCATTTTTGGGGGGCGGAGATCGCAGGACATGGCACGACACGACACGCACCGACCTGATTGGCAGATGCACAAAGAAGTGTGATGTCATGTGTCCTGAAAAGGTAGCAGGGAAGGTGCCTGAAGGTGTTTTCTGAAGGTGCTTGAAGGTGTTGGAAAAAAGGAAACACATGTCATCTGAATGTATCAGGGATGTCCCGCGCACAAACGAGTGGCACCTCGAGGTGGCAGGACAAGCACTAGCACTAGCCACCCTGACCGTTGATACTCCTTATATAGGCTTGCACTCTTCTGCAAATATGTTCCATTTACCGGTCTTCACTCCAGGTGAACTAAAAAAGGACCGAAACTCTTTATGGCCCCCCGAAATCCTATCCAATCCGAGTTGCTCGTTGTACGAGTGCCGGCTCCAAATAACCTTCGGTCACTGGCACCAAATGGGTGACTCCATCTCCTGAATCCACCTCAGACGAGGCGTCATCACCCATCATCACTCGTCATCACTCGGGGTCGCTCCGAAGCAAAAGGGGTTTGCAAGGAAAGACGACCGAGCCACAGAATGAGTGGAGAACTCCGGGCTGCGTGAAACAGACATGATCTCAGAACCAAGCGTATCCAGGCAGTAGTAATGCTTGGCTGCTAATTCTGATGTGTTCATCCCTTCAGCACTAAACTAGACTCGCCAACACAAGATGAACTCGCAGCATGTATCCAGGCTCTTGGCTTCTATCGACCCATTCGGTCGACCTTTCGGCTCTCCCTCTCTCTCTCTCCGGCCGTCTGAGGTCGAGGCCACAAAGCCTGACTGCAGCCCTCTGGAATTCAAGGCTAGAATCGCCTGAACGGACCGGTTCGAGACGTTGGCCAGAACCCGCGAAAATCCCAGAAAACGGAGGCCAGAAGCTGGCAGTTTCAGACCCAGCTTAGGGGCTGCGAACGTACACCGTGGTACACCGAGTGAGCGGTCTGAAACACCGCTTGGTCGCATCGCTCGCTCCGTTGGTCGAGCCGTCTGGAGCATCGGTCCGTCGATCGTCTCGGTTTCGCGTGGGTCGATCTGAATAGCTGCCAGGACCTTCAGTACGTGACCTCCCCTTGGAGTCTCTAAGTGACCCTTTACAGGCCTAAATGACCAAAAGGTCACTTTGAAGGTCCTGGTGTATGGCATTGTATGGCTAGGATAGGTACCTCAGATTTCCCCAGATTCTAAAAGAATGAGGATCGCACGGGTTCGGGTCTCGCTGAGGATTCTGAGGAAGGAACTGTTGAATCCACAAGCCCAAGAAATCCGAAGGCTAGGGCCTTTGAGGACCCAAATCTGGAGATTGATCCAGAACCATTGCACTCTGCTTTCACAAGCCTGCACGGAGACGTTGACTCCGCTAAAGCCATACCGCTCGAACATGATCTCAACCTGCGACGTGCCACGGGCACCAATCCAGCACCCTTCTGTCCGCTTGAAGCGAGTCTTGGGGACCAGCACACCGAGGCAATCCCCCCTGTCCAGTCATGACCAAACCCTACAAGTCCAAGGACCAAGTCAAACCTTTACCTCATTGAGTACAGGTTTTGCATCACCGGACCCAGTCAAATGAGGTAGGGAAATAAAGCTGAAGGTATCCGAAGGTCCTTTGTGGGAGCTTTTCAATTGAGACTGGATCACATCTTGACAGAGGTCTAAGATGAAGTCTTCAAAGTCTTCTGCAGTATTTCCGGCCCACCTTGTGCGTTCCAAAAAAACAAAGAGGACCTGCCGATTTGCCCGAACTCTGGTTTCTCAAAAAATTCGACACGTTCCATCCGTCCATCTCTGCGTTCCCCACCGTCCATCTGACAGAAAACTGACCACATCACATCCGCCCCGCACCGCGGGTCTGCACGCGATGCGGCACCCTTCGCCCCGCTCCGAGTCGCACCATCTTCTCGCGATTCCGGGGCGGGTTCAGTGCCGCTTCCGTCTGCAGCACCTGTGAGGTGAGGCGAAAAACGGCCCCCGGCAAGGCGTCAAACGTGGAAAAACGCGGCTGGGTTCGACACCAAATGCCACTGGCCTTGTGGTCTGCTGGGTTTTCAATCCCAAGCTTCTTGAAGGTGTAGTCCCAAACGGCCTTGGCAAACACCACAGCCATCACAGCCAGTCGTCACCCTTGCTGTAAACGGAAGAAACATCAAGTTCAGCAGTCGGCCAAAAGAGAATCGTCAGAATTTGAGTGGCCTCCATCTCATTCCAATCCTTCACCACGCCATTCTGAATGGGTCGGGATAATTGCAGCATGGACCTGGCAGCTCGTTTGTGGTGGGGGGCATTCTTGGCATCACTCGCAGGGATGGTTTCTCTTCCAGTCTTCAACATCCAAAAACATGATCCATAGCAGCCCTCCAAGGATCCAAAGTGACCACTCGCCTTGAGTCCATCCAACAGTAGGGCAGTGGGTTCGCATTGGGACACCCTGGAATACCCCGGTTGACCGGTCGAACAGAATAGGCAGGAGGTCCAATTCCTGGGGAGGTCCCCATGGTCCCGGTGCCATGACCCATAGCCAAATAGGAACCGGCGCATGGCAGACCTCCAGTTGAGGGACCCGTCACCAGGCAGATGGCACGAGGGTCGGAAACCGAAAACGGATCGAGGGATTCGGTCCGTTCGGCAGCCTCGAATCGACCGAATTCCATGAGGCAGATTTAGGAGGATTCCCAGCATCCCAAAACCAACAACCAAACCCTCATGCGACTTGCCCCCCGATGCTGATCCGAAAGAGCTGATCCGAAAGATCAAAGACCGGAGCCAAACCCAGATTTGGCAAAAGGTTTCAGCTTTCGGTGCTTCGATCCCCCTCTCGGCTCCACTCTACCACCGTGACTGCCTCGCTGCATTGGCCTCGTCTCCAATCATGATGTCCTCCACCTGCGGCGGTGCATTGGCGGAGACTTCTCCGGGTGACAGTGACGTGGGTGACACGCAAGGTCCAGACCAGCGTGGGTGACGTGGGTGGCAATGACCTGGCAATGACCTGGTATGCTTCTTGTTCTGAAACAGAGGAAGCCCCTGTCGATGTTACTGTCTCGATGTTGAACCTCTAAGAAGAGCGATGAAAGGGGGGAAGAGAGAACATCTCAGAATCTCAGCATCTCAGAATTTGGGGCCATCGTGGAGCTTGTGTTACTTGTCCTCAGACTATTCCCTCACCCTCCTTCACCCTCCATCAACGTCCGCCTGACCGACCACCATGCCATCCGCGCGCAGCACCGGGCGGCCCAGTAGGTTTGGGAGCATCACGGACCTGGTTTCGACCACCGCCGCGGCGGCAAAGAAAGGAAGGATTCCAAGTTGTGGTTGTGCTGAATGATAGCGCGACGGGTTTCGAGTGTAGTGGCACAGGTTAGGGTTTGTTAGGCAGTGCAGTGTGCTGAATTCAAAAAACGATGATCAACAAAACTCCATAGACATCCGACCATCCATGGCCACCGGGGGCTTCCAAGCGTTTGACCGAAAAAACCTGAACGGGTCGAACGCTTGGGTGCCCAGCGGTTCCTGCTCTCCAGCCATCCCTGCCTGCAAGCGAGCAGAGTCGACCGTCTGAGCTGATGAGTGGGGCTGAGAAACGAAGCCCTGTGGCTGAGACCAAGCCTCGTGGTTCGTGCTGACTCTTTGAAACCGGAACCCATCCACTGTTATGACCTGCGGTGGACCCTTTGGATCGTCAAGAAGGAAGGCAAGCTCCCATGCAAGCCTCAAAAAAGGAAGAATCCCAATGACATCCAAATGCCACGAAAGCAAGTCGTCCAAGAGGCCGAAAAAAACGGTTTTAAAAAAGAGCGACCAAAATTGGCGTTTTGTTGGGTGGTGTTCCAGATGCAAAGTCCCTCTCCTCCCGAAGCGACGACCCGACGTCCGCCGCTCCGCCCTTTCTCTGTGTGGCTCCCACTCGAAGGCGCACCTTGATCACCCCCGTGCCGGTGTCGCAAATCACCGGAGGCCGCGATGCCATGGCGCCCCGCTTAGCCGCGCCCGCCGCGGTGCAGCTGGCCGATGCTGAGACGGAGTCGACGGAGACGGTAGAGACGTGAGACGGACGGTAGAGACGTGACCTCTCGTGGTCCTTTTTTTGGAAGTGGGGGAGAGTGGGAAGCCGTTCCTGACCGAAGCGCAAAGCTCAGAATGCATCGCGACAGCGAATGCTTTCGAAAGAAAAGAAAAGAAAGGCCGCCACGTAAGGCGTTGGAAGCTGTTACTTTTTCTGGTTGGCCGACCGACACCGTGGCGTTTTAACTCATGAAACTTCTCAGTTACCTACGAGGCTTTTCGGAGAAGCTGAAAAGTTTTGAAGTTCAATGTATCTTGGAGAGACCCAAAAAAAGCTCCTGGAAGTGAGTTGTAGATCCTGTCACCTGTCACCTTCCCCCCTGTGCGGTTCATGGCAAGCTATACCGGTTCTCGCTGATATGCATGCCGGCGAGTGATGGCGAGAGTAGTTGCACTGTCACCTCTTTGACTGACAGAAAACAGGCTGCAAAGTCGAAGAGATCAGAATCTATCGCTCAACGCCAGTGGTCCCTTCATTTTGAGACCCCGCACCTATCCATACTCTCTATATACCTACTACCTCTCTCTCTCTCTCTCTTGGACTTTCGACAGCAAATCTGAGAACCGAAGCACGCGCGCGCGCGTACGCCCAAGACGCTGATCCCTTCAGACACCGCGCATGTTTTTCCTCATCCAAACAGCAAAGCCTGTACATTGTCAGGGGTCTGGGCAATCTGTGCCGTCAGCTGTTGGACCTCAGATGTTTGGCGCAGAAAAGGGGCCCAGGCGCTGTGCTTAAGCACCTATCTTTGGAGGCATCTCGTCCATGGATTTTACTGTGAGGATTGCCTAAAGTAGACAAGCAACGAATGCCATTATACCATAAGTGTCTGGAGACTCTTGATGGAAATCTCTGAGTTTCTAGTTTTGTGAGGAGGTCATTTTCCCTGTTCTGCCCTCAATTGGGCATTTGGTCAGACCTGGGTCGAACAGGTACCAGGGGATCGTGAGTTCTTTGGTCGCCCTCCTCGTGGCCTTGTGGCCTTTGCACCAACCCCAACAGCTGAAGTTCCATCTTCCCAGCTGTCCCCTCGGACAATCCCGAAAACTAGCCAGGCACTATGCGTTTCCATAGAAAATGCAGCGCGATGGCGTTGAACTACGTCGTGCTTCTTCTGAGACCCAGACTTTGATTGTTCGTGATCCAGCATGCGAGCAAACGGTCAGCCTCACTGAACGTTTGGTGCTTTTCTTGCAGAACTACCACTAATCATTGAAGTTCTAGTTCCAGGCCAAAGAGATTTCTTGGAGAAATCCATTCGAAGCCAACCACAAAAACCAACCAACCTGTGCAGAAACCCCACCTTCATTGCAGTCTAAGCCACCTTCATACACCATGCGGTCGGCGGTCGGCGGAGCAAATGCTTCAAAATACCCTTAAAAAGCGATCCCAGATCAATCGTCGAGCACCTGCCATGGTCCCTTGATCTGAAGATGGGTCGAAAGGTTTGGCTCCGAGGTGCCCGATGCACTGGAAACCAGAAGACCAAGCCCTTCTTCGCAAAGGTTCTGCTCTCTTCCGAGGGTTTTCAAGCATGATCAAGCATCGAAATGTCCAAATGAGGGTTTCCATAAATGGGGGAAACCCCAAATCAGCCTTTTAGATCCTTTTAATGGGTTGTTTGATCATAAACCATCCTTTTGGGGCACCCCCATTGATGGAACCCTCCTAATGATCTCTACTTCTGCCCTGCTGGGCCGCTTAGGTGTGTCTTCGCAAGTCAACACAGATGTCGTGGAGCTTCTGAGTGTCTGACAGCTGGTTAAACAATTGCTGCTCATCCGGAGTGAAGTCACCTTACATGGAGTGCCACAGAACCAAGCTCAAAGTCTGCTCATCCGTGAGTCAGGGTTCCATTTGACTATTTCCCACCAGTTGGATGGCCTTCACCGTTTCCGCTTGCGCCCCTCCCGCTTCCATCTTCGGTCTCCGGTCGGCGGACGGACCCTCGGTCACCGAGCACGATCAGATCACCGGACGAACGAAACAGGTCACCCAATGCGCCACTGGACAACAAGAAACGGCAAACAAATGCGCGAACACCTGCCGAACGCACGGCAAAAAAGAAATAATAACTATGTGCTATATAGAGTGGTAACTCATCGAACCACGCCCATGCATTTGGACCCCAAAAAGATCAAAAAAGGAGTGGATACCAGAGGGGTCTCTTTACACAACTATACAGGATGCTGCAGAATGCGTGCCCTATCCATTTTAAAAAACTTTGATGTGAGGTTGGTCGCATGTGTCTGTGTCCACTTTTTCATTGGAGATAGGAGCCTTTGACCATGCAAATCAACGCCTCTCGAATGCGCTTGCCACTCGGTTTGCAGATCCGATCGCCGCTCGGCTTGGGCGCGCTCGGGCAGGTCCCGCTGGGCCTCCCTGGCTGGGTTGGGTGGAGCCGTCGATGGCACGGCGCTTCTTCTCCAGGAGCTGCACCACGCCCAGGAGTTCATGGCCTCCACGAATGAGTTCGGCGTCCGTGAGTCCCCACCTTCGGTCCGTTCTGAGGAGGCGAACTCGGAACCCGAGGTGCCAAAAGCAAATGAGCAAATGAGCAAGGGTCCGTTACTCCTAGGTCCCTTTTGCAAAAGAGAGGCAAAGAGAACGAATTGGCCCAAGACATACTTATCTCAGCTTATCTCAGCTTCGATCGTCCCTTCGGTCTTGTGATGTCGTCGAGTCTGGTTTGGGAGCGGTTCGAAGCTCCCAATGGAAAGGGGCGGCTTTCCCATGCAGCCACTAAGTGAGCCATGAAACGGGGCCGGACTCGACTGTTCAGAGAATGAGACCGGCTGAACCCTAAAGCTTTGAAGGAGTCTCCCTGCTTAGTGTTCCAAAGGAATTACACACCTTGGTGACTTGGTGTATATCAAAAATGGTGAGAACCCTCAATCTTGAAGGAAAATAGACTATAAGTCTATTGGGCCAGGGCCTGGGGGTCTTCCTATTAAATTACACCCACTCACCTGTACTTTGTTTGATGTGTTCTGCACTCCTGGAGTGCTGTGCTGCACAGATCATGAAGAGTCCTTCCTTCGCTCGGCGCCGGCGTCTACGCCCGGCCCAGTCGTTTCCTCGATCGCTGGAGGCTTCCACGAGCATGGGCCCAACCAACATCGCCGCATGCGTGTTGACCTCACGTACCCCCAAGGGGGTCGGCGGTGGGGGGTCGTACCAAACCGATGGGTACGGTGCATCTCGGGGCCTTCTTCGAGACGGACCACGGGCTCTGGCCGTTGAGGGCCCGTTGCCTTTTGTTCTCACCATGCCATGCAACTGAGAGGGGGTCCCTTTGGCCTTGGTGACCACCGAGAAACTCTCGAAATCCCAAGGTTTCCTCCCCATGACCTCCTCACCTCACATCCAAACTGTCCAAGACCTCTCCCGAATGCTTCTCCCCTTCTCACCCCCCCCCCTTCTTCCCCACCTCCCAAAGTCACCTCTTCGGACGTCCCGTTCTTCTCGTCACCTTCACCTGAGCCCTCCAGGCCGGTCGTCCATTCCGTTGGAGTCCATCGGCGATGGGATCCACGAAGGGGTTCTGGTGGATGTCCGGGATGTTGATCACCTGGCCGCGCTTCGTGTGGATCCAAATCCCGCTGGCGCGCGTGGGACCGCACGTTCGGCGGTCAAGGGGCAGGGGGTTCGAAGGTGAACGTCGCGCGGTGCGTACACCCAGAGAGGCGGAGGCAGCGTGGTGACGTGTGCACAGAGCCCGCCCACAGTAGGCTTCGCAGCTCTGTTTTGGGGGGTGGGCGGTTTTTGGCCAGGCTTACGAAACCATGGTGAGTAAAAGGACAGCGAAGAGGATTCGAACATGAGGACATCTCACTCCGGCCTGCTTCTTCTGAGCACACTGGCCCAGAATCCCCTTGGTGATGCTGATCGTCGTCGTGCCCTGCCACATTAAGAAAGGTTGCTCTGCTGCTGTTTGGTTCGTTCAATCCACCTGCAAAAACTGAGTCATTGGGATGTCATAATAGTACCAGGTTTTAAGGTCCATACCAGGACCCTCAGTACTTTGGGGCTATTCAATCCCCAAAGGTTGAAAAACAAGGAACGCCTAGGAGCAAGAAGCTACTAGTAACAAGGACGCTATTAGGTGGAGGCCATCGCCAGTAGGGTGAAGGCCATCGCTAGTAGGTTGGAGACCATGGACGCCATCGCTAGTAGGTTGGAGGCCATTGCTACTAGGGTGGAGGCCATCACTACTAGTAACAAGAAGCTACTATTCTCGAGACATGTCGAGGCACCCACCGTGCCAGACACCGTACCTTCTTCCGCATTTGCGAAGAAGAGATGAGGAGGCATCTGCTGTCATGGTCGAAAAATAGCACTCGGATGGTATTAACCTCAGTAAAGCTGCAAGTCTTCAGTTGAACAGCTAACATTCAAGGATACTCCGTGTACAACCTACTCAAGCCACTCGACCCGGCTTCCTGGGAGTGTGCAGCATGATCCTTGTGAGTGTGCATGGCAGTTCATGGTGAAAAGTCCCCATGTAGCACCCACCCACACCCCCGTTTCACTCACCCAAAGGTCAGAACCTGGACCTCCTGTCGTCTACTCTATTCATCTTCCATCAACCAAGGGTCCCGACCCGCCAGATGTCGCGCTTGGTCCCTTGACTTCCCTTCATGCTCCGTGGTTGAACGACCCACCGAGCCGGGTCGGGACCCGGTTACCACCGACGGCCAGCCGACGAAGCAGGCGCCCCGGCACTGAAGAAACCCGAGAACAAATGCTTCACGCGCTGCTCGAAGTCCGCCAGGGTCCTGGCCTTGCGCGTTACCAGCTGGCCCGCCTGCCCCACAGTGGGGGGCACATGTCTGCAACGACCAACTGGCCAAGCCCAAGCAAAACCAGCAATGGCAATGCACCAGCCGCCATCATGATGCTAGCTCGCTTCACCGAATAGCTGCTTGCTGCGCTCAAAAAGCTTCGAGAATTACCTTGAACTGATTATTCTAGAGCTTGCTATCTTGCAGAAAGCTGACCTAACCTTGCCACTCAATAATTTGATGGTGAACAACACAAACGAAAGGTCCGGAAGCAAATATCTAAAGAAGGCAATGGAAGGCCCTTGTGCATTTGTGTACTCCAACCATGCTCATACTATCATCACCTATCGACAGCAAGCAGAGAGTGCATAGAGAGTACAACTCTCCCCTTGCGAAGTTGCGGCTTAGCCGCGCCTTGTCGAGTAAAGCTATTTAGAAAACAGTTTGTCGGAAAAGAGATGTATGCCAACTCCGACCTGACTAGGCCGGCAGCACTTAGAAACTCTAAGGCCTTTAGAAAGTCGAAAAAGGGAACGCAGGGCCCATGAACTCTGTGAAAACTAGCGCAAAAACAGAATTCAGGCTAAAAAATCAGCTATACTGGATGCTTCAGACCTGCACTCCATGCCAGGTCTTAAGCTAAGGGCTTCACATACTCTGCTTTCACCACAAACTTGGAATCCACAAGCTTGCGGGAACCGTGAGGATACAAGTCAGCCTCCATGTTGTAGGTCTCTTTCATCACTTTGCAGAGATTGTCAAAGGACTCGGGCGAGACCTGATGACACTCCTTGTCAACATGCCAGGTAATGGCATAAGGAGAGCACACGGAATTGTCCCAGGACTGCCCTGTGGTTGAACCAGGATACATCACCGAGTTCTCATGACCCACGACGGTCCACCCGTGCAGCAAGTCATCAACAGTAGGGCCACCCGACACAATCTGATAGACCTGGCCCTGCACCACTACCATGGGGTTCAGAATGCCACGGCCATTGGCAGCACCTAACAGATTGAATGATTGACATCGAAGGAAATCATACTGCATACTGCCTGCACCATTTATACATTAAGTGACCGTCAGTGACCGTCTACTTCCAGTATCGATGTCCTACAAAACACTCTGACAATATCTGTCCTTCATGAAACAACCTGATCATTCCACCAGTCTTCCTCTATATGTGACTCTTCTGTTGCATGCCTCCCAAGCCATCTGCCAAATCGTCAGCATTGATGCCATCAGTCATATCCGAGTCCACACCAGCAGAAGAGTGCACATAGTGGACCTCATATGACTTGCCAACCTGCACATCACCCTTGCAGTACTGGAAAGTGTAGGGAGTCATCTGGGAAGATGACAAAGTGTCGGTTGCACACATCCAGCCAGGGCGAGGATTGCTGGCAAGACGACGACCCGAAGATGCATCATAAGCTTCTGAGTCTGTTCCGTTCTGGTAGCTATCACTCTTGTGCTCAGCGCCATAGTGGAAGTGCACGTTCACCAACGGTAGGAAATTGGCTTGCGCATCAGTGAGCGTCGCTGCTTTGGGTGTCATCTGACCTTGTGCTCCAGTGCTCAAATCTCGAGGCGTCTGGGGCTCTGCCATGTTGCAAGCTGGTGGGTTGAAGTTGTAAGGACAGCCGGGCACGGTGACAGTCAACTCTTTGCTGGATGATCCACAGCACTGCTGGCCCTTGTAGAAGGTCTTCAAGTCGCCACATGTCACTGCTTCCGCAACATGGCTAAGTCCAAGTAGGACCACTGCAGACAACACACTGGTTGCCATCCTCATGGAAAGCATCCGAGGTCCCTTGCTGGGTGGCTGCTTATAGCTGCTTACTGCGCTCGAAATGCTTCGGGCACTCACTGACTGTGGCGTTTTGTTAGGATTAGCAGAAGTCTTCAACATGCAAGGCGGGCTCACAGTACGCAACAGAGATACTTAGAATATCCAAAATTGCAATTCCAATCCTAAACATTGCACATTCAAAACCAAGCCACCCGTTTCTTGACACGACCGGACTTGATTGAGGGCACCCTTAGACATATGTAGACTGCCAACGACGAACCAGACCGACCTTGTTCACGTCAATGGCACCTTCCATAATTGCTCGGGTGCGGTCCACCTGGCGCGCTATAGGTCCAAACATGTCCCTCTTTCTTTGGGGGAAGAGGAGGCTCATGTGAGGCGGAAGCAAGACCCAACAGTTGGGTACCGGTACACACTCACACAGATTATCGGTTTGCACGGTTCACGGTCTTGGGAACGTATTCCAAGCACCAATGCTTCATGTGTTTTTTTCGCCCAGCTTTCTTGAAATCTCAGCACCCCACGATCTTGGCTCGATTGTCCAGCCGTTCGATGTGCAAAAGCACCTCAGTGACCGGTGCTGCACGGGGGTTCCTTGGCCAGTTCTGGCGCCAGGTTTCGCGCCCAGCGTTCCCGAAGCCACACATTTTTGGAGGGTCCTGGTTTGGGTGTATAAACCAGCCAGCACCTTCATGAAGGGGTCACCTGGCTGGAAGGTTCTACACCACTAAGGGACCTCTAGACAGGACACCCCGAAAGAAGGTCCAGGAGGTTTTAGTGGATGATCATGGTTACGTTGGCCGACATCTCAAAATGAGTGACTGTTGGGATCTTGCGGTGCCTGAAGGCGCCGGTTCGCGCCTTCGGACTGAGGGCTCGGCTCCACCGATAAAGGCGCACAACAGCTGCCTGTGGAAAGGACCCAAGAGCTTTTCGTTGGGCATGATAGGGTGTGTTTGAATATGGAGACCTCCAACCCATGGGTTTTACTCTATTTTCCTTCTTCCAGGGTGTCTTTGGAAGGTCTCCCTATTCTAATACACGCCCATGTCTCCTTCATGACCCTTCCCGAGAACGAAGCCTACAACAACTGTGTGTTGAACGACCTCCAAACCCTGGAGCTTATCTTGAAGTCAATCAACGCAAAGGACTGATGATGAACTCCTCACCCTCTGGCTGAACACTCGACTGTTGGGATCGGCCATCTCAGTTTCTTCACTGACTGGTGCGACTCGTAGGGAATAAGGGAATGGATCCTGAGGGGTCTACAGGGGTGGTTCATTCCCTCATTCCCTACGAGTCGCACGAGTCTGTTCACCTGCCCCACACAACTATCTCAGTTGCTTCACCTGCCCCAAACCACGCCGGGAACACAAGTAGTTGATGTGCGAATCGGTGAAGCATTGACTGAGGCGATTGATGTCCTCACGCCGTTCACCGCGTGGCGTTCACCGGGCCGGCAGCCGGTCGGTCGAGGAGTGGACGGGTCTGTCAGGGAACCCATGCACATGGAGTGGACCGACGTGTGAAACAGTGGTAAGGATCATGTATCGTTTTTGTGGTTTGTGATGAAACGGAGGGTTCTGATTCATTCTGATGAAACGCAGGGATTTGAAAAACTTTACCTGTTCATTTCGGCTCTGGACATGGATGCCATAGAGTGTTCATCTCATTGGGCACTCCAAACCAGCCAGTTCATTAGTTTTACCCTGTTTCTATGGTTCCCTAGAACAAAGGAGTATACTGTATGGTAAAATCCTAATCTAGACTCTTAATCAAAAGAAAACATGTGGATTGTAAAGCCTCTTTATATGGGGGGGGGGTATTGATCAAGAGCCTACTCTCAAAAGGTCACCCATCCCTGGTGCTTGGATAGAGAGTGGAATTGCCACTGCTATATGTTTCAATAGAACTTCTGCATGAATCCTCCCAAGAAACATGTCTTTGGACTCCTAAGTGACACGGATCCAACAACAAAGAAACCCAAAAAAAAACAGGAACCATAAGGACAAGCTCACCAAACACCGCCGACATGTTGATCTGACCTTCGCTCTGTGTTGAAGAAAAAGGAACGAAACACAGCTGGACTGGGACATGGGCCTACATGGTCCCAGCTTGGAGAGAGAGAAAAAACAACAAAACAAGAACCTGGTTCTTCAAAGTGACCGTACTTGATATCCTGCTTGGTTCGGTCACGAACAAGCCTCCGAGTAGGGTCACGAAAAGGAACCTTCAAAAGGTCACGAACTGAAGAAGCTGGAAATGGTTCCCGCAGACGGAACCAGACAGACGACGGATTCGGAGTCCGACGCCGTTCCCGCGTCCATCACGCGGCGCGGGTGCAGTGCGGTCGTTGGTCCTGTGAAACGCCGGCGTCCTGTAGAATGCGGGGAACAAAGTTGGCCTCCCATGTAAGGGCAGCAGAACAAGCGGCGCGATGGAATCCGAATGAATCCGATGGATGAAGAGGTGAAAAAGTACCCTGGTTACCTGAAGATCCAAAGGAAGCTTCTCGCCCACAAAGAAAACACCACGAGTTCACGATTCGACCAGATCTATGAGATGCCTTTGAAAAAAAGAAACGACCTCCTCTTTCTTTTCGTTGGTTGAGCGTTTTTCCCCATTGTGGAGGTCAAACACCGGATGAATCTGGATGACCAAGCAAGTGCCATCGTGAACGTACCCATCGTGCCTCTGATTCAGCTATCTTTGAGTCCTGATCCAAAGGCACTCATCCAATTGAACAGGCTTCGCTTTGCTTTCACTGCAGCTCTTCCAAACAAAACGGGCAGAATCTGCTCGCACGGCTCCACCCCCCACTTCCGTGTGGTTCGCTCCTCCAACGTCACTTGCAAGACCGCCTCGGTGCTTCGAACCGGACCCGGACCCGGTGAACCACCGGACCCGGGTCGGACCGGGTCGGACCGGTGGACGCGACGCGACGCGGTCCAGGCCGCCCGGGCCCAGATTCGGGTGCGGTTGGGAGTGAGCACCTCGGGGTGGCAACGGGCAACGGGCCGCCTTTCGATGGCTTCGGGGCGCAGTGCTGGCGTCTTCGCTGGCGTTCTGCGTCCGCCTTCTCAGGCTCTTGCAGGCATGGCCGAGCAAGTCTTGGACCGGAATGGTAGTGCCTGGAGGCCGGACGGGAGAAACCACCAAAAGGAGTGGCTACTTCGAGCGACGGTCGCTGGAATATAGATGCCCTTCTACCTGGACCATCCAAGGGGTGCCCTGTCTGGAAGCCTATCGGATCCGTGTGGGGTAGTCCAGCCCGGACACCCCGACTGGATGGTCCTGCTTAGACTAATTGTGCATTTTTAGTCTTCAACGTGTGTGTTTTCTCTTGAAAAAACTTGACCTCAAAGGCTCGCACAAACCCCGCATCCCGCATGCGTCTAGAGTCTAGAGGCGTCTCCTCCGACATGCGTTTGGGGCCGCTCTTAGCCAGCGGCCTGCAAGTCCGTAAAGACCGGTGGACACACCTGGCGTTGGTGACCAGCGGGGGGGAGGTGACCAGGATATGCAAAGACGCATCCGCAGCGAGGCTGTTCACTTCTGCGGGGATGTAACACTACCATGATGCAACGTCGGCATAAGAATGGCACCAGGTAGCAAAACTCAACCACGCACTGGGCAGCCGGCTACAAACACCTCGCAACAACACCCTGGAGCAGCACCCTGCAGCAGCACCAGCACACACGGCCATACACATCTGGCAGCGGCACCCTGCAGCTGCACCCTGCAGCTGCACGAGCACGGCAGCGGTGCCCTACATCAGCACCAGCACCCACTCTCCAAACTACCGTAGACATCTGGCAGCGGCGCCCTGCACCAGCACCCAGACCCCAAAGCTCAAACACCTTTTCCTAAACTTGAAGTAAGAACTCCAATAGCTCTCGCTATCTGGGGGAAGAATCACACAATAGTTGATCTACACTACCACGACATCAACCCCTTCTGAAGCGATGCTCCTACAACTCCTAGAATCCTAGAACCGGGCCACCTATTTCTTTTCCATCCCATCTGCACTGCAAAGCTCACAGCTGCCAGGACCCCCGGGCCTTGCTCTCCTCCAAGCGAACTAAGGCCTTCCGTCCCGATCGTTCCGAAGGCGGCCGCGCGAACCGCGCGAGTGTTGCAGCGATGCTCGTCGGAGGCGCCTGCAATTCCGTCTTCCCTTGGCCCAGGTAGAAAATGGTGAGCTGCTCCGTCTGCACACATGGAGGTTGGACGTAACCGAATGACCGAACTGCCACCTGTTTCATGTTCGGAGGAAGCGAGATGCTCCACCCGAATGGAATCGGGTTGTGGTTAGACCAGTCACGCATTGAAAGACCAGAAAACGAAGCCCATGAACAATAAGGATCGTTGCACACACCACCATTCGACACCGACGCTTCTCCTTGGAGTGCCCAATGGTCACAGCTTTTCGTAGCCAAGGATCCACGATGTAGACCTAGAGTGAGACCGGCGGTGCTTCGAACCGTCGCGTGCGCCGTTCTCGAGGCCAAAAACATGCCCATCTCCTCCCTTTCCCCGAAGCATCTGCCTATCTGCATGATCTACACCATCAAGAGGTCTGCTCTATAAAAAGCCCACTCCAAAATGTCTTGAAAAGCGTACCACATCGTGCCACTGTATGTTTCTATCCATGCGAGGACCGAGTTTCCTGCAACATGTCGGCTCAAAACCCATCGAAAGTGCCCGAAAAGCTTCCTGGAGGTGGTTCCTCCTTTTTCGTCGTTTGGTGAAGCATCACCCTTTTGGCAACAATGAACTACGGTCCTTTCCACCGGATGGAGGAGCCTTTCAAATCCAAAACTACAGGTTTGTACCTGGTATCAGGGGCCCCATGAAACTAGGCCATAAACCATCAAAGAGGTTTCCCTTAGCAAAAAGCATGGTTTGGGTATGTGAAAACCTATATATCATTATATATCTAACACAGCAAAACTGAGGGCCACCGGGGTTTTCGACCGACCGTCACGGAGGGCGCGGCCACACCCGGTCGTCTCGAGCTGTGGAGGGCGCCCGACTCGGTGCCACCCCAGGCGCCGTGATGTTGGAGGTCCGGCGATCGGCCAAGAGCCGCGCGGCCACATCGGCCATGGCCTCGGGGTTCGGCTTCGGTGCCGTTTTCGACGGTGACCGAAGCCCCCAACAACCAGGACCAGCCAGTGGGGCTGCCATAGGACTGCCGATCAGGCCAGGGGTGGTTGACTGGGGGTCAATGTCACTAGGCATATAACACGAACGAGATGCCTCCAGGAAACAGGGTCACAGGTTGACGGACAAAAACGAGGTCACGAACTCTTCAGTTCCTGGAAGTTGAGCGTGTTATTGTGGATTTGGGGGGTGGTGGTGTTCCAAAAAAGTGCAGTTGGACCACCTGCCTACCGGCGTCTCTTCAGGACACTTGTTTGCTCCCCAACGTCACCTTTGCTGAGCTGAAATTGAAACTTCTGCAGTCTCAGTGGCTCGAAGGCAGCTCAAGGCTGACTCAAAGTCGCGCCAAAGCCTCGGCAGGAGCTCGGCATACTGCCCGGTCCGGGACCCACCCCCGCTCGTGCGTCGTGTTGTCTTGATCCATGTTCACCGCGTCTTTCGTCTCACCGGTGGCACGAGTACTGTCCGAAAAAATGGAGGTTGTTCACCAAACCCCAACACACCAAAGACCATGTGTTTTGGCAGGAAAACCAGGTCGACCTGATGGTTTTGGTGGGTTCTGGTACGAACACTGCCCGTCCTCTGAGGACAGCCACAGATTCACCGAGCTCGTGAGCTGCGACACCCGTGAAAAGGGCGGAGGCCGTGGATGGCGCGGCCCCTTGACCTGGTGCGAGTCGGGGGCAGTCGATGTGAGTGTGTCAATTACTATAGGGAGAACCCCGGTATAGGATGGAAACTGGTCAATTGTCCAGACCCTTCCAGAATTTGTGCGAAGTTTTTTGCGTCTTCCTCTTTGAGCTGCACACCCGTGAGTGTTAGACACAAGCTTTTCGCTTCGTGAGTTGGTGGTATTTTCTCATGAGTCAGTCAGTCCATCAGTGACCAGTGAGCTCTTTGAGCTTTTAGTGATTGGGTGCACTCAACACACAGGGAGTGTTTCAGGCTGCAAATTCCTGCTGTGAAGGTATTCCAACAGCTGCAGCCGCCTATGGCCTGCCAGCTCGTGGAAAATCTGAATATGACTCGTAGGGCCACACCCACTGCTCAGAAACCTCCACGGTGTTCTGTGTGCTCCATCAACTGGGTCTCCAAAAAGACATCCGCCACTTTACACCAGAAACTCCACTCCCTCCAATGAATTCCCCACACATCTCCACTCATCTTCTTCACTCATCCGTGCCTCCTCCTCGTGCCTCACAAACACCGATCCACCCCGACGAAAACGCGACGGGAGGAGCTACAGCGATGCCTTCCACCACGGTACCGTAGCGGTCTACGCCGGGACACCAAGCAAGGAGAGACAGCTCAACTGCTAGGGGTGGCGCGGCTGAGCTCAACATGACATCTTGGATGACTGGCCGATGACCCCAAAACCATCCAAAACCACATCTAGCAGACAATCACGACAATCAGAACTTGATGCATTGGCAACCAGATGTTGTTTTCGGCTTCTTGTTTTGGAGGAGTGGGCGAGACTTTGTGTGGAAACCTCTTGGATCACCCGCAATCCTTTTTCGCCCGGCCCACTTCATGCTCTGCAACTGAGTGAAGTGGTTGTCACTTCGATCCCAACGTGAGAAAATTGAGTTCAGAATTCCAGGTACCATATCCCTTTTGCATTGCTAAAATCGAAAAAACGTGAGTCTCCCGGTCTCCCCTCCAAAAGACTCCATCCTTTTGGGCGGGACGTCAGGCCATTCAATGTTGGTCCCCCCATCTCCCCGCGCCGCATGCCCCGCCTGCGCGCGGGGCTCCGCGACGAGGAGCGGCTCCGTTCTTCGAAGCCCTCGGAGTCGTTGAAGCGCCCTGGGAGACATCGACGGTGGCGCGGTGTCGCTCAACAGGGCTAGGATTCGCGGGGGGAAAAGGCCATGATTCATGGGAGGGATCCTCGGAATCTGACGGGATTCGTAGTGAAGAAAGCGTTGAAAGAGCTGAGGTTATTCCGTGGATCCACACACACACGCACACCTGCGATGTCTGGATCTCTTCCATCGAAAAAGGACTCTGACACCAAAGCCATCCATTGCACTTGAGACGAAAGATGTGATGATGGAACCTTCGGACACATGCGTAGGCTTCCAATGGGCGGATGGGGGATTGGCACCCGTCCACGAGGTCCTGCTGAAAGGGCATGGGCCGAGCACGCGTGGCCCGGGCACGGGCTGGGCACGCATGTGGCCACAGCAGGGAAGTGTCCCCAGCGGAGCCTCTGCAGGTGAGTGGAGTCAAGGGCATCCTTCCCAGCATCTCGTGCCGTCCCGCGTACCTCGGACTCCCGCCGCGTCGCCGTCCAGAGCCGTCAAGAGCGCCGTCTCCCGGTGGGCCGCCAGTCCCCTCGCTCCAAAGCTCCGAACCGAGTCCAAGGTCTCAAAATCTCCCCCTGTGCCTCCATCTCCCCAAACCAAAAGCGCCTCCCAATCTCGAAAAGAGCAAAAAAAGTGGCCAACAACTCCCTTTCCCAGTGACCGGAAACCCTTTCCTAATCGGGAAGCTCCACACGACCTCGGACATCCTCGCGTTCCTCGAACCTCGAACATCGCTTTTTCAGAGGTTGGAGACATCCACGGGGACCACCTCGGCAGCCCTGAGGCGGCCGGGCGGCGTCGTTAGGGGTGGCACCCTCCCTGCCATCTGACCCTCAAGCCACATCTGACCATCCAAGGCCAGGCTACACACTGCGAGGGCTCGCAAAAGCAAAGCCTGCGCCCACCGGCGCGGTGGACGCCAGCGCAGGCACCTCGGGCCTGACATGTGGGAAGCACAGTGAACTACTGAATCCACATCAATCAAGATCCATGAAACGTTTTGAGCGCCAAGATTGATGGTTGCGAAGATCAAGACACCCCGGAACAAATCGCGCGCTCAAAGCAGAATGGGAACTTCCAAGATCAAAAGCCAAGAATTGCAAAAGATACCACGGTGAGTAGTATCCCAAAGGAGTGTTCTTAGTCCCATCCAGTGTGACAGGGGCACCCCTATCCTCCAACTCCACCCCGTCTTGTGACTCCTGGCGGTCGTTTCTTCACAACTGGAAAGGTGTTTTCATGTCTTGCTGTCGAGCCAACCAGCTATGGGGATGGATCGTGGCCCACCATGTGAGCCCGACCAGTCCACCATTCGCCACGAACGACTGGTCCACCGGGTAGGGAAAACACTGGTCGCCACTGAACCGCCAAAGCAAGCGTTAAGTGGTCTCGCCCCGGGAGCCCCAACAGCGCCGGCGGACAGGTGGCCAGCGCTGTACTGGTGACTTGCGGCACCGAGTACCTCAGCCACCCAGCATTCTTCCCGGTGAAGTGCCCATGGTCATGCTCACATCGGAAGTGATGTAAAAACACCTCACGTTGTGGGATCTGAAGATGAAAGCGCTAAAAAAAACCATCAGTCACCAAGGCTTCTAAAAAGGTATCCATGTTTTATTAGTTTTTTGGTGTCTTGTTCCTTTTTCCTGGGATCCTTTTTCCACAGACCATCAACGCCGCCAACGCCGGATCCGCTCACATCCGTCTAGTCGGTTCTGAGAAGTGAAGGATTCGATCGACAAATGGATGAAAAGCGGGGGTGTTTTCGGCGGGGGTGCCTGGGAGAAACACACCGAGTGTAACGTCAAAATGACCGACAGGTCCACCAAGATGATCCAAGATGTAGTGCTCCGGGTGCCATGATCCACATGGGTGTGTGCGTGTATGCTTGTGTGTTTGTGTGTGTGTGAACATACCTGGACCGCCCAGTTTGAGAAGAGGAAATCTAGCCCCAGCCGCAGGTGGCGCCACAGCCGTGCAACGACATCCTTGATTTTTTTAAAAATGCACCCATACACATGCGTATGTTGATTGAATTGAATGCGTTGATACAAGTGTAGCTAGCGGGCTAAGACCCTCAATTATATAACAGTGAGCTGAGACAACGGGGAAAAAAATAGGAAAAAGTGAGAAGTGGCACATCATCCGCATGCATTCTCCCACTTTTGGGGCCAAGCATCTGTGGGTCCTGGTGCAGCAAACCCTTCATCCGCCGGTTCACCTGGCCCAATTCCGAAGAACACGGATGTTAAAGGGCCGTGTTGGTTCTTTCCTTGTTTGCCAACAAAAACAGCAACAAGGGTCCTCTTCCCGATGGTTCTTTTAGGTTTCGCAGGTTTGTGCTGCGTGCTGTGAAACTGAAGGTTCGCAATTCGACTTCGTGTCATCCTTTGGATCAGCTGCTAAAGCTGCTAAAGCTGCCGGTGAAAGATGGTGCTTTCGCAAAACCAAAAACGGCTTCCCCAGGTTCCCAGAACGGTCAACCAGGTAGGGTCAACCAGGTAGGGTTTAGGGTTCCGGGGGCCGCGGAACCACGTCGTGGCCCCGCCATGGACCGCCAAGAGAAAAGAGACGGATGGAATACTCTGGTGGCCAGCCTGAATCTACCTTTACATAAAAGAAACGAAAGAAATCCCAATCCTCTTCTCAGTTCTAGGTCATTCTAAGTCCTTCCCTTTCAGCCAAAAGGGTCAAAACGCCTTCTTCAGCGAGCTGTTCTCTGCCTTCAGCTTCCCCAGCTCCACCTTGGAGAAAAAGAAGAGCTGGATTTCGCTTCCTCAACCTCTACTGGGGCGAAAATGCGGTTCCTTACACGATTGTTGGATCTAAATGAAGCAAAAAAAACATCGCTGTTCCTCCATTGGAGGTACAGATCTCCTCTCGGAAAGTTCGGGTCCTACAGTAAGGCCTCTTTCGACTGGTGCCTAGTTGGGTGATGATGACGCTGGTAGATCAGGATATCTGGACTTGAACCGCTTTTGAAGTGGTCTCTTCAACAAGATTCCACATTTTCACACACCCCATGTGTTATTCATGAAGTTCAAAAGTCACCGACCTCGGTCTCTTCGCCCCCAACACACAGAAGCACCTCAGACCTACCTGACCCGCGACCACAAAACAACAAATTGTGTGGGGTCTTTTTGTCCAAACACTGAAGACTCTGTCGAATATCGCTCAATGAGAAGGTTCCTTCAAATCCAGAATGGATGGAAAGCCTCAGTCCAACATCCAGGATATCCTCATGCCGGAGCTTTGGGAGATGCAACATCTGGCCACCCAAGGAGACAAAACCATGGCTGAGTATGTCATTATAGTCTTATTGGCCGTCCCGATGCTTCGGACCTTCGGAAGCAAACCAAATGGAACGTGGCCCCATGGAACTTCGACCGGGTTTCGCTCGCGGGTTCAAGGGTCGGTCCACCGAGCTCACAGATCGAAGGCGCCGCGCCGCGCCTGTAGATGCCCAATCTTCTGATGCAGCTCTTGATTCTGTTCCAAGGCCTCGAGGCGAAGAACGAAGCGGGTGAGGCCTCAAGGCCGGACGATTTGAAACAAGTAAGTCCCAAGCTTCTTCAGTTCGTGACCGAACTTGAAGGTTCCTTTTCGTGACCCTACTCGGAGGCTTGTTCGTGACCGAACCAAGCAGGATATCAAGCACGGTCACTTTGAAGAGCCAGGTCACTGACTGGATTGAATATCCCTGGCCCGTTAGAAACATCTGACACCCCCACTTGCAACGTCTCCTGTGGTATATGTTTTTTTTTGGGTTATTCTTTTTTTCTGTACATAATAGCTTGAGTATATCGAAGCATCATCTCTGCATGGCAGTGTCCATCCTTCTTGAAATCCGCCGCTTCGTAGGACGAGATCAAAGGGCCTCGGTGTTGGCTGGTCGGCCGGGAGCTTGCGGCCTCCAAAAAACAAAGAAAGGACCTGGACCTTGTCACAGGACCTGGACCTAAAAAGAAAAGGGCCCAAAGTTAGGGGGGGCATCGCAGTGCATCTTCGTGCCAACCTGCTGCGGGTCTGTCGGTGCCCAAAACGCGGTGCCGACCTCCCGCCCGCCCCACCCGGTCGTGCAAAGAGAGAGGAAAACCCAAACCGTTCAACCCAAACCGTGGAATTCGCAGACCCCGGACAGACCGGAGAGGGTCATGGCAGGGAAGAGAACTGGTCGAAGGTCGCATGCCCAAAAACTGATATATCATGATACAATGTTCAAAGAAATCAGGCCTGTCCACAAGCACCAACCCCGAACGACCACTCTTTCAGCCGGGGTTCCTTCCGCGTGCTCACCCGTGACCGAACGAATGGTCCGTTTGGGCTGCTGGTGGAGCCCTCCGAGGGGTGGGGATCTCTGGGCTCCCCGTGCTCCGCGCCACGCTCGTTGCTTCCAGCATCCCTCGAAACTCTTCGATCTTCCCGTGCTGGGCCTGGAAGAATTCACATCCGACTCCACCAGCAAATATCCGACTCCAGTAGAAACCATACCACCACCCAAATCGGAAAGAAAAGGAAGAGGATTGAAGAGAAGATGTTCCATCATGTTCCATCCAACCACCCAAACTGGGTGGTGCCTGTTTTATTGCTGTTTTTGTTTACAAAAGAAATCACCTGGGTAGGCGATGGTGGCTGTTCTCCACCATGTCTGTCCAGCTCCTAAATATCTGAGTCATCCGTCATCGCTGGTGGTCCGAAGTCGTGTCTTCTTGACTTCAGCCTACCTTCGCCTCGAAGAGAGCAACGCCGAAGCGGAGAGAGTCGCCGGAGAGTCGCCGGAGAGAGGAGAACGAAGAGAGCAACGGCGCGGGGAGAGCCGCCCCCAACCTTGACGATGTGCTTCAATTGTCGGATGAGCTCCTCGTCCTTGTGCAGCCTCCTCAACAGCACCTTTGGGAGTCGAGCACGGAAAGCTCCGAGACGAGCCAACGCTCCGGGCGTGTGATAAGACAAGCAACACACCGTCATCCCTGGCCTTTTTACAAGCAGACGCACCAAGAAGAATGGGAACGACCCGGTTTTGGGAGAGGAAACTTCTTAGTAAAACAATGATGGCGTTTCGGTAGAAAAAGTAATAATTAATAATCGTGCTTGGAATTGTGCTGAAAAAGATGCTGGTGTCCAACTGGCTCGGGAAACGACGTGCGTCTTGTCTTTCACTACGCACGGGTGTGCACTGAGGTGTTTATGCTCACAGAAACCCAAGAAGGTGCTCACCACCCGGGGTGGACTTAAGGACCTTTTTGGAGGCTTCATCAGTCAAGGTACAGTGTAATGTAGGCTTTTGATGAATAACCCCCCATGTAAAGATTCAAATGGGTGGGTTTACTAATCAAGAGTCTACATTACACATGTTCTTGACAAAGCATGAAAGAACTGTGCCACCTGCTGGACTTGTGGTCCAGGGTCCACTCCCACTCAGGTGGGCCAAAAAGCACCAAAACTGGTTCCCTTCAACCTGAGCCTGAACCTGAGCCTTGCTTAAACGGAAATGCTAAGCTATCCTTGTGGAGGAGGCAACATGAATGTAGACTCTTGATTAATCAACCATCCCATTTGGATTAGTCCTCTTCATGTGGGGGTATTAATCAAGAGGCAACATTTAGGGGTCATCCTTGTCTTCCTGCAGGGCTCCCCTGTCGCCTCGTACTGCTCTGCGGGTACAGCTAGGGACTCCAGATCGCCTGCACCTGGGCGCCGGGCCATGACCGGAACCCGTCCCAAACAGATCTTGAACGCACACACCTCCCTCCACCTCCCCCTATGCTATTGATTTCAAATTATATACAGTACTGCTTTGAATTTCTATCTCCCGAATCGAAAGCCGCTCACTCCGACTCGAAAGGCAACAGCCAACAGATCGGGGAACACGGGTCGTCGGGGCGTTCGGTCGCGGCGTTCGGTGAGGCGTTTTGGTCGCAGCCGACGTCCCAACCTTCCATCTCTTCCAACATCTCCTGCGGGCGTTGGAATCGCTCGTCCGCGTGGTCGGCGGCAGCCGCTGGAAGAAAGGGGACCGGAGGAGGGTCGAGCCGTGGATGGACGAAAACGGAGTTTGATCGATGTGTGGGGGGTATCTGCGACAAGCGCAGGGCGCAGGCTGATGCTTATTTCGTTCCGTCCTTGAATGCTTCTGCCTCCATCTCATCCATGTCTCCATCTTGGATGTCTATCATTGTGCTTCGAGAGCAAGTTCCAAAATCGTGGCATGTCCTGCTGAAGTCGTGCATGCTGCTCACCCCGATGGCTGGAAAAATGTACACTGTCTGTCTGCGGATCTCGGTCGTGGCTGTCTTCCATATAGATTCAAATTCCCTCAGGCCTTTTGTCCTCCTTCAATATGGCTTCGTTGCTGCACCAAAATCAGGATAACAGCTGGACGACAGTAAATACCGTGAAACCTTGAGCCACACATTCCACACGAAGTGAACATCCGGCAACAAGAACAATAAGAACAGTACTAAACGCAAAAATGCGGGTTCCCTGCAGGAACCTCCACCCACGCTCCGTCGCTTTGGCGGGTTTGCAGATTCTGCACGGCAGCAGGTTCCTTCGGCCGTCTGGAGACGAGGATGGACCGCTGAGCCACTTGGCCAAGGCGTCCAAAGAGGCCAGAAGGAGTGCCTGACTGGAGGTAGCATCCGGTGAATTTTCATTAGGTAGCATCAAAATGCATCCTGGATGGTCCTGGTATGATGAGGTTGGAACAAATCGGAGCAAGAAATACACCCTCGGAAGCAATGGGAGCAAGGTCATGTCCATGGCCTGTGCCTGTGCCTCGCTCCTTTTTTCGCGATGCACGCGCGCGAATTCGGTGAAACGGGGCACCTGACAGAGTCCTTTTTTAAGGCGGCTCTCTTTTGGTCGCCAAGCCCGGCAAACCCCACAGAGTCTGGAGACGCTTGGCCAAATCGGAAGCTCCTGTTCCACATCTTGAAAATTGCACCGTGATTCATTGAAAAAAAGATACACACGCTTCATCTGGGGGTGTTATCTTCATCAAGAGGGTTTGCATTATATAATTACTATGTCACTGTCTCTAGTCCCGATCGTCTGCTCACGGTCTTCTTCGATTCCAGGGGTCTATCTTTCCCACAAATGGAAAATACGAGCGCTCCTCGGCACTCGTCGGGTGCCACAATGATCAGCTAGCTTCCCTGGTCAGCATTTGGATCTTGGATGACAATGAGGATGTACTCCTGAGATGACGAACTCAGCCGAGTCATGTTTGACAAGCAAAAACGTTACTGCATGGTGACGTTTTTGGGCAACTCTTGAATGCACTGGAATGTCCACGTTTAGATGAACGTCTACAAAACACCAAGGTCTTAGAAGGGGAGACCCCCAACTTGTGACATACATGAATCTCGTTCACAGAAACGTTCTCGAGTTTCCAAACCCCACCGATCACTGCCAAACCTGTCGGTCTTTCTCATCCCAAGGTCCCGGGCGGAAGCCTCTGAAAAACCCATCCAAACGGCGCAAACCCGGAAGCCTCGTTTTCTTCGGATTCGACCGCCCGTTGGGCACCCGTTGGGCACCCGTTGGGCACCCGTGCTCGATCCGGAGCCACCATGATTTCGTGCTTCTTGGACCGAATCCTGGGGCTTTTCGGCGCCGAGCCGGCTCGGGCGCGCGCGGCGGTCTGCACAGATTCCCCACGGCTGCTCGGTGCGTACTCGGCGGCGTAGCGAGCGGTTTGCGGGGAGACGCCGGTCCTCAAGAAGGTGAGGTCATTCTGTGGGTCCTCGGCAGGGGAGGCACAAAAAGAAGAAATCGTCTTCCGATCGTTCTTCCTGCAAGGCACCAGTGTCAAACGTGTGGCCATTCGATAGATGTTTTGCAATCTTTTGCAGGTTGTGCCAACAAGGCCAGTGAGTGTTGCACGACCTGTGACCAGGCCAGTTCTGCATCTATCCAGGCGTGTGACACACCAAGGTCCCGACCAGTTCCCGAACCACACTTCGGGCCTGCGACACACGTGGCGCTTCGGAAGCCGCGGTGGGCTGCGGTGAGGCGGCTCCAGACTTCTCGCCAGGTTGGCACTCTGCGCTCTGAGAGGAAAGCTATAGGGGTTACCAGGGCCTCTGTTCTGTGCAGGACTCCAGGACCATTTATTTGTTGGTATGAGTCCACACAACTCGTGAAACGCATGTTCACTTCTGGGGAAAACCAACATCACCTAGCAGCTGTTCCGCTCCTTCGGAGCCCAATCTCACGTCCCCTGGGCATCTGGAGAGACCCCTCTCAGTGATCCACCCCACCTCGGATCCTCGGATCCTCCACGAGCCTCGGCATCTCATCTCGTGGCCTCCGGATCCCTCCACCCGCCTTCGCGGCCAGCTGCGAGATCAAAGCGGAGTACTGGAGCGTCTGCTTACTATCCAGCCTCGGTCCGTCTCGTTTGGCCCCAAGTCACGGCGCAGGTCGAGCAGCGGTCCGTCTCGGCGGCCCGCAGCGAACGGGTGGGTCTTTGGGGCGGAGCGCACCGAGGGAAGCCCAAAAGGGTGAGTTGGGGTGTGGGAAGTGTGGCTCAAATAGGGAAAACCTCCCAGTTCGACCCCTCTGGAAGAGAAATAGACCAAAACCCATTGGTTGGGGGCCAACCTACACGCCATTCCAGCGCTATCTGCATGAAGATTGATTGGTTTAGGGGCCTACTGTTGAAAGGCTTCTTGAAGGAAGGGTGCCCAGGCTAGTCTGACCAATCACACCAGGCTTCTTCAGGCCTGAGAAGCGAGTTTCAGGCGCTTGGGCGTGTTGAAGAGTGGTACAGTTATATTGAGCGACTTGAAGAGAAAAACACCCCTCTGGCATGATTCATCTATCTACCTGGAGCCTCCAAGGGGCCAAGCATGCAGTCTCTACCAATATGCTGATGAAAACCTCACTTTCCCTTGACCTTCCAAATCCTTCCTTCCAACAAAAAATCACGCTCATACCGAGTCATACCAGGACCCCCACCGAGGCAGGAGGCTCCTGGGTGGTTCACCCAGGGAGCCAGGTCCCACCAACCGCTCCGTGTGGCGCCGGCCGAGACCCTCGGGAGGCCGGGCGTCGATCGCATCGGCACGCCGTCGCTGTTCACAATGACGATGCCTGAGAGGACCGGAGGAGACACCGACGCACGGACGACGGGGCGCGTGCGTCATCGGAATGGAACTGTGCTCGCGCGTTATTTGGTCGCTGAGGAGTCAGTTTCTGAATAGAAATGGGTCGAAAGGGATGTTTGAAAAGATAAGAATATACACCAACGCTGATGAGATGAGGTACAGAAGTTGGGCAGAAACTGTCCAGGGACTACTCTTCTGGCTCTACTCTCCAACCAATCTCGATACTCTTTGAACAGGGCCTTTCAACATCATCTGTGGTCGGTTAGATCAGATCTGCCGCCTGAAACTCCTTTGTGCGTCTTGATGCGATTCAGGGTCTCCTCTACCTGTGGCCGAGCACACACAGGCCGAGCACACTGGCGGAGGACCGTTCGCCCCTCTTTCGGATGGAATGCTCGATTGGGCAAATGATGCTTCCCATGCAAAAGAAATGCCACGGTGTTTGGGCTGTTAAGATCACCGTGGAAGTCTGGCGTCACATAGCTATTAAGGCACATGGTGGAGCAGTGATCACAGGAGCTATTGATATGTCAAGAAGATCTCTGCACATCCGCAAGTCGACTCAACTACTGTGCACCTCAGACATGCTGCCAAGGACAAAGGACCTCGTGCTGTCGGCTCGACAGTATCCCCCACTGGTCTGTCACATCAGTATCACCCATGTTTGGTGACCCCAAAATCAAAAATAGAATTGCTTTGATGATTGGAAGACTATCTAACGTAGACTCTTGATGAATAAATAAATATGAAGAGAGGTTTTACAATCCAAAGGGGGGTCTGAAGCAAGAGTCCACATGATGTATCTTGGAGGCCACCCATTCCACTTCGTCCCGCTTGTCTGTGTTTTCATGCTGCACCACCTTGGCTGAGGAGAAGGCCTTTCACCGAGCTAGTCTCTTACAAAGCTTCCCTACCCCAAGTCGCTCAGCTTGAGCACCAAAGATCGCAGCGAAGCCATGGATCGGTCGTGGAATCCATACCAGGGACCCGACCCAACCTTTCAGCAGGGGGTCCGGACCCGAACCAAACCCTTTCCGTTGGTTCGGACCCTTTTCACCGGATTCTTCCCGTAGAACGTTTTCAACTTCATCTCAACAACTTCCAATGATTTTTGCAAAACATGTGGAGAAGCGATGAGGCACTCTCAAACCGGTAAGTCCTCCGGTTGAAAACGTCCCAAACGAACTCCGTGGTGGTCGATGTCGTCCAAGCAACGAAGTCGACCACCGATGGATTGTTTCGGATCTCCATCCAACCGTTGTCGAGGCACGCATTTGGATGTCCCTTAACCTCTAAAGAGCTATAATTCGACACCCCTTAGGGGGCCCTGGTACATCTTTGCAAGCCTTTGGTTTCAACCATTTTTGGAGTCGCCCGCCCTCCCCCTGTTGAGTTCCACTGTCAGTCTCTTTGGGTAGCCAAAAAAGTGTGTGAAAATCTGTCTGCACACATAAGTACTCAGTTATCGGCCAGCCGCACAACCGGGTCGGGGAGGGTCCTGTTTGGTAGTGCGGTAGTGTGGTAGTGGTACGGTAAAACCGGTGCTTTCAGTGGTTTCATGATGCGATGGCATCACCTCCCAGTCAGAGTGATCAGAAGGAACAAAACCACGGTGACTGGAAACACACCCCACAGCCCCACCGGACGCACTCACTCCCTGCGTTTCCTTTTTCTCAGACCTGCACGGGCCGCTCCACTCGACTCCACTCGACTCGACTCGACTCGTGCCACACACGCGTCAGTCGGTGGCCGAAAATCTCGCAGAGTTTATGCGCTGCACGTCCTGAGTTCGTTGCTGCGCTGTGCTTCGTCCACGGCGCGAGCAACGAGCGACGAAGCCCACGGCGCTAGGCCGCAACGTGCGCAAGGCCGCGACGGCTCGGCTCGGAGATCCAGCAGCTGGGTGAAGAGCTCTGGTGCAACTCTGAATGTGGGTGAACATCTGGGGGCCCCGATGAACATCTGGTGACTCTTGATTCATCAAGCACCCAATTGAAATGGAAAATCCTCTTCATATGGGGAGTTTATTAATCAAGAGTCTACATTAAGAACGACAAACCTTTTCCTTCTGTGAAGAGACGAGCGGCTGTGCTTCTGCGTTCATCCTGTTGCTCGATGGAGGCCGCCAATTCACCGTGCTTAGTGCAAATGTGTTGAATAAGAGTGCGAAGAAAGCGCGAGTTGGGGGGCTCCAACATCACAAGCAAATGCTCGAAAACAACAAGTTGCAGCCTCGTCATGCGCCCCTCCCCAACAAGAATATCTAACAAACATATTATG